TTCCTCTGTGCACGCGTGTGAACCCACCACTCTAATAACAAGAGCAATCTGATGAAAGGCTCTTTTATTTTTCTCGAGCTCTTATACCTGATCATTTCTCTCTGCTGGTCAGTTGTTCCTTTGTTAATGCGCTAGTGAGACAGCTCAGCGGTAGACACAAACAGTTAGATAGAGTGTCTGCAGGATTCAGGGCATAAAGAAACGTTAGACCTGCAAGAATGTGGCTTCATCAAATGCTTAATATCTCATTGTTAGTCATTGTCTTTCATTACATTGCGATTCAATGCTCTCTGCTCAGCATCCTCTTATTTCACAAGTTCACTTCACCTGCAGACAAAACGCAGCTCAAGCACGCGTGATGTACCTGCTAAAGATGCATATCGCAATCACTTCCTTTGTGTAAATGAAACACAAAGCCATCTACAATCAGCAGTCAGTTGTTACTCACACATTAGTTCTACATTCCACATCTGAGCAGTTCAATACGAGCCTTTCCTGTTTGACTGAAGTGCAAAGAGTTTTCTCACACTACAGCCACAAGTTAAAGTAATGCTCTTTAACATATCTATGCCATAGGATTTGTTCATGCCGTGAGAAATGGAGATTTAGGTCTTTTTCAATGGCTCAATTGCTTAATCAGAGCTGATTTTTATAAAAACTAAATAGTGGCCCTTCACTAGATTACTAGGATAACTCATACACGAAGAACAGGCTTGTTGGAAATACCTGACTGAGAATACGTAATCAGAAATCAGTCCAGAAAAGTTTTCCATATAGAGATAGATAGGGGAGGCAAACATATTCAATTACAAATCATAGACGTTAGCTATGTTTCTATCCAAAGATGTTTTTTTATGCACATTTTCAAAACTTATACGCATCTTGGCGTTTCCATCAACCATTTATTATGTGCATAAAAATAGGTGGATGGAAACTGGAAAATGTTAAGGAGTTTTGTAGTATTTATTTGTAGAACTGTTTGTAAGTAATCCTTTATTTGTTGAAAATGTTTCCCTGTATATATCATATGTGAAAAGGAACAAAAGTTGTTGCCTCATATTGCCCTGTAGTGTTGATTTTACTTAGACACTGCAGTAAAACATATGTTTAAGTGCTTTTTTATATTTTCCAAATAAATGTAGATTGAAGCATGTATTTCCTTCGGTTGCAGCTATAAGCTTTGCAAGACAGGAATGAACTGAAGATTTTAACTTGAGATTTTCATTAAACTTATGCATTTCACAGGACGTTTATCTTAAAATAAATTAATACATGTGTATGAGCATAATTCAAAGCGATTTTTAGGACAGTTCTGCATTTTTTACTCATGATCCCACTAGACATGGGATGATAACCGCTCTCAAGGTATACCACGATTTGGAAAAGTCAAGGTTTTAAAACCGCCACAATCTTCTGCTATACAGTTCCTACAGTATATTTTTTGATTTACATTTTTAAAAAAAAGTTTTTTTAGGACAACAGAATCTTCAGCTGAGAAGATCTCCAAAGATGACATTTAAACTGTAAAGCAAGCAGTGTTTTTGAAACTAATAAAGACAGTAGAAGTCAATGATTGATTTGAATTATTGTTTACTGCTCCAAAATATCTTTAATAATTCTTAAAATATATTGTCTTCAAAGGAGAAAAGGTTTTTGTTTTTTACTCTGACATTTAAAAAACCCATATTTTAGAGCAGTAATCACAACCATCAACCTGTGAAACTGTGATATTTTTTATCCTCGGTTATCATACCGTCAGAATCTTATACGGGGTCCATGCTTATCACACACATGCTTATATGTGACTGCATAAGCGTCTGTGTGATTTCAGGTATTGAAGATCCTTTTCTTGCTAAAATAAATGGAATGGAAATTATTGTAATGCAATAATGTAATCTGTGAATTAGATTGTATTTTCTGTTGCATTTTTTACTGCCATGTATTACTACAGTTTTGTCTTGAGATTCAGTGTTTTGTCGTTTATCCCTGCCTGTCTTTTCTTTTGCATCTTTTCCCTGAACATGTTTGATGTTTTGTTGTTTGATATAGCTACTGATTATCTCATTGATTGAACTCATATTCATATTTTTCTCACTTAAAATAAGCAGAGCGAACTTACTACAGTACACTTTTTTTGTCAAATATGAATTTATAGTTTGTTTTTTAAAGGTTGAATTGCTGAATACCTCCTCAATTGTAATTTGCTTTGGACAAAAGCGTCTGCTAAATGACTATATGCAAAAGCTGTCTGTGTGTTTGGTCTGTCTCTCCAAAGTCATACCTCTGACATACTCTTAAGTTGCCTGTCTATTTTTCCCACAATCCTTTACTTTTGTTGTACCTTACTAAAGAAATCCCCTCTATTAATCTATGGCTGCTCCTTCTTTTATTATTTCTTATGTATTTTCTTATGTTTTTCTGTCATTCCTAATAAAATTTTATTGTTTTTTTCTTGGCAGGCTTATATTGTGGGCTGTAATATATTATGAATTACTTCAGCAGACAGCTAAGGGTACAGATTAGTAGTTATTGTTCTCGTAACCCCCCCCCCCCCCCCCCCCCCCCCTCTATTTACTATGTACTTTTTTCTACATTCTATTATATCAGTGGCTTCTTGATTTTTACATCTTAGGTCTGGGACACACCAAGCCGTTGGTTGCCTATTAGTTCTCATTAGTTAGTTCAGTGTGTTCCACATATCGCTGGGTTAATGTCAGATTGAGTTGGCCTTATTCAGCATGTTGGCATTGCCTGAAAAGAGTGCCCTGATTGGTTGTTCAGCAACAGACCAGAGTGTGAAAGCAAACACTGAAGTGATGTATCCAATTCAAATAAAGAAGAAACACAAATAAGCTGGCTGTAAAGTCACTACATTTCTCAAATATTTGTAAACAATATGGATTATTAGATTATCAGACCTATTTGGAGGAGCGCATTCCTTTGATGTAAGTGAAAATGACTCACTTTGTGCCCATTTTACCTTCTGGTTTCATTTGTGTAAAGAAAAAAACGACTAATTCCCCCTGCTGGTGCAGAAAGACGCATCCTCTCATGCAGGTGCAACATTCGCTTTCTTGGTTAAGGTGGCTGCCGTCTGTTTGGTGTGTTCTCGCACAGTATTTTGGTCCTGACAAAAGTGGTTTTCTTCGGCACTAGTTGTTTGGCGTTGGCTTGGAGTGTTCTGGCACATAACCATCCAGCCATCCTGGTTGTATATCATATGAGTATTTCCTGGAGAGAAGTGTTTTTTCATCTTGTGTTTCAGAGCAGCTTCATCTTTGAGTATCTCTTTCATATTGCATTACATACATAGAACATGAGCGTCTGGTGTGTCTCTGTACTTTGTTCAATTCTGTAAAATATTTATGCTACTTTAACATCTTGGGTACACCATGTTTGGTAAAATCCTCATTAAATTTAATATGCAATGTAATAAATTATTACTAAACAAAAAATGTAATTAGCTTTATTACCATGAATTACATTTGTAGGAATTTGCAAAGCACTGCAGCTGCAGCAACATATGCAGCAACACATGTGTGGGGATGAACATAGATTATTAAACAAGTAATCTGTAAATATGTCAGTATATTATGTTAATCACATCCTATTTGTGCCATTTAACTTTTTCAACTTTTTTTTATTCATAGATAGTAAATGATTCCTTTAAAAACAATTTTTCTGCAAGATCTTTTAAAGATAAACATATGTCTTTCTGAAAAAAAGGAGCTTTGTTAGTGCATGGGTATAACAGAGTGAGGCCTCACGCTTTTCAAATATGAACACAGAATATGACAAAGCTTGGGTTGTATAGCGAAAAGATAAATAATACTCTGGAAACTGTTCTCTCTGATGTAATCAGTTTTGTTTTCTTTACATTGCTACTGTTTCAGTTTGATTGTTGACATGCATTTACAAATTGATGGAATTGCAAAGGGACTGCAAACAGAGAAAACAAATTTTGCATTCACCAGAGCTAGAGGTGCTTGTTACATTGTAGATGTTCAACTCCTGTCACTCAAAATCAGTCAAGATTAAGGTTTTGAATTAATTGCATGTGTTAACACTGACTGCCTTAGATGCTCAGCAGGATCACTGTGTGATGAATGTGTTCATTCAGTATCATTGTGGGAGTTAAAGGGTCTAGGGAGGAAATGTTGCCACAAAATGTTATGTTTTTTTTTTCATTTAATGAAAGAAACAATTATAAGTTGTTTGATTTTTCAATAGAGTAAATCTCTTAAAGAAGAGTATTCAGGGCACTGTTTAGTCCTGCTCTAATGTACGTGACTCTCCTGTGTGCTGACTGCTTAGTTGTGAACATACTATTCTAATACTCATGTTTCCTGTTATGTCAATTAAAGTAAGTTGTTTAAGTGTTCTTTCTTTGTAATTAAAACCTTGGATCATTCTAATATAGAGTAACGACCTAATGCAATTAAATTGCAGCTGTAAGGGTCTAATTTGACGGAAATACTTCATACACTATATTCATCACACAGAAAACATCCCCATACACATTACCCTAACTCACTAACCCACTCACACATTTCAGGCTGAACAAAGTCTTTTGCAGGTAGGCTACACATCTCTTTTCCGCACTCATGTGTCGATCCTCCAGCCTGATCTCACGAGGAAACATAACTATTTTACGTTTTGTCAGTTTAGTGGCTAATTCATACAAGTTCAATCGTACAAAAATTTACAATTTTAAAAAGGAGGTGTGGCACCCAACCTCACCATTTGAGGTGTGTGTGTGTGTGTGTGTGTGTGTGTGTGCAGCTGCTTCTTCTGTACTAGTCTGTAAGAGGAGTTTTAACAGAAATCTTTAATTCTTAATCTTAAATTGAACTCTGAACCTTCAACGTGACATTTATTTGAAGGCAAATATGCACTGTTAGTTCTCTACTAGTGATCTTGTGTTAGGTATTAGTGATCAGTATGTTAATTATATAAATATCTCCACCTCACCTTCTTATTTTTTGTCATTTTTTTTTCAGCGACCTGGCATGCCATCAGGAGCACGAATGCCACATCAAGGGGCTCCAATGGGGCCTCCAGGACCACCATATGGAGGAAGTCCTGCTGTCCGGCCTGGACTTACCAATCAGTCCATGGAGGCCAGTCGCAAACGGCCCAATCCTTCACAGCAGCAGATCCAGCAGCAGGCCGTACAGAACCGAAACAGAAAGTGAGTATAATACGACATGCTCAAGAAGATCCTATAAAGATACAGTAAATTTAAGCATATTGTGCCTTGTTTGACTGAGCTACAGTACAGTATAGTAATGTATGATTCGGTATGGGTCACCCTGATCTGGCTTGTGTACCCTTAAGGCTGATTTATACTTCTGCTTCTGCAGCCTGCGCGTGGACGCATTGCCCTCGCCGTGGCTGACACTGACACGCACTCTTTTTAAAATGTAACTACATGTTGCAACGACATGTAACCCAAGCTCTGTTATTGGTAGGCTTGGTAGTGCTGACGAGTGTGGGTGGGACCGAGAGCTGTGGGAAACCGTTTGAGTGAGTGTTTACAAGTTTTGAGTTCTATGTAGGAGCATCACGTGGAAAGTTTTGTTTTGTGTTTACCTTATTATTAAAGCTGTTGCACGTTCCCTGGTTCCTGCTTCAAAATGAGCGAGTTTAAGCTACTTCTACAAGAAGGTAGCGTTCAGAAAAAACAACACCAGCGAAGAAACTCTACACAGAAGAAGATAAAAACCCACTGCCAGCTAGAGTTTCGGAAGTGTTATTGCAGAGAAACACAAACAGCGTGCAGAAGTATAAAGCCGAGGCAAGCGTATGCACCATGGATCACGCCGATCACTCAGTGCAGAAGTATAAACCAGGCTTCACTCAGTTGATGGTTTGTTTGACAGAAAGTTGCATCAACGTCATTTTTACTCAATGACAATAGCCATGCAGCTGTAGCAACATATTGACACAACAATGAAACATATTGCATATTTTTCATGCCCAAATTCATTATTGCAAATGTAGATGTGTGACAAGCACATGCAAATAAAGAGAAGTAGGAGCACCCTCACTCGTTCCAGTGGAACAACAATGGAGTACATACAGCAGATTCTGTTCTTACTTTTAGGCATGTGGCTGTTTGTCCCAAGAAGATGACAAGCTATGTTTGAGCTCGGGTTGAATAATTTTTTTTTTTTTGCAAGATTGTAAAAAAAAAATCTGTAAACGTTACAATTAAGAAACATTTTTACAGTTAACATATACTGAGAAAAGTTACATATAAAAATGTGATAAACATTGTTTATCAACATTAGATTTAACACAAAACTCTGATGTACATAACTGATATAGGGAAAAAATTCTCAAGACTGATAACATATGCCTTCATTATCATCTTGTAGTACTACTGAAAAGTCCTGATCCTAACCTGTATCTCCACAGCAAAACCACACAGTGGTTGGTGTTTTCTGAATCAGTAAGAAATTGTGAGTTCACCGACTTTTAGTTCATCCCTTCAACCCAGATGTCACAAATTGTCATCCGGGTTTCAGTACACTTAATTGGTCCAAATTTTCATACCACACACAGTTGCTGTAGATTAGTCATCAACATGTCTTTAAAGAGTGTCATGTTTAATGTGGAGAAATTAAATGGTTGTTGCTGGAATTTGGGTTGGACATTTTTTTATTTGTGTATTTCATATGATTTCATTTGCACTGTTTGATCTTGGGTGCCGTTTTTCTATCACAGGCTTGATCCCATATGAACCAAGCTTATTTCTTGTAAATCACTATAATTTCCCTAATTCTTTCAGTGGGGTCACTCACTGCTCTTGTAGCACAAATCTGTCTGACATATGTCTTAGTTTGCACAGTGGCAGTTTAGTTTCAGATAATCTGATCTGTGGAGTCTTCAGTCTGCTGGACAACCACTGACTGAGCTGTTGTGACAGAAAAAGGCCCACTCACTGACAAATATTGTACATGATACTTGTTTCTTCTTTTGTTTTTCTCGCTCTCTCTCTCTCTCTTTCTGAATCAGCTTCATTGATTCACATTCTTGCTCATTCTGTCTCTCGACCTTGTCTGACACATTAGTGTAACATTATATTGCATTGTCTAGAAACCTCCTGGCTCACATCAGACTAATCAATGCAATAGCTGTGTGTGTGTGTAATAACAAGGCCCGGCATTTCAGATGCTTTGTCCTCTAGTTCTGCTGTTTCTTGTACAACTCCCTTAATGTCAGTTTTTTGTCTTTAGCTATTTATAATGTGTCATCAACGTATTCAGAAATTCTAAACTTGCACAAAAACTGCACACACACACTCCGTTTCCTGTAATGACGGACCCTTCAAATGCCATCAGGAAGCCTGTTGGATTTCCTGGACCAAATGAGATGCCAGGGAGGCAGATGGACTTGAGAGAGACCCAATCAGATCCCACACTTGGATCAAAGTAGGAGTTTATTCTGCTGCATGATGGATTCACACGTTTGATCCCACCCTTGCCCAGAGCCTTGACCCCTTTACCCGAGCACATCTTGTCCCCAAAAAGACCTCTCCCTAACAAGGATTGCCCACCCTCACCTCTGATTTACCACAAGCTTGATGTCTGATGGTTACTATTAAAGATTATTCCTTTACAGCAGTGTTTAAATTCAGTTGTAGACCAGCCAATCTCCTTTTGTTTGACCGCTGAGTCAAACACTTTAAATGGTTTTAAAGGTTTTAAAGCTTAATTTAGCATGACTGTGCTTGCGTCTGCTGTTGCATGGCATGATGACAGATGTAGTATGTGAGAGATTGTTTTAAGGTTGTGACGCACCAAGCCATCAACAACAGTACTATACCAACTGTAACAGTAAATACCAAATCTCAAATTCATTGCTTGTTTTTATCATTTTGCTTCTTATTTTTGTGCCTCGTGGCTATTTTGTTAAACTAAACAACCAGTCAGAGCTACTTCTCACCAACAGCTCAACTGTTTCTTTATGCTGAATCATTTCAAATGTTTTTGACATGAGCCAGACTGGAGTCAACATGTGGAATACACTGCAAATACTAGCCTGACAAAACGTTCAACACTGGCTGACCATTGGCTTGGTATGTCACAGCTCTTATTAATGATGCCAATTAGCGTCTCAGCTTTTACACAAATATCTAAATATTTATTGAGTCAAGCTTCTGATTTTTTCTTCTATTGTTTAGTTGACAGTAGACATGTAGACAAATTTGTTGGTACCCTTCTATATATTTTCTGAAAACTTGAAACTGACAATTGAAATCCATCACTTTTTATTCTGTATTTATAGTAATGCAAATCAGACTTTGCTTATTATATTATTGAAAAAGGCATGGACAAAAAAAGTTTAGACCAAAAATGAACATTTCGTCTTCCTTTACTCTTACTCGATTTCTTCTTTTTAACAAGGTTTTCTGATGAATGTTGGGGAAAGACATCCATACTAAGAAAAAAGTGGAGTACTCAAACAGAAAGAAACTCAAACAGGTTTGGAACAAATGAATGGAGAGTACATAATGACATAATTTTAACAAGCAATGTATGTAATTCTTGATAGGACTTCTGCAACATCAAATACCCATGTGAATGACACTGAGCCTTCTGACCTTTAGCAGTACATTTAGCTTCAGAATGTCTTGATAGTTTTGAGATTTCATTGTCCTGCACAGTTTCTTGGTACCCTGTGCTAGATGCAGCAAAGCAGCCCCAAATATAATCAAGCCTCAACCGTGTTTCACATTAGGTATGTTGTTCATTTCTTTGAGCTATTTTTTTAGCCTTTGAACATAGCGCTTATGCGCCTTGCCAAAAAAACTCCAGTTTTGTCTCATCCTACCGGAGGACATTTTCCCTGAAGCATTGTGCCTTGTCAAAATGCATTTTAGCAAATTTCAGTCTGACATTTTTAGGTTTTCTTCAAGCGTAGTCCTTCTGGATTTTCATCCATGGAGCCTGCTGTTGCTCAAAAAGCAATGGAGTCTATCATCAGACACTGATATACCTTGACTTTAAAGTTTAGCTTTTATGTCTTGAGAACATTTCCTCTGCTGTTTCTCTAAAGTTAGCAAAATCCTTTTGATCATTCTGGACTTAGTTCACTACAGTTTGGGCAGTTGGCTACAACTGCAGTCTGTTGAATCTTAACCTGCAGCACTAGACACAGGAAAATCAAGCTGCTTGGAGATGGTCATATTGGCTTTACCTTTTACATGTTTATGATGATTTCTTCTGGATCCTCTTAGACCATTGTCCCCTTTGTTTTCTCTGATCAATGTAGTGCTGTGCACACAATGAAACCAAGCTGCAGAGTCAGTGCTTTTCTTCATTTTATGAATGACTGATTTCAAGATTGAATACATGTAAAATTAGCCAAACATTTAATCTGAAACATCGTCGTCATCATCACAACTTATTGCTTTTCAGGGGTACCAACAAATCTGTCCAGAGCTTTCTGCAGAATAAACAATAATTCACGTCTTTTCATATATTCTTTGCATTGCTCTGATTTATGAAACACATGCAGCGATACATTAGAGTTGCTCTCAGTTTCATCAGTTTTCAGGAGAATTGAAGCACACAGAGAAAAAAAAAATACCTTTGAACTGATCGAGAAGAAAAAATGTGCTTGTGTGGTTTTTACTAATACTGTTGTACCAGTACTGACCTGACACGGCTCATAGACTCACTAGTTCTACATGTTTATTGTAACATTGAGATTCTCATTTTAAACTTTCATTGTTTATTTGAAAGTCTCACAGTGTTTGTACTTTTGTTTGTTATAGTTGGTGGTTACCTGTATGTATTGTACTAAACTGTTTTTTGAGAGTCAAAAGCACATGCCAAACAATACTTATCCTTGAGTACTTTTTTATTTCTGTCTAGTCAATATAGTTTCGTTTTGACCAATGTAGCTGTCTGCTAGCATTTTCTACATTTAATGTCTTTAAAAATTAAAAATAAACACACAGGCGCAAGAAGACCACAGCATCATTGTAGGTTTAAGAAAAAACATTTGCTTTAAGAAAAAGAAGACACTCGTACACAACCATATTCACACCTGTCAGATCCTGTGACTCTTCAAAATTCAACTTATGCAAGTTTAAGCAGCAACGATTCTAGTAGATTCTAGTAACATCTTCTGTGCCAATGGTTGCCAGCACCATCTGGGCTGGCGTTGCACGCACACACACACACACACACATTCACGCTCACACCGGCTTTCCCGCATCCTGGACCAGCCCCAGAATTTTAGCAGATGTCCCGGGTGCTCCACTGTCAGTCTCCATAGTAACATCTTGTGTTTTTTTTCTGCCTTTCCTCTCCGTTTCCCCTTTCTCCCTCTTTCTGCAGTGCCAAGAGGAGGAAGATGGCTGATAAGATCCTTCCACAAAGGGTGAGTAAGAGATCTGAGCCTTTTCATTGCTTTCATTGGTTCGGCTGAGGGTTTTTTTGTGTGTGCGTAAATGTGCAGGGATGAAGATGCATGGGTGTGCACGTCTGTTCTCCATCTCGGCCTTTTAGAGGGGCGGTATACTCGACCAAACAAGCGACATGATGGAGCGAAATGTTTTCGGAGGGTCTTTGCACTCAGTAATTGTCAATCAGACAATAGAGGCATTGTACACTCTAAACTTAATACATTAGGCCTTTTTCAAAAATATATTGTAGAGAGTCTAAATTATCTCTTGATTATATTTGTTATAGATAATGTCAGCTATCAAATGTGTTTCACATTTGTACATTTTATTTTAAATAAATCTACAACTGCAATACAGCTGTCGGCTCATGATTATATGGCTGTTGGTTGAAGACTATAATTGGTCATTTCATCTCAGAAATAGGGTTTAAACACTGCTCATGGACGATTCTGTTCTTAGTTATTTATAGTCACTACGAAATGGTTGTGTTGGATAAGATAAGCAACACTATGTGTGTGTGTGTTATCAGGCCATATACATTGATACAACTCCAGTGGAGGGGCCAGATGCATTAGTCATTCACAAAACACTCAGTCTGTCCGCAGTCCACAGAACATGAGCAGACAATACTACAATGGTTTGAACTTCATTATCAGTGCTCCCATTTGCAAAAAGAGCTTTTGTTGAATTTCTTTTTTTCCAGATTCGTGAGCTTGTTCCAGAGTCACAGGCATATATGGATCTGTTGGCATTCGAGCGCAAATTAGACCAGACCATAATGCGCAAACGGGTGGACATCCAAGAGGCACTTAAGAGACCCATGAAGGTAGATTCATATGTCTTTTGAATTTCACCTACCAGAATCCAATTAAAAACGTGTTTGCCTTTGCCCTTTTGTTTAACTATAAATAACACTTGTTAAACTTGGGACAGTAATTCTCACCCTCAGTTTATTTGCCTTTTTAAAGATTGCTTGCATAAATCAAAGTGGTACACCACCAAACAATGTAAATGAGAATAAAATGAGGCTGTTTTGAGTCAATACAGCCTGTCATATTTTACCAGTTTTTAGCTTAAAAGCATTTCCTCAAACATAATGAATCTGAGTTCAGATTTTCAGCTCTCTTCTTTTTGTATTTGAAGCAAAAGCGTAAGCTGCGTCTCTACATCTCCAACACGTTTAACGCTGCCAAGCCTGATGCAGAGGACTCTGAAGGCAGCATTGCATCTTGGGAGCTGCGTGTGGAGGGCAAACTGCTAGATGATGTGAGTCAATTCCTCTTTAATCGATAATGGTGTTTTAAGACCTACTTTAAAGCACAGAGGTGCTGGTGCTTCTTTATTTGGGGGGAAAGTAGCGCATATAAACCGTTTGATCACAAGATTTTGTGTCTGACATCATACCTCGTGAATGGCAGTTATGTGGATTTTAAACGGGTGAGGTTAAATTTACTCTGCCAGGCTCCGAGTCTTGACCACAGACATGTGCCTCGCTTACCAGTGAGATCATTTCCCAGCCTCCATCCAAACACACATGCCAGACTGTTCTGTGGGTCCATTGACTATGCCTGTTTTTTCCTTTTCTGCTCCTTTGATAGTTCAGTGCATATCTTAAAGGAAAATGTTCAGCTAATTGCATCGGACATTCTGTCGACATCATTTGAGGCATGCTTTTATTTTCAACAGGACATTTTAACCAAAAAAGCATGTTTCCTGTAATGTGCTTATAATGGTAGTCAAGCAGGCTCCCAAAATAAATGTTTAAAATATGTGCACACTTTTCAAATGTACTGTATAATAATAAACCATGAATATTTTACATGTTAGACTGGCTTGAAAGAATCATTTACCATTCCAGTCACTGTAAGTTACCAGGAAGGGACGTGACATAACTATTCATGAAGTGCTGTTTATGTGGAGCAAACTCCACCAACAGGAATTGTGTTTGTAACCAATAACCAAAGTTTACTGCTATCAGGCTGTCTTTAATTCTCAGTAATGTTTTTTTTTTTTTTACAATAACCTAAAATCTGCTTATTGGTTTCCATCAGAACCATTATTAAACAGAAGTCTGGCAAACTGAAACTGAGGCTCACTGCATGTTTATTTCCCTTCATCTCCAGCTACAAATGCACTGGAGCATGACCGAACATTCAAACAAAGTATAAAAAATGGCAGTAAATAAAAGCAAGTAAAAAATAACTTTGACCTTAATGATGATTTTTATGATAATAAGATAATGTATTGTTGCTGTTTTAAAACAGGGGTGTCCAAACTCAGTCCTGGAGAGCCAGTGTCCTGGAGAGTTTAGTTCCAACCCTAATCTTACTAGATATCAGGGTGTCCGCGGGGTTTTAAAAAGTCTTAAGTTGACTGATCTTTTTTAAACAGGTCTTAATTTTTCTTTGTTTTTGTATAGCCACCCAATCTAGTCAGTCACCAACAATCCATGTCCATTACACTTAACTTTTTATTTAACTGTAAATATTTTAACTGTATTTACCATTATGGATTAATTATTTTCCTTATTATAACATTTGTTTAAAGGCTCTCTGTGTATTTACTGCTAAGGACATTGACCTGGACAGACTGTTTTGCATACATTTAGTTTATTATAGTTTTTAAAACTTTTAAAACATTTGTTTTTTTTATTTTAAAGAAAGTTTATTTTGAGAAAAAAAGTATATGTTTACAACTAGAGCTTGCTTGTTTTGACACAATATTTAAACTATTTTGCTAAGAAATATCTTATATCTTATATTTTATTATTATTATTATTTTAATAAAATTATTATTGCATTATTAAATATTTTTGATAGGGAAAATAAAAATATTTTCCATCTGGGCCATTCGAAAAAAAACTACTAAGCATTAAGTCCTCTATGAGTCTAAAATTTCATTCATAATGGTCTTAAAAATGTCTTAAAATGTTTTAAATCTAACTTGGTGAAACCTGCATAAACCCCGACATATACTAAAAACTTCCTGGCAGGTGTGTTGAAGCAAGTTGAAAGTCAACGTAACAGGACACCGGCCTCTCCAGAACCGAGTTTGGACACCCCTGTTTTAAAATAATCTACTGATCTACTTACTAATAATCTGAAATACTTGCTAATGTACTATACTATAAAAAACTTTTAAACACCTCAAATAAAATTAACTGAGGGATTTGTAACACTTAAATTTAAGAAACAATTCACACCATTGGCGACCACCTTATTATCTGACTATTATTAATATATTAACAGTTTATTAGCACTTATAAAGCATGATCTTGTTGTACATCAATAATCCTACCCAATACCTAACCCCAACTAGCTTACTAACCATTATTAAGCACCTTAAATACAGGATCCGTAAGGGATGGAGGGGAACATATGATTTCCCAGTAATGGCATTATTGTTGAAGCTGTGGTCAAATTAAAGTGTCGTCTGAATTGGCACCAGATTCAAAATGAAGCAACCACTACTGGATTATGTGTTGGGAGACATTGAAAGATAAGGAAGAAGTAAGGGGAGCATGAGTTTGCTTCCAATCTGCAGCAAGGGGCAGTGGATGAACTAGACCATTGTTTCTCAACCACGTTCCTTGAGGACCACCAACAATGCATCTTTTGGATGTCTCCTTTGTCTGTCACACCCATTACAGATCTTTCAGTCTCTGCTAATAAACTGATTACCTGAATCTGGTCTGTTTGGGGACATGGAAAATGTGCTGAGCTGGTGGTCCTCCAGGAACATGGTTGAGAAACACTGAACTAGACCAGTATGTTACTTTATGAACATTTACTGACCAGTAATAAAACATAAAATTTGGTAAAGAAAGCCCAACACTCAGTTGACATCCTTGAAGCAACGATTTGCGAATTGTAGGAGATTTACCACCCACAATCACTTATAATTTAAGCAAAGCATTTAAAGAAATGCTTGGGTAGATACAAATGAACACACTGAAATATAAAAAGAAATTTGGGCATTAATTACATCAAAAATAATACGACCAATCAATGATGAGGGTAAACTGCTCCATCTTTAAAAAATCTGACTTAGATTGCTCTAACAAAGGGAGAATGTTCGCAGCAAGTGAAGAAGGAAACGATCTAGTTATATTAATTCCAAGAACCATAATAAGCAACTAATTAGTATTTTAAGCTCAATGTCTTCGTTAATGGTTTGTTAATAGTGTAAACTGTAGGTGAAATAAAGTGTGACCGAAGGAGAACATTTGTCAATTCTTAAATGTTTATGCAATGCAGCATAAATTCAGCCTCTTGGGTCAGATCTCTAACCAAGTCTGGTTTAGCTAATACACTGGAGATCTGCTTTTCCATGCCCAGAGAAAGGAAACTAGCACTTATTGATGATGGTTTGGAAGGACTCGTGCAGTTTCTGGGCTCAGTGGAATGTGGTGCTGCTCAGCAAATGCCACATGTCAGACTGTGCTCTACCATGGAAAGTTTGATGTGGTGTAAGGTTCTTGTTTTCCAGCAATGTCTTCATGCTTGAAACTGGTACGTTTGTTCAGTGGCATTCTCTGAAAACAGTATCCATGCTTTCATTCTCAGCCAGGAAAGATGAAGAGGAAGTTCTCCTCATTCTTTAAGAGTTTGGTGATTGAGCTCGACAAAGACCTCTACGGCCCTGATAACCATTTGGTTGAGGTGAGTGCTTGACTTTCTGCTTTGTCGACTTTGTCACCGTAAATATTGGTGAATTGAAGTTGCTAAAACGGAGTATTTCATATTTTACATATAATTCCTACAAAATTGTCCTTTTAGATGCATGTTGATCAGGGCTGCAAACAAAGTATGTTTCGTTTTAGCTCTGCCATCACAATAGGCACATTACTTGTTGTCAAGTAGGGGTCATAGTTGACCAGGCACCAAAGTTCAGGAAGTCTGATAACGTCTGATGTTTGTGTCTGATGTTTTTGGATAAATTGCAAAGTTTAATCATAGTACAGTGGGCGTTTTATCATTTTAACATGTTTTAAGGCCTGTTACTGTGTCAACATTCCAAGCAAGTTTAAAGCATTCAAATGCAAGAATAATTAGTAGCTTTAATTAGACTAATACTTTTTCATTAATACAATGAAGACTATGCAGTGTTATTTTACAGTACATTTGATCATTGTATTTCTGTGGCTGAATACTGTTCGACTACACTCTAAGAAATAAAGGTACAAGAGCTATCATATTATAAATAAATAAACATGTAATATGTTTGTTTTATTGCAAAATAAAGGGTGATGCCTTTTCAAAAGGGACACATTTGTACTTAAAGCATGGATCTCAAACTGGATTCCTGGAGGGCCTCAGCTCTTCACAGTTTTGCTTCAACTCTAATTAAACACATCTGATCCAACTAATTAAGGTGTTCAAGACTACTGGAAACCATTAAGCAGGTGTGAGTTGGAGGTGGTTGGAGCTAAACTGTGCAGAGCTGTGGCCCTCCTGAAATTGAGTTTGAGACCATTGACTTAAGGAGTCCATATTGTTACCTCAGGGGTACATATTAGTACTAAAAAGTACAAATGCTTACCTTTAGATTTTTTTGGTGCTAATATGTACCCTTGAGTTACCAATATGGACTCTTAAAATACAAATGTGTCCCTTTTGAAAAGGTACCACCTCGGTGACAGCTCTTGTACTTTTATTTCTGAGAGTGTACCCAGAAAAACAAAGCATCGTTTCTTCCATTTGTCCCTTTGTTCTATACTGTTTATCAAACACGCTTCACTACACTTTACTCTAAATTCACTTCTACAATCCTTCTACAATAATGTAAATAAAAACTCTTGTCAAATAGAGCTATTTAAGTCACTTGGTCTAATGTCAATGTATTTTGCAGAAAAATGAAATATTGCATATATGTTGGGAATGGCTTACATGTTGGTTTGTTGGTATTTCAGTACAGGAAAAACTGTAGGTTTTGTTTTTGTTTTTCTTTGTGAGTGTATGAAAGCATGATGATTATTTTCCTCCCCAGTGGCATCGTACCGGCACCACTCAGGAGACAGACGGTTTTCAGGTGAAAAGACCTGGAGATGTTAATGTGCGCTGCACCCTGCTGTTAATGCTGGATTACCAGGTAAGTTAAATGAAATACTTTCTCATTTGAAAAAATATCTTCAAGACCTTGAAGCCTTGAATTTATTACATTTCATTCCATTAGATTTTGATTCAATTTCATTGAAATGACTAGATAAAGTAGAGACCCTTATAGTGGAGGGTGAAAAACACGTATGTAAGTATATTTGAAAAAGAAATTATTGAGTGTCAGGTCTACTTATTAAATTTGTAAGGATTTATTTTATGAGTAAAAGAAAAGGCACATACCTAGGCACTGTTTTAAAAGTTAAAAGTTTGATGTCAATTAGTTTTGTATTCACCAAAAAAATAAAAACTTACCCTGAAGTTTTATATCTGCACAAGTTTCTTTCTTCTGCTGAAGCTATTTTGAACCGTGTGCATAACCAAACTTTGTTGGTCCACAAAAATACTGTGCAAATGAAAATCTCATTTATTAATTTGTTTTCTTTTTGGCTTAGTCCTTTTATTAATTTGGGGTCAAACTACTATTTAAGCTTTGAATGTATTAAAAAGGGTTCCCAATTTTCCAAATTTAAAAGGTCTTGTCCAGAAATCGGAAGTCAGGAATAAGTCAGGAATATTTATATTGTTCATATATTTTTATTTTATAAATGATGCATTTTATTTTAGCCAGTTATTTTGGGCAAAAATTATTTATTTGGTTGATTTTTTTGGTGTTGAAAATAAACACAAATTTACAGGTCTTAGATTTTCATTACTTTTTAGACCTCATGAACCATTGGTCTTTGTAATTTATATAAAGTGAACACTGTCAGAAACAAAGAGAGAAAGTGTTTACCACTTAAAGATAAAAAGCTACTATATCGCATTTGATTTATTACTCTAAACGATGAAATAATAACTGTGAAAATCTCTTCAATAACTTTAGAAAATGCTTTGGATGAATAGGCATTCTGATAGTCACATGACACGTCTAAAGTAGATCACACACTGCTGTAGCTTTGTCTCGCATGCCATCTGAGCACTTTATACTGCTAGTATAATGTTATTGAATATAAAAAAAACGCAGATGGCACTGCTCCACTTACTTTATATTGCTTTAAATTCAATGTTTGCAGAATCAATGAAATTCAGCTTTTTAGTGATTGAAAGTGGGACTTTGACATTTGGTTTCGATTGTGAATCCTGATTAACTGAGTAATGTAAGCATGTGTCAATGGTGGTGTGTCCTGTGTGCAGCCTCCTCAGTTTAAGCTGGATCCGCGTCTGGCTCGTCTGCTGGGCATTCACACACAGACCCGCTCCAGTATTATACAGGCCCTCTGGCAGTACGTCAAAACCAACAAGCTGCAGGACTCGCATGACAAAGAGTACATCAACTGTGACAAGTACTTTCAACAGGTACGCCTGATTGCAAGCATTCATTCACATTCATAAATAGCATTCATAAAAGATATTTGATATGAATTTAACATGCACGGAGATTATGCATGGTGGACTTATTTATATAAAGCCAGTTAACTAGATTTTATTGAAGAACTGTTTTTGCCTTCATCTCCTCTCATAGATCTTTGACTGTCCACGTCTGAAGTTCTCTGAAATTCCCCAGCGCCTCACCAACCTTTTACTGCCCCCCGACCCTATTGTCATCAACCACATCATCAGGTTTGTGTGCTTATCAGTCAAAATACACTGTTCTTCACTTGATATGCTCCTCGTCCAAAGTGTGAAGTCAGTAAAGTTTGTGTTTTAGAGAAAAAAATAATAAAACTTTTATTTATTTCTTTAAGACTTTTCATACAAAAAAATGCAACTCAAAGTGCTTCACAAGCATAAATCAGATATTAAAAAAAACATCATCAACATAAGGTAATCAAAGATTTGAATGATTTGAAAAATCAGTGCTGTCAAAATTATTGCTTTAAAGCATGCGATTAATTTGAAATATTTAATGCATTAAGAAAAAATTAACGCAGTTGCAGTTTTTTTTTCTGTTGTGGTCGACGTGTGTTCAACATGCAAAAAAATATGGATAAGACCAAGGAAGCACTTTTTTAAGGCAAGTTTCAGTATGAAACATTTCATTTTTAACTTTCGACTTTTGTTTTAATGGAATTTGATACCGCATGGCGAGCGGAAACAAAAACGTCAAAATTTGCTGTTTACATGGTAGACTCTTAATAAGCGGATCATCTTAAACATATTAAAATTGGAGTATTGGTGTCCATGTAAATGTACTCAGAAAGTGCCAGATGAATTCGCGAGCTGTCAAAGACAGCACATTCCTCTGCCTTTCAGCATGCGCCCTCAAATGTTTCATTAAGTTTGACGTGTTTCCCCCTTAAACGCAATTTTTGTAAAGTGTCTGTTTTGCGTTGATGTGTCAGAATCCTTGTGAAATACAGCCATACTTTCAGAACGCTTAGTTTAAGCAACTTTGATGAACGCGATCATACGTGTTGAATCTGAAGAGAGTCCCTCCGGCTGTGCTGTCCTGTTCTTTATTGCCATTAATTGTTTTTAAATTTAAATGAAACTAACATGCCTGTGTTTTTATTTCTGTAATAAATATGGCTGTCAAGCTAGAATCTTGATGGTTTATTTTGGGCATGTTGTTTACATGAAGAAATCTGTGTTACAAGTTAAACAAAAATTCTAATAAACAATTACATTTTGAATTTAAATTGTTTTTGTCTTGCTTTGCATTATTTTACATTTGAATAGCCAAAATTACAAGTTTCAGTCTTTTAAATGTTATAAATTGCGATTAATTGCAAAAAAGTGTGATTAATTAGTAAATTTTTTAATCGATTGACAGTACTAGTAAAAATAAATAAATAAATAAATGAACAAATATCCAATAGGAATATATCTTGACAAACAATCATTAAAGTAGAAGGGTGTCAAGTTATGCATTGCTTAATAAACTAGTATAAAAATCTTGCAATAAATCCTTTGCACCTAAGTAATGTAATTCTATTAAAACAAGTGTAAAATGTTTTTGTTTCTTCAATTTTATTAATAATTTTGCTGCCGCATTATGTTGCATTCAATTGCAGCTTAACTGTACAAACCGCGTGTAGGCATTACAGTAATCAGTCAAGAGAAGATAAATGCATGATTTATAGTATCTTAGCATTTTTAAAAGATGAAAAAATGAATGAATCCTGGTAATGTTTTTTCTAATGATAAAAACGTGCTTCTGTATCTTTTTTCCCATTCACAAAGGATGCTTTGATCATATCTGACTTGTATTAATGTATATGTTTATTTGAAAATGAAATATTCTGAAAAATTATTATTCAGGAAATCTGTTTTCAGCATGAATTAAAATAAGAAATGTTTGCTCAATGTGTCAGGTAAAAATATTCAAATGACTTTTAAAGAATCATGTGATTACATGTTATAAAGTAATGTACAGTATGTGACAATTGTATAGAGTAAGAATGCTGAAATTTCAGCTTTGTCATCAAAGGAAAGAATTACATGAACTAGACAGCAGATATTCCACAGTTTTATGAGTTTTCACTGTGATCATAAGAGGTAGCTTTTCAAAAACATTAAAACTCTCTTGTCTGAGCTCTTTATACAGTATGTTATGTCTAATAAGTAGAGTGTGAGTGTGCCCAGCACATGAGTGTTTTAGTTCAGTCTTTGCCTCTGAATTCTGATTGAGGTTATTGTTGTGCAGCGTGGACCCTAATGATCAGAAGAAAACGGCGTGTTATGACATCGATGTAGAGGTGGAAGATCCTCTTAAAGCACAAATGAGCAGCTTCCTGCTCTCCACAGCCAATCAGCAAGAGATCGCCTCTCTGGACAACAAGGTTAGTGTGAGAGACCACTTGAACTTCCAGATAGGGCTACACAATATATAGTATAAGCAATATAAGCATTGATATTGCAATGTATATATCTGCAATAGTGACATCACAGGATAACATAATTTGTTAAAGATTAAAACATATATTATTATTAAATAATTTATACTGTAATGTAATGATCATCCTAATCTGTCTAAATGAATGAAATCTTTCCAAATAGAGCTATTCGATTTATTGGGTGAAATTCTATTCATATAGCAGAAAAACAAAGTATCACAATGTCAGACTTTTGTAATATCGTGCAGCCCAACTTCCAGATATTTTATTTTCAGTCAACAGACAACAGCTTAAAATATTGAGGTTAATCCTTTATTAGTCCAAGAACCTTATATGGTAATTTCATTGACATTGATTACAATAAAGGTTCAAAAGTCTTGTAATAACCCCCAGTGACTCTCCTGGGAGTGCCCTATAAAGAGTTAAAGACTACTGTTGGACTTTCACATCTGTAAATCAACTTATGAATTTTCTGTCTGGTTTTGAATGATCCACAGATCCATGAGACCATCGAGTCCATCAATCAGCTGAAGATTCAGAGAGATTTCATGCTCAGTTTCTCCAGAGATCCCAAAGGCTACATCCAGGACTGGCTCAAATCCCAAAGCAGAGATCTGAAGGTCTGCACCAGCTTTCATTCCTCTACACGTCAATTTCGATATTTATACAATATATGTTTCAGAAGATGAAGTGTTGTTTAGAACAGTTTATATTTTTTTAATAGTTTAATATGCTGAGACAGATGCATGAAATTTGAATGCTGAAAAACAAGAAGTGTAAACACAGCAGCTCTGTGTCTGTTTCAAAACATTGCTCCGTTTGTTTGAGTGGTCTGATATGTCAACTTTTGCCTCAACCAATAGCATGAGTTTGGGGCGGGACTATCTGGTTGGGGACAGGTCAGGAGGGGCAGGAGGAGAGTTTGGAAATTAATTTTGCAGTTCTGTTTGCTTCTGGTAATGATACAGAAAATACACATGTTGAGCAACATTTAAAGAAGCTTCTAGCAGATATTTGATCAGTAAGTTGCAACTAATATAAACCAAAGCTTCAATGGCTCAATGTGATTTTTAAAGAAATTAAAACAAATGAAACTTTAAAACTGAAAAACAATATGATACAAAGTGTTACCGAAGAGTTTTTCAAATGTTTACTGGTTACACTTTTTTGAGTGTCATTATATCTTTAAGTATTGAGTAGCATTTATTAACAGCATGATTAGGGTTTATTTAGGGTTATGGCAATTAATTATGCACAATTTACTGTAGTGAGAATATAATGTGTTAAAGAACACTAACATAAAGGAATATCTTGTTTTTATTTATTCTGAAAAAAGGTTCCCGATTTCAGCGCATTAAAATGATTTTGTGAGGATCAATGAGGACTAAAGTAAAGTCAGACACAAAAGTATTGCTTTATCTCAGGAATAATTTACTTTTTCATCAGAAACAAAATAGTTCTTTTAAATCATTGTGTTGCCCAGGATTACAGATTGTTTTGTGTGTATTTTGAGCTGAAGAACACAAAAGATATTTTTTTAATCAATTGTATTACCCGATCCATACATTTTATTGCTAGAATACACTACCAAAAGTTTAGGGTCAGTAGAGTTTTTTAATGTTTTTAAATAAGCTTATCCTGCTCACCAAGGCTGCGTTTATTTCATCAAAATTGCAGTACAAATTGTACAATTGTGAAATGTTATTGCACTATGAAATAAATAAAACTGTTCAATAGTGCTTTATAATTTAATTTAATCATTTATTCCAATGATTTTAAAGATGAATTTTCAGCTTTATTATTCCAGTCTTCAGTCACATGATCCTTCAGAAATCACTCTATTATTACTTTTATAATTATTATTATTATTATTATTAACACCATTATTATTATTATTATTAATGGTAATAGTAATAAAATGATTATGACTGGATTAATAATTTGATTTAAAATGACATATAATAAGTAATAAACAAATATTTAATAAATAAATATTTGACAATTTTTTACATTTATTAAATGCCACCTTGATGAACAGGATAATTTCATTTAAATTGTTAAATAAAATTAATAATGAAAAAAAAATACCTTAAACTTTTGAGCAGTAAAGTATGTGCTGCTCTAAACAAGCCACATATAGACTTTTCAGTGATCTTATGGTCAGCCAAGATCCAATACCTTTCTACCTGCTATTAAAATAAGGTCATTCCAAAATGAAAATTCTGTTATTAATTACTCACCCTCATGCCATCTTTATTTATCTTCAGAACCACTTTTTATCTCAAATTAAATTTAAGAGCTCTTTGACCCTCCATGAATGAATGATGGTGTCTATAGCCAGGAACGATGGCAAAAAGTTCAGAGAATAAACCAAAAACCTCAGCTATGTTTCCATCCAAAGATGCAAATTAAATTTATGTGCAAAACTGGAATATTGCATAAAATATACTGTATCATCCAATGAGTCAAAGAGAACAAAATCCTGAAAAACTGCCTACAAATATCTAAAGGAAACCAGAATTTGCTTCAGTTAGAGAAGCTGCATGAGCCTTTTTCTTTCATTATAAATTACTTAAAGATAACGCTGACACGCAATGAACACACACTCTGTAGGAGTGCAGCCGCTAAAGACAGTTCTGGAGGTAGTAATGCTCCAACACTGTGATGAAGGTATTTTGATTAAGCGTTTTAGAATGAAAACAACATTTCATTTTTACAATGTGATCAGCCATATGGTTTGTCCGTTTATTGCCGGCCATCACACCTATTTTTATCATCACATGATCTCTTATAACGAAATCTTTAATTACATTTTAATGCATACACTGGTATTCTTTAAAAGGGTTTCCATCTGTTTAAGCACATTTTTCTTATCGAATAAAATGTTTTTTTAGTTCAAGTTTATGAGCATCTTGGCATTTCTATCAAGCAGTTTTTATGCAATATTCCAAAATGATCATAGAAAATAGGAGGATGAAAACAGCTTCTCTAAAAACATTCAATGTGACTTCAGTGGTTCAACTGAAATCATATGGAGCTGGTGGTCTTTTGTGGAACTTTCAACACATTCCAGCACTTGAGCATTAATTAACACTATGAAAGCAGTCTGATCAAATAAGTTATGAAAGTAGATCAAGTTTTAGATTTTATTATCATATGTTAACAGTGCCTTAGTGTCCTGCGTCATGTGTGTTCTTGCATATCTTAATGTTGTTCATTTAATTTCTTTCGGCTTAGTTCCTTTATTAATCTGAGGTTGCCACAGCGGAATGAACTCCCAATTTATCCAGCATATGTTTTACACAGAGGATGCCCTTCCAGCTGCAACCCAGTTCTGGGAAACATCCATACACACTCATTCACACATACACTACAGCCAATTTAGTTCATTCAGTTCACCTATAGTGCATGTCTTTGGACTTGTAGGGAACACTTGAGCACCTGAAGGAAACATGCAAATTCCAAACAGAAATGCCAACTGGTCCAGCTGGGATTCAAACCAGTGACCTTCTTGCTGTAAGGCGACAGTGCTAACCACTGAGTCAGTGTCACCTTCTTAATGTTGTCACGTTTGATTTGTTTGCAGCTGATGACTGATGTTGCGGGGAACCCGGAGGAAGAGAGAAGAGCAGAGTTTTATCATCAGCCTTGGTCTCAGGAGGCTGTCAGCCGTTACTTTTATTGTAAGGTAAGGGTATAAAAGTATAAGGTGTGCTTCTACTACTGGCCAACAATGAAACAGGATGCTAGAACGGCTTTTGTGAGGTTGTATTGTCTAATATCTGCACTGGACCAAAACTGACACGCTCCGTCTATCTAATCTACTTCCCAAAGATTCAGCAGAGGAGACAGGAGCTGGAACAGGCTTTGGCCTTGAGGAACACCTAGAGCTCACACACGAACAGGACGCCTCATTTGGGACAACACTGCCTCCATGTGGAGGACTCGCCATTACTTTCCACAGTGTTATGAGGGTTTGTGTGCTGTTGTCACTGTGATCTACAATCTACAATACTGGACCGTTGTACAGTACGTGCATTTCAGCCAATCACGCTGCCGCGTCTTCCATTTCTAGATCAAATCATCTCACGGTGCACTATTTGGATTTCTGTTTTTTAATACCACACGCACATTCACCAGCATTATGATCTCGAAGACTTCAGAGCCGGCTTTGTCTCGTAGATTTAGTCTGCACTCGTATTCGTTTTGATCAAAAAGGTCATTTTATATATGCTGTTCAGTGGTGGAGCTACAATAATTAACTCCATTATTTACACTTCTATTCAAAGTGTATGTATGACGTAATTTGAGGGAGGCAGCTTTAAAGAGAGCATCATCAAGTATTAACTCAACTTGTGGCCTACAGGGTTTGCCACAATAATGACATTTAGCTGCCTTTGTTAGGTCAGCAGTGTACATAAACATGGAAAGATTGAAGGAGGTTGTTTTGATCACATTTTTAAAGGCTATTCTGCCATAGAAAGGCAGAACACATTAACTGCAACCATTGAATGAGAATACGGTTGAAAGATCATTTATTTGGCCTCAACTTTCACTCTACTCTTACTGAGTTATGTGTAGTTGCCGCATTTTTAGGACAGAACTGACATGATGGTTAGCTTTCTTTGAAGGAATTTGAGAAGCTTTCACATATGAAGAAATCATCCCAGTGACACAGGATGTTTGGAAATATGATCTGCCAGTTAAATTGTGATGTACTGAATACTGTGTCTGAGAAGATGTTTCAACACTATCTGAACTGCTGTTGGTGAACACTGATCCTTTATATTTTGAAGCTTTGCTTTTGGCGTATGCTGCACTTCACAGCATGTCAGATCAAAATATTTGAAAGATTCAATATTGAATCAGCACCTGGCCAAATTTGGTTTAGAGGTTGGGATACACACCTTGAGTGTAAATTAGGAACATTTGACATTTCTTTATGCTTCGCCAAAACCTATTTTGTGCACATGACCATCGTGGAGAATCCTGCATTTATGTATTCATTTGATTGTTTCAGCAGTGCAGTTTAAATGACATCCTGTGGGCAATTGTGCCTGTCACTAGTGTCACTCCATATAACATCATCAGATGTTTCACCAAAGTCTAAATTACTTTTTAAAAGAGTGTACATATTTTGACTAGATGAAGGACTTTTTAAAAGATGAAGGACACGCCATTTTTCCTTAGCTGTGCGTTTTAAAATTGCTTTTTGACTCCTAGAGTCTTTGCACTAAATGGATCATGCTCCAATCGCTTTCCATTATGTCCCTTAAACTAAAGAATGAAGGATGAACAAGGGGAAGACATGTTGAAGTGTGGATCCACTATACTGCCACCCGGCTTGATCACTGCAGTATGGTTCTGAATTCTCCTTGGTTTACTGTCAGCTGAAGGATGGCTCGTCCAGGTCTGATGGTGTGTGTTCTTGCAGTGCCTGTGAACCTCGCACTCACATCTTCTCATGAGGAGGGAGAAGTCACCCAGAGTATTTTTTCAGACCTATGCATGCTGCATGGACACAATTTTATACTTTCATACAAGGACACGAGAAACCTTCTGACAGTTTGGGATTTGATCAGAAGAGCACTGAGTTTGCTTTGTGGCCCACTGTGTGTGGGACACGATCGCCTCTACATACAGCATCAACCTAACATGTATAGCAGAGGCCATTTAGGTCATTTGTTATGTTGAGTCGTTTTGTTTTGTCTTTTAAAAAGACTTTGCGATTTAATATGTGGGTATTAGAAGCACACTGACAATTTATACAGAGCCTGTTGGGGAACAACAGCACCTCCTATCGGGTCTTTTGGGTACTACATGTATAGTCAGCCATTTTGAACACGATCAACTTGAATTTGTATATCGGTAAAACATCTGCCTGTGTTGCTGCTGTGGTAGCAGCTGAACACGCTTTTCTGTTTCTGTGTGTAAAGTAATTTGCTCTTCAAGCCACCAAGTGTTTAGTGTTAGCATCTCTACTGCTTTTAATCGTAGCATATTTGCAGTAAATGCCTCATGCTGCTCTCCAGGGCTTCTGTAAGGGAAAATTATCCAAGATTGGGTGCTAATTGGCATCACTTTTGATTAAATGCCACACACGTATTTAAATACGTCATACTAGAGACTTTTGGACTTTAAAATCTTTATTATAACCATCAGGGGCCAGTTTCAGTAACCAAACCAACATGGTAATCAGTCTTGCTATTCAGATTCAATCTTACTTTTAAAATGACTTTAAAACAAATTGTGAATTCTCAAGAAAAAAATGAGATATTTTTTATTATCTAGGCAGTGTGTATAGCTGGCCTCAGTGTTTTAGCGTCAAACCTATTTGATCCTGATTTGTTAGTTTAAGAACTGCCTAATATGAATATGGTTATAATGAACTCCTGTGTGTTTCATTTGTTTTGTTTTCTCACAGTCTGTTCGTTTTCTTCTGTTCAGCAAGAGATCAAAGCTACAGATATGCCTGTGTAAGATAGTGAGGATGTAAATAAACAAGCGCTTGCCAAAGTTTGTGAATGGAACACGATACTGAAAGTGTGTTGTGAGTTTCTTTTTAAAATGTGAGCCAAAGTCATTCAGCTGGCAAGACAGACCTGGAACTGGTTTCCCTGTAAATGATTGCACAGCTTATCAAGGCTTCATTAGCCAATCAGAATCAAGCATTTAGCAACCCTTTCTTATAAACTCAAAACAATCATCCAAACGTTATATTTAATTTATGACATAATGTGCCACAGTATTATATAACTCTGCAGCCATAGACTGGTTGGCTACTGAAGCTAAGTGAGGTTGAGCCTGACCAGTACCTGTGTGGGAAACAAATTAGGTTGCTGTTGCAAATGTGTTCAAAAGTAGGGACTCTATGCTCTAAGAATCACCGTCCTTCGGAAGAGACATTAAATCAAAATCCTGTCTCTCAGTGGTCATTAAAAATTGCATGTTTCTTTTCGTAAAGAGTATGCTAGTTCTCCCCGCCCACTGTTCCCACGTGCCTGTCAGAGTGCATCTCAATCTCTGGCTTCGTCAGATAAACAGCACAGTCACAGACGTGAAGGCGGCCAGATCTCACATGACGTTTTTGAGAATTACTACAGTTAGAATTTTCCCAATGATTATTTGATGTATTTGTTGTGGAAGTGCAACGATGAGGCACACAATATTGTTACAAAGTACACACACACACACACACACAAACACACACACAGCATGCATGTTTAACTTTGCATGGTAATTGTGACAGGATACACGTTAATTTCCAGAGCTGTATGCATATCCATTACTTTAAAGAGCCCATATTATACATGAAATAGGGTCATATCTTGGTTGTAAGGGTCTCCAACAACAGTTTAATATGCATGCAAGGTCAAAAAACGCTTTCGTGGTCTTATAATCTGCATTTATTTTTACCTAATTATCCCAGCGACTCCTGTATGAATCGTCCAGTGATTCAGTTGCCCTTTAAGCCTTTTGTCCTGGCCAAATTCACTCCATCAGCCCTTTGCCATCATGGCCTCCTAATCACCCCCATCCATTGAAATGGATTTATATCACTGTCTCCCCTCTCTACCTGCAGCTGGTGCGTCCTGTCCCATGGCTGCATCATCATCCAGGTGGAGTTGCAAAGTAAAAGGTGCTGAGGTGAGACCCCTCATGGTTGTAAAGTGCTTTGAGTGTATTGCTATTGGCAGTAAAGTGCTATAAAAGCATTCATTCGTTTGTCTATATACTATATAACATAAGTGCCAGGCACATCTCAGCATAGACATGTTGGCCTTTGAACATCGTCTTGGATAAAGGGCGGCCTCGAATCAATAAAGTTGAAAGCCCCTGCGTTAATGTGAAAATTCCAAGGGAAACATGGTCTGATAATGTAGTTGTGGTAGCTGAGAGTAAAAGATCATCTCTCTAACAGACATTGCTTTGTAATCACACTTTTAATGCCATTCAGTATTGTTCTTTCTTACTCTTTTTAAACACCTCATTATGCCAATAAGGAAACACCACACCCTTGGCTTTGAAAGAACCTTTGAGTACCTCTCTACTCTTATCCTGCCTAAAGCACAGGACCACCCCTCGTTTCTCTGACATGCAACAGTGTAGAGAAAGGAGACGCCATACATAAAGTCAGGCACCGCTCCACACTAATCTCTTTGGGCCCTGTAAATATACATTGTGTTTAGCTGTGTTTAGCATTTCACCTCGGAGCTAAAAAGCCCATAGAAGAGGAAACTGAAATTGTAATTTACCAAATTGTGGTGAGACCAAGTTAGTAATGTAAAACATTCATTTCCTGCAGTCTGTACTTGAAGAATAGACATCCTGTATTATTATCTGTAAAGACCTATTCTCAAGCCTGATTCACAGTCCCCTATATTCATATATGGCAAGTCACTTTTGGGTATACATGAATCCCAGTGGCGTTTTGGGTCACTGATGTCAGACCAGAACAGGTATTAGAGCAAAGAACTGTGAGCCTGATTTAGACCGTTTCTCCATGTGTGTATGTGATTCCTCTCCTTCTCATGAAATTCTGCACAGCCAAATGTTTCAGATTTTTAGGTTAAAAACAATACATAACTTTATTTCTTGAGCCTGTAAGAGAGTAGCAATTAATTTACCTGAAAATTCTATAACTTTGCTCAGACCTTGACATGGCGCTATGCAACATCAACAAGTTCTTTAAAAAGAAAAAGAACAATCTGGTGGCATGGTGGTTAGCACTGTCACCTCGCAGTAAAAAGGTCGCTGGTTCGAGTCCTGGCAGGGCCAGTTGGGATTTGTGAAGTTTGCATGTTCTCTCCATGTTGGAGTGGGTTTTCTCCGGTTTCCACCACAGTCCAAAAACATGCGCTTTAGGAGAATTGAATAAACTAAATTGGCCATAGTGTTAGAGTGTGTATGGGTGTTTCCCAGTACTGGGTTGCAGCTGGAAGAGGATCCGCTTTGTAAAATGTGATGGATAAATTGGTGGTTCATTCTGCTGTGGCAACCCTGATGAATAAAGGGACTAAGCCGAAGGAAAATGAATGAGTAAATCTGAGCGTTGGCATTGATTTTTAATATACACACTCAAATCTGAGTATGCAGGATATATAAAGTTATCTGATGTACTTTGAGGTTAATAAAATGGCTGGTAACAATAATTATTACCCAAATACTAACTCTTTAACCAGTGTTGCTTAGGTCCATACAGCTCTAGATACCTGATTAAAAAAAAACAACTCATGTGTGCATCGTGGTCATTATTCATGATCAGCTTTCACAGATGATGTTTATTGAGTTCTGAAATATTCAGCACATTCTGTTCAAAGGTCATACAATCATATCTGAAGGAAGCAAGATGGCTCAAGTTACTCTTGTAGCTGAGAGTAGAACCTCTACTAACCACCTGAAGTCTGACATGATCACATAATAAACGATGACTGAATTTGTTCAGCTTTTCACTTATGAACTTTAGGTTCCTGCATTCAGTCATCGGAAGCTATGTAAACAAGTTAAAACTCATTTTTATTTGAAGTTAGTTAAGATGATATCATTAATATCGTTCACTGCCTAAATGAGGTATTCTTGACTATTAGACCATGTATAGATCAATTCTATTGTATGTAAATCCTTAAACCCCAAAAAATGGAAACCGGCTTACTTCAAAACCTGAATTTCTTTCACATGTGGTACACATAAGAAGAAATGTTTAAGAAATGATCACCTTTGACATTCATTGTATGAACCAATAACATTCTTCAACTGTTTTGTCCAAAAAGAACGTTGAATGCGATGTGAGCATGAGTAAATGAAGACAAAGTTCATTGTAATGTGAACTAGTCTTTTCAGCAAGGCATCGTCATTGTATTTCGTTAAACTGAGTTCACTGGATGATCTTTGCAAAGACGTTCACAGCATCAGGGTGCAATTGACTGGAGCAATATCAGTAGGTCAATTAAGGCCACCTAAACCAGAATCAAGAAGTTTGTTTCGTCTTAACATTGCAGCATTAGTTGGTTCAGGTGCTGTTGGCCTGCTCCTGTTCAAACAAAGCCATGGCTAGGTGTGATCGAGAGGCCAGCCCCTCCAGGTTACTGAGCACACAGCGGTGATAGATGTCCTCGCTAAAGCGTGGGTTACATTCCCTGTGCACATACTTCTGTACTAGCGCCGGCTCCACAGCCCGAAACACATGCAACCCAGAGTAACGTACAAAGATCTCATAGACATCCATGCTCTCCAGCAACTCATCGTTGTCCAGGATGTCAGCCGCCATCTTTGTGCGGGCAGCCATGTAATCTGCGTTATAAAAACAAGCTTCTTCAAAGACGTGCCGGTCAAAGTGGCCATCACGCAAAGTTTCAGATGCAAATGATGAAGCAGCAGAAGGCTGCTGGTCGCGGTAGACCAAAGCAGGACTGTACTCTTGAAAGTGGATTGGGAAGAAGACCTGCCAATTGCTGATAGCATTCATCCGACAGCGGTTGAGAAAGTCAGCGTTGACCTCAGTCCATACACTGGCCAGGAAGAACAGAGTGTCTACTGGGTGCTTCTTGGAGATGATGTCCATTAGCTTGACCTGTGAGGGAACTTCAGTCTTTACACTGATCCAAGGGATCTTGACGTCGCCGTAACGTTTCTCTACCTCACCAATCATGGCTTTAACACCAGCAAAGACATCCGTCTGACTGACTCTTTGGGCATCGAAAGGGTCATAAACAAACAAGAAGGTGAGCAGAGCATTGTCATGGGTATCCAGAGCATTCATGACGTACATGTCCAAGAAGTTGCCCACAAAGTCTTGGTCATGTGCGGTCACAGGGAGGATCACCTGCACCCGTGTTGCTTCCGTTACATATGGCATGGGGATGATTTCCACAGCACTGAGAGGCTTTAGCAGATTCACTCGCTTGGCGATTACCTGACTGTGACCCTTCTGCGTAAAGGCTTCCAGAGCCAAATCCAGCACATACTCCATCCCTCTTGTGGGATCAAATCGCCGGTAACCGTTGAGTAGACGGCGCTTACGGAAGCGCAGCTGGGGCTGATATCGCTCGTTCAGACGGCCCACTGCGGTCTCCAGAACTGAACTGACGTCTGCCCGGTCGGCTCCTCGAAGCTCACACTTTGGTGAGCTGTCGCCACATGAATAAATGTGCTCTTCTGTGAAGTATTCCCAGTTGATCACCTCAAAGCGGGTTTTGGGTCGGAATGGTGGGTTGATTCCGATGGGCCAGGTGGCTCCAGCTTTACCCTCTGGAGTGAGCTCACTTATGTTATTGATCTGATTCTGGAGTCAAAAGAACAGAAGAAGCCACTGTTATGAGTATGTATTGTTAAACTGGTAAATGGAACAACTTGTCCTTATGTCATTTTGATTCAGGAGCTGTATCTCTGTTCCTCCTTGAGTCAAAGACAAAGTCATCCTATCCAATTTGAAGGCAGCTGAAAGACCAAGGTGGTTCATTTCAAGTTTATTTCCTGCTGTTATGTGATGAATGATGTCTGGCTGAGGGCTGCAAACACCTTGCACCATTACCTTTGCAGAGTATTTGCCCAGACATGAATATTGTGCATCAAAGCAAGACATCCAAATGATTACTTTAAATGCAAAGTCATTTGGAAAAATGTCAACTAAATGACTGAGCGTGACTGAAATTTAAAATACTGTTTGCCAAGTCAGACTAGCATAAATATGTAGGGATGCAGTCCCAATATGTACATTCTGGCCAATACTACCAAGCATATGTATAGGTTGTAAAGTATAGGTTGATAAATGCCAATCTTGATAGTCGTTTTTCAGCCCTATGGAACATTTCAGCCCTTTAAAGATAAATGCAAATAATAAACAGTAGACAACTGCAATAAACAAGGAAACTGCATGGAAACGTCAAGATCTTTCCCCAAAATTGCTATTCAGAAGAGCATTCAGTTCAATCATTTTACTACTAAGGCCCAATCACAATTCTATTTTTGTACCCCTACCCCTTTCCTTCCCCTTTTCCCTGGCCCTTGAAAAGAGTGTGAAGGGGAAGGGCGTCAAAATTTAACCCTAAGAAATGGGACAGCACTACAGCATCTGCAAACATCATCATATTTCATCGTGATCTCTTGCTTCATATGAGATTGACGATGGCGACTGCTGTAGTTATTCCAGTTGTGTTATTTTTTTGGTATTTATCTTCAGGAAATCACTGAAGGCAACGATATCATGTTGTCATAATGATCTAATGTGGCAATAAGATCTTAACTATACTGTGCATTTACACAGAGGCCATATTCATCTATATAAACACAACATTAACACTATAGAAGACACTGTAAAAAGGTCATTCCCAGCCACTAGACCTTCTTACAGGGTATTCGAGTGTCAGAAGTATGTTGTGCATTCTACTCCACTATAGATTTAAAGTTTGTGTTCTTTTAATTGATCTAAGGTCACACTATGATATCTTCTAATGGTCACCCAACATTAAAAGAGCTGGTCACAAGCTTCCTTTTATAGTCACCCACAAAAAGTAGCGTAACCATACCTAAAACCAAGCTACTGTAACATACCTGTAAGTGCTGAATTTGTGCATATGTCCAGTCCAATTCAATCTGGTTGTAGCGCTTATGTAGGCGATACATCAGAGCAGGTTCAGAGATGGGGTGGACAGTGAAGGCGTTCTTAAACTGTGCACTGTCCTCACGCTCAGGGTCCACATTCTTCTGTAGTTCAAAGTAGCGGTACGTCATCTCCTACATAGGTTTCAAACCACAAGAGCACTGATATGAATGACTGAAAAGCTACATGTACTAACAGTATTTACTTTATATTTTCTATTTAATATTAAAGTGCTGTTTTTTGCAAATATTAAAGTTGCCTGTTTGAGTTTCTTTATGTAGATAGATATTCTGAAGAGTGTTACTGATGAAACTGGTAGCCCTTGACAGCAGTAGTATTTTGTTTTTCTAATATGGATGTCAACCGGTCAAAAAAAACCTTCTTTGAGCTTAACAGAACAAACACATAATGGTTTGAAACTACTTGAGGGTGAGAAAATGGTGAATGTATTTTCATATATAGACCAATTACCATGTTTGTAAACATTCAGGATGCGCGCGCAGGGAGGTGGCCGAAAGCAACCGGGAGCCCTAGCATTTACAGCGAGGGATTGACACCAGATGCGGTGCAGAGTTTGTTGTTGTCTTAGAAATAAGATATATTACTTGCATATTATATATATATTTTTTTTACATAATGCTTATATAGCATATTATAACAGCTCGTCACCCAGTGACAAGCACAGTAATTCAGCAAAATTAACGTTAAAGTGAGTGCCGTTCATCTGACAGCTCCATTTGCGATAGCACCCTCCCAATGAATATTGGATAAGACGAAGTGACCAAGCATCCAGCCCCAAATATACAATCTCAATGAAGCTCCGAGTGATTTTACATGAGAGAAGTTAAAGGTCTACAAGTGTTTGGATGCCAACAATGTTGTTCTTTGAGGTCATGTGCAATAAATATTGCTCCATGATGACCAGATTCAAGAGCTAAACACAGAGATTCTGCCTAGCCAAAGACAAGGAAACAAGACGGAGCTAACGTTATACAAGGCCTGGGTAATTAATCACCAACACGCAAAACAACTGCATTCTGACAGTGAACTTCACCTGTACGGCAGGGTATGTGAACATCCACATAGAGGTAAAGTTGGTTTTATATTCGCACATTCAGACTTTCTCCTTAATAATATAATTTCATAAAAATATTATTTGCAAACTCTAAATAGCGAAATCATATTAGCAACAGCCAATGACTATCAAAGTACAACATGTTCACAGTCAAATAAACAGTGCTAATGTTGTTTTTAAGTCACACTTGCAGGTTATTTCAGACCGAATATTCAAAGTGCCGTGGGAAACAATATAGGGAATGTGTCACAAGTTGTCACTGAATGAATGTGTGAATATAAAACTAAGTTTACCTTAATAAACGTAACCTTCACGTTTCATTCTTAGCATTCAGCGTCAGCAGTTTAATTAACCACATGTAACTGTTTTTGCTGAAATCATTTCTGCAATCAAAAACGAGTAATGTGTATGATTCAGCATAGTGTGAACTGACCTGATATGACATGACAACTGCAGAGTCCAGCATTTCTAATTAGCTCCTCACTTCATTCAGCTCCCATTTAGCCAAAGACGTCTGCAGTCGGTATTAAAGCAGTGTGTGGTGTATGGTAAAGTTAAGTTTTCTATTTTTGGACACGAATTCGGCATCCTACCGCAAAACATGACATCTTTCCCATTGCAGCCTGTCTGTTTTCTGCAACCGGGGAACCGTATGACGTCATGTTGGTAATTGGTCTATAGGTTAACTCTCTTTAGTACATCAAAGTTCAGGACAGTGTTTTTTTTTTTTCAACAGAAGATCAATAAGTATCCAGCAAAAAATTGTGCGTTTAATAAACGTCTAATACACATCAAAACATAGACAACTTGGCTAAAACAATGCTAAACTTGGGCTGTCAGTGAAAATCTAATAGACATTTAAGAATAGCCCAAAATTAGACTAGTGGTCAAATAGACAGACGCTATACGTTTAGTCGTTCATTAATGTTTATTTGATGACTAGTGTAGTTTTGGTCTATTCTAAGACGTCTATTCGGTTTTCACCGACAGCCCAAATTTAGCCTTATTTTAGCCAAGATTACTATGTTTAGACGTCTATTAGACATCTTTTAAAAACAAAAATGCTTGCTGGGTAGCGTAGCTGCCAACAATTGTCTCTGGATTACTGAATAACACAACTGAGAGCCGGGTTTGTAACTGTACTATGGACCGGGTTTCTGGCGTATGCTGCCATCGGATGCTATACCAAAGTTGGCGGCCCGGGGGTGTTGCAGACTGTACCAAATAGCTGAAGTGAAATGACAGGAGTTTTTTGGGGGAAATAACAAAAAGGGTGGCGGGAGATAGGTCTGAAATACAGGAGACTCCCGGGAAAAACTGGCGTGTTGGCAGCTATGGTAAGTAGGTTTTAGCTCTTCATGTGCATTCATATAAATGTTTCCTCACCTGATGCTTCTCCACACAGCTAAGACCCAGGTAATCAATGATGCATCGACCAAGCCACTCGTCTGGCCTGACGCTAAGGATGTCGTTTCGACAAGAGTCCAGATGTGGCTGCAGTCGTGCTAGAAGGCTTCGTGACAGCAGGTACCCATATCCGCCATGGCAATATCGGGCACGTTCTTCACCCCCAATAAATTCCTCTGCCCGCCCCATGTACATGTCCTGTCCCGCACTGAGGTGATTAACCAGCTCCATGATCCTTTCAGCTTGTGTGTACGTATCGTCCTGTGCAAGGTAAAACCAGTCATACTCATTGGCGTGATGCTGGTGGAGGTGTCGTATGGTTTCATACATCAGCCAGACGGGTCGGTCATCACCATGAGCGATGACCGCCATGCCGTGTGGCGCCTTTGCACTTCGAAGGCCAGTGAAAAAGAAGGTTCGATGGAAATGGTGAGCTACTGTTTTATTGACCGCAACCCCAAGTGTGTTCAGAGTGGCACGTGAGCTCAGGATGCCCACCAGAAGCCGTTCTCGGATGCCCAGCTCTGTGTGGATGTAGCGAGTCCTGTGAAAGCAAACAAATATATTATTATATATTTAACTATAAAAAGGTTGGCAGATATAAACATAGGCATCCAGTTTTCGGCATTTCTCTCTCTATGCATGTGCATAGAGCTGTATAATATTAGAAAAATCTAACATTGAAACATTTTTTGCGATATATATTGCGATATGAATACAATTTCACTATGTGACTTCATATCACTATTTGGAAAGAATTTAGAATGTTAGATCAATTGGTATGACTTTGCAGTGGGAGTGCATCTCCATAAAATCTAATAAATAATTATAAAATTGTTTATAAAAATAAAATAAAATCTATAAAATTTTTGGGGTCACACGACACAATGTTGTCTGCGCTACTTGCCGTGCATTTCTCTATTTGCATGCATTGTGAGTATTTTCATGCACATGTTTAGTCAGAGATTTATGAACTATTCCATACTTTTTGCATCTCCATAAAATCTAATAAACAATCTATAAACTTTTTGGGGTCCCCTGACAAGTTGTGGTCTGTGCTATTTGCAGTGCATTTCTGTATTTGCATGTGTTGTGAGTATTTTCACACGTAACAATCTATACATACAACAATTTATCGTTTCCCCGAGTCAAACAACTGAAGTAACTGAATGATAAAAATAATTCAATAAAATTCATCAAAGTTAAGGTCACAAATGGTACAATTTCTTCTACCTGAATGCTTTTAAAAATCATTATACAATCACAGGCATCAAAAACATGTGCAAATGATAAATTATAATCAAAACTCAACATTGCATATATGCTGCGATGTGACTATAGCAAATGATCACATTGCAATATTGATGCTGAAACGATATATTGTGCAGCCCTACCCTACATGTGCATGTAAAGAAAAAAAAAGGTTGGCAAATTCCATTCAGTTTTATTTAAGTTAAAATAAAACAGCATACTTATACTGACCTGTACTTAAAATATACCAAATAATCACTTATAATACTAATGACAAGTAGTTATTAACTAACAAAAGATTCTGGGGCTGTGGTCCAGTTGTAGTTTTTATTTTACATGATCAAATTATTCTTGAGTTCAGTGTGTGTGTACACGCACACACACGCAAATGCATGCATGCATACACACAACTGTACTGAATGACATTACTTTGTGTATTGTGTAAGTCATGTTAAAATGTTTTGCTCACAACACATTATAATGCATGACACTTTTATGTATGTATGTTCATTAAGATACTTGAGATTTCTTTTTTGCTTCAATCTGTATTTTTTTATATCGACATCCCTTTGTCCATTTAGAAAATTGTCTCTGTAGAGGTTTAGGCTTAGAGTGATGGGATAACACACTAAGCCAATTACAAAGCACAGTAAAACAAATAAGCCACTGTTACCATCCATGGACCACTCATCGCCCCTTTTTAATCTAATTAACAAGATGCAACACAAACAGATGACTGATGGTTTGTTCCTAATTGAACATAAGATTGATTTTTGAAATCTTAAATATGAACTTGTCCTGGGAGCATAGAATTTTGGGACATGAGATTAATTATACTGAAATCTCTAGCAACAATTATGACCTAATTATTTTAAAACGGGGTGTCAAAATGCTCCTAATGAGCCAAAGTTTTACAGTGTTTACTTTCAATCCATTTCCAACACACAGAGCTCTAGTGATGGGATAAGCCTGAATGACTTGATTAGCTCGATCAGGGGCCTGTTTCAGTAAGGAGGTTCAACCAACTCTGAGTTTAAACTTGAACTCTGAGTTGATTTACCGAGAGATTAAAAACTCAGAGTTTTCGGTTTCAGAATAGCTGATATGAGCTGGGTCAATCAACTTTGAGTAGACCAACTCAGAGTTAAGCGCGCACACCGTGACTATAAAAAGGCATTATCAATAGAGCGCAGATATTACGAGTGACTATGGCAACATCTTAAAAAAAGAGATCACCATTTCTTTCTCCGGCTGAACTTGATCTGCTCATGCAAAGTTATAGCAAATATGAGTGTATATATTTAAAAAGAAGCAACCATCAGTAAAACAGAGACAGTTAGCATGAGAAAACAGCTGCTCAAGTTAATGCGTAATTTTTCATTTTAAGTATTTAAACATTTAAGTATAATAAAATAAGTAATGTAATGTGTGACGTTTATACTTTTTTTCTAAACTTTTATACACTTTTATCAGTTTTAATAGATTTAACAGTGCACTTGTTATGTGTCTGCCTTTTTATTGATCAAGTGATAGAGGTTGATATAACATTAAGAAGGTAAGCAGTAATAAAATAATTTTTAGACAGAATAATAATCCCATCTGCGTCAATGATTTTTTATTTAATTAATGTACCTGAGCCTCAGAAGACAATTGACACACAATGAACACGTGGGGGCGTTTGAAGCCAGACGCGGAGATCTTGACACGCTCCAGACGCTCGGAGGTAATTAATAATATACACTAATACTGAAACAGTTAAGGCATTTTAGAATGACTAAAACAACATTTAAGATGTTCTGCAGTGTGTTCAGTCTGCTGGTTTGTCCATTCACACACATTTTCATCATCATCTCTAACAAACCATTTTTTAATGTACATACTGTAATTTAAGTGCACTTCGTAGTTTATGTGCATCTTATCAAATAAAAGTTTAACCTACTCAGTTATGCACATATTATATTATGCGTATTTTCAAAAGGTATGTGAATCATGACTTTTCCATCAATTGTTTTTATGCACATCTCCAAAATGAGCTCTAAAATAGGTGTGTGGAAATGTAAGACTAATGCGAGAAATACCGCTTCATCTTTAAAAAAGGGGAGGAGACCGACAGAAACTCAGAGTTTAGAGAATAAAACCTGCTCCAGACCAGGTTAGATTCACAGAGTAAGTTACCACGGTAACTGACTCTGAGTTAAAGTTAACTCTCTTTTAGAAACAGGCTTGACTTACCCTGCTTTCTCGAGTTTAACAAACCTGCCATTTTGTAACGGAAAACCCAGAGTTTCTCTCATTTCAGGGTTAAAATACTCTGAGTTTTAACTTAACCTGCTTTCTGAAACAGGCCCCAGGTGTGTTTAATTAAACAGCAGTGCTGTAGCCCTCCAGGAGTTTAACACGCCTGAGTTAAAATGACTGACTACATCCCAACATGTGTCTTACAATTGTCAAATTTGACATTATCTGAGAAGTGATGGTATTTATACTTGAGACAATAGCACTCTTATAGGGAGGTGTTTTCTGTGCCCACAAAAGGCCTTGATGCTTCATCTAAACCTGCTACATTGTTTGGACTATTTCTAGTATTTGCAGTAGTGGACATTTTATGAGATGGAAAAAGTGTCAGCAACTTCACGAAGTGGTGAAGAATTCAGCTGTGAGAGAAGCACAGAGGTGAGGTGAAAAACACTGCTCTGAGAACTTATTACTCTGTGCCAAAACAAACGAACACAGACTACTGATATGAGCCAAAGGTCAGAAGTTGATTTAATATACTGTACTTGTAAATAAATTGAGATCGCGTTAATGACAAAAACAGTTAATGTTTGCAAGATGAATAATATCTGTTAAATATTTAGTTAATAAGAGCTTGTTGCAGTTTTACATTTTTGGTCTTCTGTTAACTGGGAATTGCCATGTCTCTACTATACATGTACTGTAGTAGATATTTTATTTTGTTTCTTTGATTATTTCTATTGTTTTATATATACACAGTTGAAGTCAGAATTATTAGCCCCCTTTGGATTTTATTTTCTTTTTTTTTATATTTCCCAAATTGTTTTACAGAACAAGTTTTAATATTAAATTTTTTTTTTCTTCTGGAGAAAGTCATCTTTGTTTTATTTCAGCTAGAATAAAGTCAGTTTTTAAGTTTTTATGAGCCATTTTAAGGTCAAAATTATTAGCCCCTTTAAGCTATATATATTTTTTCTCGACAGTCCACAGAACAAACCTTTTTTTAAGCCTTTAAATGACACTTTAAGCTGTATAGAAGTGTCTTAATATTATGTAATGTCATCATGGCAAAGATAAAATAAATTAGTTCATAGGGATGAGGTATCAAAACTATCATGTTTAGAAATGTGTGGAAAAAAATCTTCTCTCCATTAAACAGAAAAATAAACAGGGTTGCTAATAATTCAGGGAGGCTAATAATTCTGACTTCAACTGTATATAGTTTTTATAAATACTATATATAGTCATTTTTAGGCGTTTTTACCTTGATTATGATAGGACAGTGGAGATTTCAGTAAGAAAAAAATTGGGAGCAGAGGAAGGGGAAGGATCAGCATACCCTTGAGCCAGGAAACAAACTCTAGTCGTCATGAGCACTTCTGTGCAATATGTCGGTGCAGAGTACCACTAGGCTATTGGTGGCAACTATTTCTATTGTTTTTAAATAGATAAAAGTGAGTGCAACCATATTAAAGGGATAGATAAACCAAACATTTTTAATCTGTCATATACTACTCCACTATTTGTTCCAAACCCGCCTGAGTTTCTTTCTTCTGTTGAACACAAAGTAAGATATGCTGAAGAATATTGGAAATCAGCCGCCATTGACTTCCATAGTACTCTTTTGTTCCTACTATAGATGTCAGTGGCTTTCACTTTCAAACTTTCTTCAGAGTATTTTGTGTTGAAGAAAGAATTTCATAAATGGTTAGATCTGCTCAAGTGTGAGTAAATAGTGAGAACATTACAATTTTTGGGGTGAACTGTCCCTTTAAATACTGAGATCTTGTCATTTGTGAACGGCTTGTACACATCAACTATTTTCAAGCTGCACTGGTTTGGAGGACTCACCTGAGAACTTTCTTGTGTGGTTTGTTGGGATCTTTGTGATAGGGCACGATGCGAGGCTGGAAGTCCTCATTTCCATCCCCTTCTTGACCATTGTGGAGATCTCTGATATGACCGTTGTGTACGAGTCTCCCATTGCCCAGGTCATCTCCACAAGCCTCATCAGTGTCCCCCTGCGTCCAGGACACCATCAGAAGACTGAGGCTACAGCCCAAAGACAGGCCCAGGATGAGAGGCAGAGCAGGCCGGAAAACAGCCAGAAAAGATGACAGACGCATGCTGGAGATGAGTGTTCAGAGAGACAGTCAGTGGATGACTGAGGTTTCCTCAGAGAACAGTTCAAGTAACAGCAAAGTCTTGTTTACGGGTGATTGGCGTGCAGGTATTTGACAGATTATGCAAAGGTATTTGGTTCCTGTCAGTTTCTGTCAAAGATCAGCATGACTAGTGAAGATGGCAAAGCAGAAGGAGCAGGAGCAAGCAATCGGATCTGCTTCTTTAAAGTCAAACTACCAAAGTCAGGACATATGGTTCTGATTTAGCATTCAGCTATACAAAACCAAGGCACAGCTAATGAATAAGTCCACTGTGTTGTAGCCGGACACTCTCCTGCATGTGATATGGCGAACATGTATGCAAACATAATGTGAGAGTCGCCTTCACCGGTGATGCACATAAGGTCAGTCTGCTAGCCAGTCGAGACCATTTGCAGACAACAAACATACAACGTCGATGCACAGTTGAAATACTATAAAGTTCAGGATATTAACTTTGAGGAATGGTTCTGCGTCGGAAAGACAACTAGCGATAAATTACATTCAATAGACAAACCTTCCGGTATTAGATATTTATAATTCGCGTAGCTTCGCGTATCTGCACACCGAGGCAGAGCAACATTAGCAGGCACCAGCAGTATTTCCCCCAAAACACACTAATCCTCAGACACTGCAGTCCACCGTGGATAACCTCCTGTGGCTCGTATCGTCCCAATGCTTCTGTGAAAAACAAAAAAGCAGTCGCGAAATGACTTTGTTGGCTCTGCTCTAAATGTCTCCAGCATCGTCGATCGAGTCTACATGCGGATGTGCTGACTCTGAAGAGGAAGATTGACTCAATGCGTTTAAACGGACCCAAGGAAACAAGCAGCACGAGCACAACAGTTCCACGTATACACGAGTCCCGCCGCCGCTGCACACATTCGGGCTGATGGCACCGAGATACAGCCCCGTGCTCATTCCTGCGTCATCATACATGAAAGATACATTAAATGAGTCCGGTTGTCAAATGTCCAATATCTAGACTACAGGAGAGGTGGGTAGTAGTGTCTACGAGACAAACGAAAAATAATAATAATACTAAAAGTGTTAGTGGTGATAATAATAATTATAAATATTAGTTTTATGCTAAATATAAGTAATTGGACTAAAAAACGTTTGTTCAAAAACGTATATCAAAAATGTCATTGTAACAATCTCAAGCTAGACTATATCATTTTATTACAAGTGTTTTCTCAATAGGCTCTTGCAGTTATTATCTAACCCCTGTCCTAGATGTTGAATGGATTAACACTTGATCCATTACTGGTATTGAATAAAACCTCTGGCTTTAATAAGGGATTCTTTAGCATAAACAGTCCTGAGTGAGAAGCAGCCATCAGTTTCACTTGTCGAATAAAATGTCAGCAACAAAGAGGCAATATAAATATTTTGAATGCACATACTAATACTTTAGTACAGTTGACGTCAGAATTATTAGCCATTTATTTTATCCCCAAATTCTGTTCAACGGGGAGAGAAAAAAAATAAACACATTTCTAATCATAATAGTTTTAATAACTCATCTCTAATAACTGATTTATTTTATCTTTGCCATGATGACAGTAAATAATATTTGACTAGATATTTTTCAAGACGCTTCTATACAGCTTTAAGTGACATTTAAAGGCTTAATTAGGTTAACTAGGCAGGTTAGGGTAATTAGACAACTTATTGTATAAAAATGGTTTGTTTTGTAGACTATCGAGAAAAATATCGCTTACAGGGGCTAACTTGGTCCTTAAAATGGTTTTTAAAAAATTAAGTAGGCTGCTTTTATTCTAGCCGAAATAAACAAGACTTTAGAACTCTTAAATCTTAAAGAAATCCTTTATAATTTTGAAAATTCATGATTTTTCACAATATTATTTCCCAATATTGTATAAATCCCTTGGTCAACGAGTACTGTGTGTTTTGTTGTTGCATTGCATACAATATGTCAAATAAGACTAAGGTCTTAGACTAGTAAGTATATTCTACTATCACTGCCTGCCATAAAATAACAACAACTACTAAAACCCTGATCCTTTTTAATACCGTGGAGTAAGCGATAAGCAGTTTTTATGATTGTACAGTTACATCACACTGTCGTCAGCAGCACGCTGAAGCGTGTATGTCTGACCAGCAGGCGGTGATCTGCTCTTCACCAAATACGGTCAGTGCGCGCGCGTCCTGAGCTGCCTACCCGGGCGCGTGTCAGAGACCTGCGCGCTACTTGTCGCAGAAAGGAAAGGTAAGGTACAGTACGAACACGCTTTACTGTTTGTCTTGTCAGTGTTCTTTCAACATTGTTATTATGCTGTTGTATGTGAGACATAAGTGAGGTAATATCCGGCTTAGATATTTTGCATAAATGAGCTGAACGCCGGGCCCTGAACACCTCCTGCTGTCATTTATTTAAGAATGCCAGCTGTAACGCTGGACACAAATTGAGCCGTGCACGAGTGTACACTTATATTGTCATAAATAAAATTGTGAAGTTCGCAAAGTCTCCCATAGAGACGTCGAAGGCGTTATTAGAAAAGGTGTTAATTTGAGATCAATGTATAATAACAACGTTGATCCTTTAGTAAAAAAACGTTTTTATGTAATTGAATGGCTAGCGTATTAAAGTTGAGCTGCACTGTAGTTCACGTGTGCAGAACTTCACAGGTTATTTTTTTTATACACTGACACAACGTTTAGTGCTGAAGTCAACTCTAAATCAACGCAGCCTATAAAACCTAACGTTTTCCTTACAGTGTAACCAATATCACAGAAGTTCAATCAATATTCATGTTCAATGATTACCTGCTGTTTTGTGTCGTTCCATTGGCAGAGATGTACTGACTTATTAACTTGCAATAACCACATAGCTCCTAATTGTAAAGTAGAAACATGCTCTTTGTGTAAATTTGCTTTGAAATAAATGCACATGAATCGAATAGAATTAAGCCAATGAGAACTGTATGTGGGAATGAACTTTATATAATTATATGTAATCAGCATTATTGCTGCTGATTATGTCCACTTCAACTTAATGATATTTAAAGCAATAAAGGAGTATGCAAATATTATATTATCATGATAGATAATGACATTTACTTACTATTATTAACTTGCAGAACTCTGCCGCCATGCCATCAGATCTTGCTAAGAAGAAGGCTGCCAAGAAGAAGGAGGCCGCTAAAGCTCGACAGCGTGCAAAAAAGCATGACGAGGTGAACGGAGATGGAGAGCTTCAAGATGACCCAGTGAATGATGCAGAAACTAATGGAGATGCGAATGGAGGTGAGTTTATTAATACAGTTCCTCAAGTTAAAGGACAATTAAGACAAGAGTTTTATTTACTAACTGCTCACTTCTAACATTCTGACAGTTCACACTGATATATGGCCAATGACTTGGCCCATCCGGAATCTGTGCACACAGAATTCTGCAGATTTTTAGCACATCATTAATTCTGTTTTATTTACTTGAGTAAATGTGTGTAAATCTATATTTTTTCAGTTTTTTGCTTAATTTCAGTAATATTATTTATATTATTTATTTTAAGACTAATGTGAAAATGTTCATCTGATGTATGTACAATGCAGTTTGTAAAGTAATATTTTCTGTCTTTTACTACATATATTATGTGACAAACTTGCCTTGTTTACCAAATAAAGTGAATCTAATTGGATTTGTATTTTAAACATTAAATAAAAGTTAAAAAGATATAAATTTTTATTTTATATATTAAGGATTTAGTTCTGATACTCCCAAAATAATTCAGCAGAAATCCACAGACTTTTACCAAAATTCTCAGCAGAAATAGCAAAAAACATCTGCAATTTCCGTCTGGCCCTACCAATGACCGGCCCTTTACAAAACATAGCTACAGGTTTCAATTCTATTCATTTTTCTTCAGCTTAGTCTCTATTGCAGAGGCTGTATTCCATACTATTCACATGTTTTACACAGCAGATGCCCTTCCAGGTGCAACCCAGTACTGGAAAACACCCATACACACTCATTCACACACTTTCTTATACACTATGGCCACATTAGCTTATCCAATTCACCTATACTGCATGTCTTTAGACTGTGGGGAAACCTGGAGAAAACCCATGCAAACACAGGAGAACATGCAAACTCCACACAGAGATGCCAACTGGCCCAGCCAGGACTCGAACCAGTGACTCTTTTTACTGTGAGTACTGTGAGTGGAACAATGCTAACCACTGATCCACCAAGCTGCCACAGATACAAAATGTTATTTACGCATCACTTATTGTGTTATTTATTGTATGCAGGTTGTGTGGTTTAGTACAGTAATTCCACAGGGATATTAAATGTTCGACTGATTAAAAAAAGCTTAAGTGAGCAGTTATTTTTTCAATTAGTGCACAGCTATAAAGAAGTTCCAGGTGTGTTTACTGCATTACAGTTCATATGATTTGGCTAAGTTATTTTACATAAATCAAAGGTCTTTAAAGTCAATATTAGAACAGAAAAACATCAACTTATAAATGCATTATTGAGGCAAATGTTGTAAAAAATTAGATTAAAAAAAGTTAGGTTTAAAATTTAAAGTTTTGCCCACAAATACCAGTTAAGGCTAAACTCTATATATCTTTTTGTTTGTATTCCAAGTACACATGTACAGACACACAGTTGTGTACAGACAGTAATGTGAACACATACAGAAACATAGGTAAATTACAGCATAAGCAAGTAATGACCTTTATACTCAAGTAATATCATTTGTTAATTTCACACTGTAGTGGCAATTTTCTTTAAAGAGGCTTTCTATGTGGTAAAGAAACAAAGTCTTACCCGGGATGTCTTTTCAAAGTTTTATTCTTTATAAAGAAGGTCACAATCATACAGCAACAACAGTTTCTGCAGAATGAGACACTGAAGCAAAATATGTTCACCCTTTTATCTAGTTTGTACTGCTTGCGAGGTCAAATCCTAATAAGGCCTAATCTGCATTTACTTCAGGCGTTTTCCGCCGTTCCTGCTATATGTCCTAACAACCATACATCTTTCTTAAGTAACCATACATTTCAGTGATGTGGCCCCTAAAGAAATGTTCACCCTCACATAGCCAGATAAGGGAAATCCTTAGGATAAACACAAAGACCAGATAAGTACCTAGAGGAACATAGTTGTACACAGAAAATGTACACATAGGTTTTATGGCGAACATATGGTGAACACAGATACATGCATGTCTAAAAATGAGTCTTAAACAAGTTTCCAATACATAAAGGTCATCTAAAAATGAATTTCCATTACACAGACTCTGATGAATTTACCCTTGTTAATGCTGATGCAGAGGAATAACAGCTATAACATTTCATAATGCACCACAAAGTAAAACCACCTCTGAGAAACGCTCTGGTCAAGTTGGTCAAGTTGTTTGTGGTTCAGGTCAATCAACTAGCTTGAATGTGTAAGTTTAGAAGTAATGAATATTCTGACATAATTTGAAGCATTTTGAGAAATTGGGTCATTTTAAATGTATTAGAAACAAAAATGTAAACATTTAAAACAAAATTAAAAGCCTTTAAAATAGCAAAATCGAAGCACTTCTCTCTGTTTCATGACTCCACATCAGTGACTCAAACCTCCATCACAAGCTCCAAAATGAGCCTAAATTGGAATTGTCAACCAAGACTGGGATGCAGTACATGGTTCTACACTTGAATATTTTGACAACAAAAAAGCATCTGAACATTCGAACAATGTTAATGTAGTATAAACAGAAAAAAAGGACTTTGTTCTGTTGTGGAATTGAAAAACAATGGACATCGCAACTCCTCTTTACAATATGGCTAATATCTTGGTTGTGCATTACCGTTCATTATTCCAGGACTTATGAGTTATTCTTTACATGGCAAACTATTTTGTCTTATAGCTTTATTTTCAGTTCTTTCCTCCTAAATCACTCCTTTTCTATGTCACATTTTCACTTAGATGTTGCCGCTTTGTCCAAGGAGCTGGACGAGTTTGAGATGCGTAAGACAGAGGCACGGGCAGTAACAGGTGTTTTGGCTTCCCACCCCAACAGCACAGATGTTCACATCAGCAGTCTGTCTCTCACCTTTCATGGACAAGAGTTACTGAGTGACACGAGCCTGGAGCTCAACTCTGGCAGGCGCTACGGCCTCATTGGTCTCAATGGCACAGGTATAAGTGACACTGAAGCTATTATTTCATATTTGTACATAGGCCTGTTGCTAAAAGTTTGCATGAAATCATACAGTCATGTAAAACATTTAAGACTCCTGCTTAAATTCCAATTTTTTTCATATTTATATATTATAATATTCATATTTATATATTATAATAGGATCGTATGAACAATAAAATAACAATGAACAATGTTTCCCAATGATGGGTTGTAGCTGGTTAAAATATGTGCTGGATAAGTTGGCGGTTCAATCTGCTGTGACGACCCCTGATTAATAAAGGGACTTAGCCAAAAACAAAATGAATGAATGAATTAATGAATTTCTTTATGTATAATTTATTTCACACCTGTGTACTACAACAACCTGGATCACACAAGTTTTGTAGACAGGGTTTGGGAGAGGTTTAATGAAAAACTCAAATAGGAAGTCAACTTTACCGTATGTGAGGAAAACCAAACTCATATTAACACTATTTTGATGATATGTTCATACTTTTCTCTGGTGTCTATGAGGATCCACATCACCTCGACCTCAGCACCAGCAACCCATCATCCCTTTCCCTCAACCCGTAGTTTTTTGTATTACTTTAATTAGTGTATTCTTTTTTTTTTTATCTCTATCTTCTCTCATTTTTTTCTCTTTTCTGTCCATACTCTGCTCTGTCCATTATATATGAATATTTTTATTTCTTCTTTTTTTCTTCTACTTATTAACTGTTCCCATTAGTATATTGTCTTCTACCAACTAGCATTTACTCTCATAATATTGGTGTTATTCTCATAATTTTCCCCTCCTCTCCTTAATCCATCACTTCCAAACTTAAAACATATACAAGATTTAGAGGTGTACATCTAATACCGATAACAATCACACACCAACTCCTCACATGATTACATATACAATACATTTAATGTCAGTTTGTGCTTTTGTTTTAGGCTTATTCATGTTTATTGTTAAATCTGCTGTATCTACTTTTGTCTTAGTTGTAAAGCATAATTAAAATAAATAAACAGTTTAATAAAATAAGGATACAAAAATGGGCGGCACGGTGGCTCAGTGGTAAGCACTGCCGCATCACAGAAAGAAGATCGCTGGTTCAAGTCCCAACTGGGTCAGTTGGCATTTCTTTATGGAGTTTTCATGTTCTCTCTGTGTTTTTGTGGGTTTCCTCCAGGTGCTCCGGTTTCCCCCGCAGTCCCGCAGAGACATGCACTATAAATGAATTGCATTAACTAAATTGGCCGTAGTGTATGAGAGTATAGTGGAAGAGTGGATAGTGAGAGTGGAAGAGCATTCGCTACATAAAACATATGCCGGAATAGCTGACGGTTCATCCTGCTGTGGCGACTCCTGATAAATTTAGGACTAAGCCGGAGGAACATAAATGAAGGAAGTAATACAAAAAATGTTATTGCACTAATCCAAATCCAGACCTCATCCTGACTGAAATGCTGTGGTGAGAGCTCTGGAGAAACTCCAAAACTCTTCCAGCTAAACTGAGTCTACAGTCATCTGCATTATAGAGTGTCCTGTTTGTCATCCATGATTTTCAATCTTGGCTTTATTTATAAAGAAATAATGACACAATGTAATGTGTCATGTGATGTTTTACTTTTCACATTTTAAGATCTGCCAAGAATCTTGTAAATTAGTTTTTCAAGAGTTCACACTTAGATACTGTTTGACAACTTGTTAGCAGGTTTGGCATGCTGTCCCGGGAGAGAACCCTGAGCTCGGAGATAGTTGAGCCCAGGGCTCCCGCCAGGTCTATAGAGCATGTGAGGGGAGTACGAGGTCAAGTGTTCTCGAGAGCTCCCCTCGGCAAAAGAGGAAAGGAGGAGAAGGGGTGGATGGGGGTTTCTTCGGAAAACGAAGATAAGGGAGTAGATCTTAGCTAGGTTACTTATAGTGAGTTTGGATGAATCTGATTGGCTAGCTAATGAGTGTAGATGAGTGGCCAGCTGCAGTCAATCATATCCCGTGCTCCTCTCGAAATTAGTTTGTGAAACTTCATTTATTATGTCCTAATATGAAAACCATGAGATTTAATAGGGTGTCTAAAGTTTTTTCAAATGACTGTAGCTAGGAAAGCTCATTCTCCAATGCTTTTTACAGTCAACTATTAATGAACAAAAATGATCAAACACACTAATCTGAGGTTAGAGGCTTTTGTGGATGAGAATTTTCTTGAAACTGGTTTTGTAGGTAAGTCAATGCTGCTGTCTGCCATTGGCCACCGAGAAGTTCCCATCCCAGAACACATTGACATCTTCCATCTGACGCGTGAGATGGCCCCTAGTGAGAAAACGGCGCTGCAGTGTGTTATGGAGGTTGATGAAGAGAGGATAAAGCTTGAGAAGGAGGCTGAGCGACTGGCTCATGAGGATTGTAAGTTACACACATTAATGAATTCGTCCACATTTCATCCCCCAACACTCAATCAGCATGATATACTTATCTCCTTATCAGTGTTATGCACTTCTGTTTATGTATTTGCTCTGGTTTTATTAACGAGTAGCTCCATTAATCCAGAACTACTCTTCCCTGCGCTACAGCAGAGTGTGAAAAGCTGATGGAGATCTATGAGCGTTTAGAGGAGTTGGACGCAGACAAAGCTGAAGTTCGAGCTTCACGAATCCTCTTTGGACTCGGTTTCACCCCTGCTATGCAGCGAAAGAAACTGAAAGACTTCAGTGGAGGCTGGAGAATGCGTGTGTCACTTGCCAGGTGAGGAATGTGATTAAAAATGTTTCTTCAATTTCATGATGGGTTAAAAACAAACACAAGTGTATGATTTTAATCTTCTTTCTATTAAAGGCCAGTCAAGCCATGCAGTTTTTTTAAGTCTTTTTAAAGTTGTTGCATTTTATAGACTATTATGTTTAACGATGAAGATAACTTTTATTTTATTGGAAGTTGTTGGAATTTAATATGTGAAATTAATCATCTCTGGTCAGAATTAGTTTACCACTTTAATTCATATGCCAATATTAAAGCATTAAAGTTCCTTAAATCTCCATTTGCTTATTTTTTCGTTTAGAGCCCTTTTCATAAAGCCCTTCATGCTGTTGTTAGATGAACCCACTAACCACCTGGATCTGGATGCCTGTGTGTGGCTAGAAGAAGAACTGAAGTCGTGAGCACTTTTATTGATGTTCATTAAATGTCCTAGTATTTATGCAATCAAATAAGATGAAAATCTAAAGGCTTGTAGTTTATTTGACTAACTATTATTTTGAAAAAAAGTATTTTTCAAATGAATATGTTTTTGTTATCTTTTTTCTTTCAGTTTTAAGCGAATTCTTGTACTCATCTCACATTCTCAAGACTTTCTCAATGGTGTGTGCACAAACATCATTCATCTCCACCAGAGGAAGCTCAAGTACTACACTGTAAGTGCTGTGCTGTTTTGTTTTGTTTTGTTTTTTTTTGCTTACTATTGATAGGTGAGTAATCTGCAGGGTTCCCACGCTTCCTAAAAGTGCTTGATTTTCAGACATGTTTTTTTAAGGTCTGGAAAGCACTTTAAAACAAACATAGGTCCTTAAAAATTTCTTGAATTTTAAAGTTATGTTATTTCCACAATTGTTCTGTGCTACTTTCAAAAACTTTGAAATTTCAATCTTAAAAAACTTTAAATTTCAATCTTACATAAACAATAACAGATAATGCGTTATAGCACTCTTTCAGAAACATCATTTGAATATTGCCAAGACTGAGAAGTCAAGTAATTGTATTGAGGTTATTTGAACATTACTTTAAAACAGTTGTTTAAAAAGGTCAACATTATTATAAATGACATTAAAACATCATTGTTATGACATTTGTAATGTAAATATTAAGTATAAGTTAAATGTTAATTACAGGAAGGACTTTCATGGCGTTATACATGCTGGGGATGTGAATTACAAAGGTATTCAATTTAAATTATTAGGGATTTAAAAAGTCCTTGGAAGTCCTTGAGTTTGGTGTCCACAATAGAGTAACAACCCTGAATCTGTTGAAGGCAGTTAAAGAAAAAGTTCACAATCAAAACTGTCAACATTCATTTATTCTCATTTTACTTCAGACTTGCAAGATTTTGAAAAATGTTTGTGTTTTTTTATTGATATATTTGAAGTATAAATTGCTTTCTTTCATTCATTCATTCATTCATTCATTCATTCATTCATTCATTTTCTTTTCGGCTTAGTCCCTTTATTAATCAGGGGTTGCCACAGCTGAATGAACTGCCAACTTACCCAGTATTCACACTCATACAATACGGACAATTTTTAGCTTACCCAATTCACCTGTATCCCATGTGTTTGGACTTGTGGGGGAAACCCAGAGGAAACCCACATGAACACTGGGAGAACATGCAAACTGCATCACTGTGACGCCCCATATAAATGACATCTTTACATTTAACATTTTAAAATTAACATTTAAAATGTAATTCAAATGTTTCATACTTAATATGTAAAAAGTCAGACAGGTTTGGAGTGAAAGTTATGACCGAATTTAAATGTAAAGTGCATTATGTTGCAGCATCTTATTTAAAAAATAGAGAACCAACATAGAGAATCATGAATGAAGCTCAGCCAGTGTCTAGAATGGTGAAACACAATAGCTGTATGTTTTTTCAAAAAATCTCTACGATCATGCCTTTTGTCAAGTCTTAGGTGGTGTGAAATTTCATTCTTTCATTACTGTTGCTAAATATGAACAGAAATTGGTCCAATGCCACACTCATCAGTCATCACATGAGTCATCATGCACACTCATTTCAAAGTTTGAGAGCAGAGAAATTATATTCTGTAATGTAATGAAAGGTTTGTTTTAGGGGAACTATGACCAGTATGTAAAGACCAGGGAGGAGCTGGAGGAAAACCAGATGAAGCGGTACAACTGGGAGCAGGACCAGATAGCTCACATGAAGGTGAAACTGTGCATATTTGTGCTATATTTATACACTACCTGACAAAAATCTTGTCATTGATCCTAAATGTAAGAGCAACAAACAATAACTTGACTTCTAGTTCATCATTGTTAAAATGGCAGAAGGTAGATGTTTCAGATGAATCATCTGTTGAACTGCATACCAATCATCACAAATACTGCAGTAGACCTACTGTAACCCGCATGGACCCATGATTCTCATAGAAATCAGTCAAGTTTGGTGAAGGAAAAATCATGGTTCGGGGTTCCATTCAGTATTGGGGCGTGCAAGAGATCTTCAGAATGGATGGCATCAACAGCCTGAGGTATCAATTTGTGCTGCCCATTACATTACAAACCACAGGAGAGGGCAAATTCTTCAGCAGGATAGCGCTCCTCCTCATACTTCAGCCTCCACATCAAAGCTCCTGAAAGCAAAGTAGGTCAAGGTGGTCCAGGGTTGGCCAGCCCACCACCAGTCACCAGATATGAACCTTATTGAGCATATCTGAGGTAAGATGAAGGAGGAGGCATTGAAGATGAATCCAAAGAATCTTGATGAACTCTGGGAGTCCTGCAAGAACGCTTTCTTTGCCATTTCAGATGACTTTATTAATAAGTTATTTGAGATGCAGAGATTTATGGATGCAGTCCTCCAAGCTCATGGGAATCATACACAATATTCATTCTTTCTCCACTGCAGCATGACTTTATACTCTATACTGAACATTATTTCTGTAAAGTGACAAGACTTTAGTCTAAGCAAATTCAGACCTTACTGTCATAATTAAATCATTCAAAATCAAGGCATGATCATATTTTATTTTGGTAAATAAATAAGCGTAATCTAGAGGCCTTTGCCTTTCTTATGAACCACTTCTGATACCAAATGATCAACTTGAAGTCAAGTTATTATTTGTTCTTAAAACTTGCATAGATGACAAGACTTTTATCAGGTAGTGTATTGTTTTCTTTCATTGCCTTAAATGCTTTTTTTTTGGTGAAAATAAAACAAATTTGTTCCTTTTACCTCCTGTAGAATTATATTGCCCGTTTTGGTCATGGTTCTGCAAAGCTAGCTCGCCAAGCTCAAAGCAAAGAAAAAACACTGCAGAAAATGGTAGCCTCTGGCCTAACAGCTCGAGTGATGAATGATAAGGTTTGTCACGTAGACCAAAACACATCAACACACACGCTAGCTAGCCTGTGACCCTTTGGAGTTTTTGCATGTCACTTTCTATTGCCTAAGATCTGTTATCAGCATTAATGTAGTAATGCTAAATGACTTTCATCAGTTGCACAATGCTACAGTATGACCGAGACAAAAGAAATGAAAAGTGAGAAACATAGACATGATTGTTCTTGTGCTCCATAGGAGCTAGTTAAGTTTATTTACTCACCCTACACATTTGCTCTTTTGTAGAACAGTAAATATTTTTAGCTGAAAATGTGGTCCTCAGATAAAAAATAAATAAATAAAATAAATATATATAAATATTATATGTTATACTGTATATGTATAAATATATACAAATCATTGGGGCTCCTAACATTGAAACGATCACTTGTTGCAACAAACTGAGCATTTTCAGTCAACAAAAAGACCACCAACGCCACGTTTTGGATGTCTCTTTTGTCTGTAACAGCCATTTCAGGCTTTTCATCTCTTCCAATGTGCTGATGATCTTGATCAGGTTTGTTTGGCTAAGGAGACATAGAAAATGTGGTCTGAGCTGGTGGTCCTCCAGGAACGTGTTTGAGAAACACTGTACTAAACTGTACTGTGTTTACTGTAACCACAGCTTAAACTTTTGTCAGGGGTTTTAACTACACCTTTCTTCTTCAGACTTTGTCATTTTATTTTCCTCCTTGTGGGACAATTCCTCCTCCTGTCATCATGGTGCAGAATGTCAGCTTCAGATACTCCAGTGACACCGTGAGTCCACAGCCTTTCACACTGTCTGACACTCTGCTAGCTCATTGACACTGCATCGTCTGGCTTAAGAGTTTTGTTTTATTACTCCTACTGCGTGTTGCCATATTCAGTCCTATGTCTAATTTAAAGACATGTCTATATTGTACAAGGCTTTACATTACAAGAGAGCAGCGAAGTCCACACCAAAGCTACTGCAATAATGACATAGAAGAGTGATATTGTTGGAATTATTTTCAGACTGATGAACTATAAAAAAATAATAATAATTTAACCCTGATGATAAAGGTCTTTACTTGATGACAAAACAGCAGCACACACTTCTGATGAACAGAATGTTATCATGCATTGTTTGTTCTACTGTAATGATTATTATTGCTAACATTCTTTGTGAAAATGGGCCTTAAGTCTGAAACTTAATAAATATACCTTAATTTTATTTTACTAGCAAATTATTTATAAGAACTTGGAGTTTGGCATTGACTTGGACACACGGGTTGCACTTGTTGGTCCCAATGGGGCGGGGAAGTCCACACTTCTCAAGCTGCTGATGGGAGAGGTCAGTTATGAAAAGCGAGATGTGAAGATGTTTACAGATCCATCTAATAAAGTTTTAAAAGTGCATCATTATCATTTATTCTCTTGTGTTTTGTCTCCTGAAGCTTCTCCCTACAGATGGAATGATAAGGAAACACTCACATGTCAAGATTGGCAGGTATCACCAGGTACTGTCTTAATAGAAAATGCTGTATTTATTTTTAATACTTTGTGGTCTCATTTATAAAACTTTGTGTGGAAACTTTACTTACAACCAACCAGAGAATTTATATACGGGGAAAATTCTTACATCCTACATTTCATGCTGCACAGTTAATGCAGTTGGTTTGGCCAACAGGACAATAGGAAGAAGTGGTAAAATACATATATATATATATATATAAAAAACTTCATTCATTTATTAAGGATTAGGTATCAAATGACCAGAAAAAGAAAAGAAAAAAGTGAAAAGCCAACGGACATAGGATGTAGTTGTCTCCCCTTTCAGCCACTTCACTGATGAGGGAGGGTCTGTGGGCAGGTATCAACTTTTATCTTTCAATCGATTAGTAGGAGAACTAGTGCAATTTTCATAATTTGCAAAATATGTCTTATTAAAAGCATCAGATCAATTAAACACACTTTGTCAACAGGATATTTTATGCATCAACTATGAAATTATATATATTTTTTTACTTTAATTTTTGATCAACTCCTAAATATTTGTTTTTTTTATATGTATTTATATAACTCCTTTATTATTTTTTACAGTTAATAATTAAGTACACCCCATTTTCAGTGAATATAGGCAATGTATTTTGGTGTATTTAAACAAAACAGGTTTATTTAACAGATATATTTACTAAAATAATATTTTATTAACCAAACATATTAAGAAATTAAGAGATAATACAAATTAAATCTTCCATCAAAATATTGACAAAAACAAAATTTACAACCTACAAAATTTCAACTACATTTTTCCATTTTTTAAATAGTATTATTATTTTGCTTCTCTTGATTTTTCCTCTTTTTTTAAAATTTGTATTAAACATTGTTCTATAACATATAGATTTGGGTGTACTCGTTTTTGGTCTGTTATTGTAAGTAATTTTGTTAGAAAGATCCAGATTTGGCTTCAGTACTGACTAATCTAATCTATATGCACAAATATAATATTGTATAGCTTCCTATTAAAAAAAATAATTTAAAAGATAGATTTGTGAGAAGTGTACTTATATATGCTGAGCACTGTATGTTTTTGTTTGTATTAACTTTGTTTCATAAATGTTTTACAACATAAAAAGTAATTAAATTAGGTGTCTAAATAACATCCACATTTCAGAAATCTCATTTGCAGTAAGTATTTTTAAAAAAGAAAAAATTAAACATATCAGGAGTGGTCAGAGAACATTTTACTTTATACATTTTCACTTCCAATACAAAACCTATCATTATCAATGGCAAAGTTTAAATCTGTCTCCTGCACGCTTCAGTGGGACTGGAGCGGAGTTTAGCTGCTCCGTTTAGCAATTCTATTTTACCAAATCATTGCATCAATATTCCCCCTCTACTAACGTTATAATCTAAATCTTTGCAACCAGATATTTCTTTTAATTCCACACTCCAGACGCAAACATATTGATCATACCTTCTCTGTTACTCGGCTTGCCAGTTTAGCTCAGAATGTTTTAATAAAAAAAACATTTTTTAAATGTTTTTTTTTTGTTATTCTACTTTTTAATCTGTCTTTTATGTTAATATACATTTTTTAAAATACGGGAATTAATTTTACGCCAGTATTTTCAATGGAGTTTCTGCACTAGCCTGTGGCTAATGACAGCACCTGCGTTTAAATGGGATTTTGTTTCTTTTTACAATTTACCAACCAAATGGATGCTTAAGTCTATTTAACTGAAATTACATTACAACATTGATGCTGTAAAAGGAACCTTATGAAATTGAAAACAGACACAAAAACCTTTCACCGGAATTTCATTATTGCCTAAAAAACACTAGCTGTGCATAAAGCCCATTAACCTTTTTTCTAGAATGTGTTTACACATGGTCCAGTTTTTTCTCCCATCAGGAGAGATCACAACCTTTTTGTGGAAAAAGATTTTTTATAGATCACAACCTTTGTGTGGAAATGGCTTCTGTGGTCTCATTTATAAGTGTGACATGCACAAAATAGGGGTTGTGTGGGAAATGTGTGTTTTTTTTATATATATATTTCTCAAATGATGTTTTACAGAGCAAAGCAATTTTTACAGTACATCTGTTGATATTTTTACTTCTGGGGAAAGTCTTATTTGTTTTATTTTGGCTAGAATAAAATCTGTTTTTAATTTTTAATAATCATTTTAAGGTTAAAATTATTAGCCCCTTTAAGCTGTATTTTTTCGATAGTCTACAGAACAAAATATCATTATACAATAACTTGCCTAATTACCCTAACCTGCCTAGTTAACCTAATTAACCTAGTTCGGCCTTTTAATGTCACTTTAAGCTCAATAGAAGTGTCTTAAAAATTATCAAGTCAATTATTATTTACTGTCATCTTGGCAAAGATAAAATGAATCAGTTATTTTAATTTGTTGAAAAGATCTCTCTGTTAATCAGAAATTGAAAAAAAATAAATGGGGGTTAATAAGTCTGGCTTCAGCTGTATGTGTTCATAGTAAGTATTGTCCATGGTGTCATGTTTGTCTTGCAGCATCTGACTGAGCAGCTGGAGCTCGATCTGTCTCCTCTGGAGTACATGATGAAGTGCTTCCCAGAAATCAAAGAGAAGGAGGAGATGAGGAAGATCATTGGATGTTATGGCCTGACAGGGAAGCAGCAGGTACATGTGTGGGTTGTTTAATGTACAGGGCGAGGGGTACTACAGCACCAGATAATACAGTACACTCTACTTGCTTTCTTAATATTTTGTTTGTTTGTTTGGCTGTCCACTCCATTCTTCATAGGTCAGTCCCATCAGGAACTTGTCTGATGGCCAGAAGTGCCGGGTGTGTTTCGCCTGGCTAGCATGGCAGAATCCACACATGCTGTTTCTGGATGAGCCAACCAATCACTTGGACATAGAGACTATTGATGCACTGGCTGAGGCCATCAATGAATTTGAGGGAGGAATGATGCTGGTTAGCCACGACTTCAGACTTATTCAGCAGGTATGTCTTTGAGGAGGACAACGCCAGGAAATGGAAAACATTATTAGGGACAGACTTACTAAACAGCGTAAATTAGTAGAGTCTGCAATCTCATGAAGTTCACTGAAAATTATTCTACTGATACTTTGCAAGTGAAAGAACATAATCTAGTGCATAACGACTAATGCAGTTTACTATGGATTGGATTGTTAATGAACCAAATGTTCACAGACATCCCAAGTCTCCGGGAAGCTAAGGGAGTGTCCCATCTATTCATAATAAAAAATGACGGCAAATGAGATATAATATCCCAGAAATGGAAACGTCCTCCCACTAACCGGCACCATGTCAACAAGTTTTTGCGCTAAGGCATATAGGTGGAGTGCACGAAATATAACGTCAGAATGACCATGTTTAATGTCTGAATCATTATTTGGGGAAAGGTTATTTGAAATGACTGCTGCCAAAATGAATGCACTGTCATCATTACATTAATAAAAGACTATATTACAACTCATGGCCTTAAGAATAACTAGAACAACTATAAGACAAAAAGAGAATAACTATAAATAGTAAGTATAATACAAGCTTAGATGGACTTAAAAATAAGGTGAAAAATTATTGTAATCTCATTAAGAAACGTTGTGGACAATCAAACTCAGACTGGGGCACGCATATTAAGGATCCCATGTGGATCATCATGCTATGGCACATTTAAGCGTTTTTATTTCTACATTTAACTAGATATCTGGATTGTGTGATTTAATTGTTTTTCCATCTCATTCTAGGTGGCTCAGGAAATTTGGGTCTGTGAAAAGCAAACCATCACCAAGTGGAAAGGAGACATTTTAGCTTACAAAGAGCACTTGAAATCAAAAATTGACAAACAGACTCACGATATATAAAGATTGGAAAAAGAATTACCAAGGACTGACTTTCCTCCTATTTCCCAAAGGTGCTTGACCGAAGGATCATTGAGAACTTCTCAAGAGCAATTGTTCTCTGGTTATATCTTCTAACGCATCTCTTAGATTTCCCAGCATCAGAGCGTCTGTTTTCTTTTAATATTGTAAAGGCAATAATGGTTCACTGAAACAAATGCAGAACATCATAATAACATCAGCATTATCATTCAGGAAAAAACTCTAATTATGCAACATCAACTCTTAACATCAGCATCCCTACCAAAACAATGAATAGAAACACAAAATATTTTACACCAAACAGTGTGATCTTAATGTCAGTAATGCATTCATGTGAATATATGTCCACATTCCTGTTACTTCCTCATTTTTTTAATGCAAGATGAGCTGGGGTATTTAATACTATTTAATAATATTTAGGTGAAACTGGTCAGGAATGCTCTTCCAATCTCAACCCAGCGTTGAGAGTACAACCCCCAGTGCTGGGAAACACCCACACACTCTATTCACATACTATAGGCAATTTAGCTTATCCAGTTCACCTATATCACATGTCTTTGGACTGTGGATGAAACCAGAACACCCCAAGGAAACACACACAAACATGAGGGGAACATGCACACTTCACACAGAAAGGCCTCCTGGCCCAGCTGGGACTCAAACCAGCGGCCTTCTTGCTGTGAGGTGACAGTGCTAACCACTTAGTCAACATGCTGCCCGTACACTGAGACATTTTAAGAAATCCCATGCTCGTCATCTGATGGTCAACTATCGCTGTAGCAACTGAGATAGTAGCCTGCTTTTTTTTCTTTATCTTAAATGTTTGGTGATTGTTTGTACTGTGTTGATGGATGAGATGTTTGTCTGTTTTTATGTTCTGCAGAGCAGGAACCTGCTGAAAAACAGCATTCATGCTGAGTCAGGCCCGATTATCTTTTAATCTTTTCCTGTTTAAAAATAAAAAATAAATAAATAAAAAATAAGAGATTCTTATAGTAGCAGTGTAACTGCAATGAGGAATCCATACGGTTTCTAAATATTTTGTAATGTAGCCAATGTCACGAACAAAACCAGACTTGTTTCACAATGAGGGACATTTATCATATCTAGTGAGAAGCAGCTCTCTTTCTCAAAAAAATACTCACCCATACAGGTTTTCATTGTTGAAAACTGTTGCGACCGATACCTTGTCTAAGTATGTATTTCTAACTTAGCTACACTTCAGGATAAAAACTTCTTTCCTAATGAGACACGGGCCTCTATTAGGAATCTTGTCCCCCATTTAGAAAGGTGAACACATGCGTGTGCAATGTCTCCAGTCTTGTGGTTGCACATCTGCATCTGTCCAGAGCACTCAGTGTGTTTCCAATGTATTATTAATATTATTTATTTTGTTTATCTTTTAGTTTATCTATTTAGTAATTTATTTAGTTTATTTTAAAAAACTGAGTGTCATGTTTAATCACGAGGGTAAAAGTCATATTATGTCATTCTCTTCCACCTACACTCCTAACAACAAATACCCTTTCTAAAGCTTATAGACTGTATGTATTAATGAGATGACTAATTATCAAGCATGTAAAAAAAAAACTTCGGTACGCCCTTGCTTTCACAACTATAAGATGTCATCTTCACCGACTGCAAGATAAACATTGCTTCCTCGTAGCAGTCACAGATACTTCTAGTCTTTTCTGTGTAGTGTTTCATCTTTTTACCATGAAGGAAAGCAAAAACTCATCAGCAGTCAAAATCCTCCTTATTCTCATCATTGTACAAGGAGCCATGGGCCGTGTGATTGATTCATGGGTAAGATGAACAAACCTATACTCATACTGTGAATACATTCTCTTTTTTATTGATCTTTAAGGTGTAGTGTATGATAGTGAGTTAACAGGAAAGCTTTAGACAAACAGTGCAACTCAGAAAGTGCCTTTATGACTCTGCGCTAAGATTTTTTCTTTTTGAGCTTTAATGTTTCTGAATATTAAATTATAATAAGGGTTCCTTCTATTATTATTATAATTATTGTTACTTTTAGCTTTGGTTTAGTGTAATGAAAGAACAGTTGAAGACAAAATGATTTGCCCTTCTGTGAAATTATAATTCTTTTTCAATGTTTTCAAAAGGGGTGTTTATCAAAGAATGGAAATTAAGGTTAATATTACTATCCCCCTTAATTGAAAGTAACTTGCCTTGTTAATTAACCTGGTTTTAGTCTTTAAATTGTATTTTAAACTGATTACTTCTAAATATCTAATAAAATAATAATGCACTGTCATCATGGTTAAGACAAAAGTAACGAGTTATTAAAACTTTTTTTTTTAAAATGTGTTTTTTACACTTAGACTTGTGTCATGCTTTACAATAAGGTTTTATTAGTTACTGTATTTACTAACATGAACTATGTTTGTACAATATTTAACTAATGCATTGACTCATTTACTAATACATTGTTGACATCCAAATCCATGCTTGTTAACATTAGTAAATGCACTGTGCGTTAACATGAATTAACAATGAACAACTGTATTTTCAACATGAACAAATACTGTAATACATTTGTTGGTCATTGTTTGTGCATGTTACATGCGTTAACTAACATTAATTAACACAACCTTACTGTAAAGTGTTACTTATACTCGTGAAATATTTGAAAATAAAATGGCGCTTTTGTTGGATAAATGCATTCTTGTCTGCACACAGTTTACACTTGGACGTAAGAATTTGATGTCTAAAATGAACACGGTGCAATTTCTTTTCTCCATTCTAAATCAGGAACAGTCCTCAGAGGACATTAGTTGGTCAGGATCTGGGGAAGGAGCCCAAGGCCCAGATCGAATGAAATCAGTCATCATAGGACCTGAATTAATGCAGGTTATACTAATAAATATCATTTGAAGTATAGAAATATTCTAAATTGAAAATATTCGAAAGTATTCTAAACATTTATCTTGTTTATATTCAGGAACAAAATGATGTCCCGGACTACTGAATGAAGAAGACAGTGCCTCTGCCCAACATTAAGATTCTTCAAATTATTTTAATGAAATTACAGTTCATAAGAGATGGCATACATATATAATGTGATTCTACTGTTAATAAGTACATTAAAAACTCAAACATTTAATAGTGTTTGAGATTATACATTGATTTAACTTCAATAAAAGGCAATCAAATAATAATCACTTTCATTTGCTTATTGTCCCAATAAGGAGCTTTTGTCGAGCGAAAGGATTTCATAGTTGTTAAAGGGTATAATGGAGGCGTCAATGAATGCTTGCAAAAACTTCATTTTTGAACAGTTTACGGTTGACTGGTTGTAAATAAGATTTTATCTTATACATGGAGCCTTAACAAGTAAGAACTGGGGCGACAGATGTGATTGCAATATTGTACCAAATCTGTATAATTTTGATCTTGATGTATAAGAAAGTTAGATTGAAAAATATTCAGGATTTTTTTTTTGTTGTTGTTTCAAACAATCAAATGAACACACACTCATCAAGCACTTTAATAGATACACCTTACCAGTATTGTGTTGAACCCCATTTTTGTCTTCAGAACTCCGTAGCATAGATTCATCAAGGTACTGGAAATATTCCTCAGTGGTTTTGGTTTATATTGACATGATATCATAACACAGTTGCTGCAGATTTGTGGACTGCACATTCATGATGCAAATCTCCTGTTCCACCACATCCTAAAGGTGCCCTATTGTATTGAGATCTGGTGATTGGAGGCACTATAGAGTACAGTGAACTCATTGTCATATAAAAGAAACCAGTCTGAGAGGATTTACGCTTTATGACATGGCGTGTTATCCTGCTAGAAGTAGCCATCAGAAGATGTGTACACTGTGGTCATAAAGGATAGACATGGTCAGCAACAATACTCAGGTAGGCTGTAGCATTGACACAATGCTCTATTGGTACTAATGGGCCTAAAAGTGTGCCAAGAAAATATCTATTACACATCCACCAGCAGCCTGATCCATGTTTTCATGTCGTTGACACCAAATTCAGACCCTATCATCCAAATATCGAAATCGACTCATCAGACCAGGCAACGTTTTTCCAATCATCTATTGTTACATTTTGGTGAGCCTGTGTGAATTGTAGCCTCAGCTTCCTGGTCTTAGCTGACAGGAGTGGCACCCGGTGTGGTCTTCTGCTGCTGTTGCCCATCCACCCCAAGGTTTGATGTGTTGTGCATTCAAAGATGCTCTTCTGCATACCTCGGTGTGAACGAGTGGTTCTTTAAGTGGACAGGTGTACCTAATAAAGTGGCCGGTGAGGGTATAGTAGACAAAGATTTAGAGTTTATGTGTCTTAAAAAGAAAAGAATAGTAATTCTGTACTTGATAGCATTCAAGATTTTGGACAATTTAAGCTGGATTTCATTTCAAGGTTTGTGCTTAAAAAGTGGTTAACAGGTGATAAATGCATTACAACTAAATATAAATGATAACCTTAAAGTCCCCTTAGAATACAAAATTAAAAAACATAACTGAAGTTAAAATAGATTAAAATATTTTATAAACTAATTTTAGCAAATGCCAGTACAATGAAATGTCAATAGCTCTTACTTATGCATAAGATAATAATATCTTCAATTGAACAATAGCTAGTTCTTTCTTCCATAAAATTAGTTACTGTATATATGTTACTCTTTCTGGACTGTTCCAAACTGAAGGGGAATTTCTTTGTGGCCAATAAATATATTACAGAACATTCCCGTTTTTGAGAAAATTTCCTGATTTATGTATTTGACATTGTTGATAGTTAAAAACTGTTTGTTTATTAATTATAAAGTTTAGGGCAGTGGTTTTCAGTCCTAGCGTCCCACCGTTCTGCACATTTTGCATGCCATCCTTGTTTAACACACTTGATTCAGATCATTGGCTCATTGGAGAGTTCCATGAACTGAACTGATTGTGTCAGAAAACCCAGACAAACAAACATGTGCAGAGTCCCAGAATCAGGAAAACCTCCACTTCAGGGGGAACAGGACAACTGTCAAATTGGCAGGTGGCCAAGGCCTCACTGTTCTCCAGTCTCATGGAGGAGCTCCAGACAGAAAAAAGAAAAAGTGAAGAGTGTAAAGAAGGAGAGAGGACAAGGACTGGGGTATTTCATAATGTGCTTTCATTTATGCCTGTGTGTCAGTAGACCATGAAAGCAGGGAGAGTGAGGGAACGGCACATGGAGTCATCACCAGCCATCAGGTGTCAGTAGTGGTAAAATCTAATGAGAAACTCTGGGGGTTTGACTTTTGCAGGCCTTATCATCTATGCCAGGGGTCACCAATCTCGTTCCTGGAGGTCCGATGCCCTGCAGGGTTTAGCTCCAACTTGCTTTAACACACCTGCCTGGGTGTTTCAAGTATACCTAGTAAGACCTTGATTAGCTTGTTCAGGTGTGTTTGATTAGGGTTGGAGCTAAAATCTGCAGGACACCGGACCTCCAGGAACAAGTTTGGTTATCCCTGATATATGCCATGCCCAACAGTACAATACCAGCCCGTTGCTGGACTGTTCAAAGGTGCAGTGAACTTTTCAAAATGGTTCCAAGCTTTCTCATGAATGAATCAGGTTCTCTGTCATCATCCATACTCAATGATTGAACTTCACCAAAGTTCAAGAAGGCTGTTTTTAAACCATGGATGTCAGTGTCTCTTGCTAGACCCTCAATAATTACGTGAGGAGCTCATGTGATGCACATTAGTTTGCCTTTGATCTCCAGAGTTTTAAGAACCTTTTTAGCCTTTTCTCCATCACAGCAGCGCTGAAAGGCAACAAATCCAAACCCACGAGAAAAGTTTGTTGAGTTGTGTCTGAAGATGCGCACATAGCAGACCCAGGCAGCAAAGAATTCTGGCCCAGGTTTGGCTTAAAGCTGGCAAAGCAGGCATTCATCCGGCACTGGCAGACAGCATGTGGGCTAAACGTGGCCTGGGTTTAGCAGAGGTGGCATCGTCTTTAAGGCAGCACACAAAACTTGGGCCAAATGTAAAATGTAGTATTTGGCCCAGATGTCAATAATTTATATGTGTCCATGTAAGTTTGGCCTGTCTTGACTGAGAAATTTGAGAAAAACCAAGCCCAAAGTGTGCCGAAAACGCAATGCTTCATGGGTTTATCAATTTTATAGCCATCGTGATGCACCAACATATCTGGCCCAGACCCAGTTATGGGTTATTAACTTGTCTGAAAACCAGACTTGGTTCAGTGATGTACCGTAATTCGCTTCGGCATGTGGGCCAAGCAAAAGCTGATTGTGTGGGCCAGAGCCAGAGAAATCCCCAAATTCTATGTGGGTATCAGTCTGAATTGGTTGAATACATTTTTAAGAATATCTTCGGACACATTTACGTGTAAATAACTCATAACATGTGTCCCAGACTGACTTTACTCTTGATTGTTATGCATTGGTCGATATTAATTCAAGGAAAAAAATTCTCCAAAAACTCTCTGTACAGAGGGTAATGCGTGATTATATCTGTAAGCAAATTAGACTCACATTTATACAATATAATATATTGTCTTGGGCATTTTTGAGTCTTTGCTAGAGCTCATAGTTTAGGGAATTCCTGTATTGTCATTTACTCTTTTGTTAAGTGGTCAATTGTGAAGAACTTCCTATTGAATGCCTATAAAATACCCTGAAATTGCCTTGGTCAATCTCATAACCGCTGTATCAATAGTAAGTGTCCTAATAAAGAATTCTCCTGGAAGTTACATCCAGAGTCTCATGGTCTTCCCTTCTGAGTAAAATTATTAAAGAGGACTAGACCCTGAAACTGCCTTATATTCAGATGTGCATTATTTTAAGCAGGTTTCATTTTACAAGTATAAGATGGACCAAAAACAAGATATAAGTAACTCTTAAAGTAAACAAATATTAAATCCCTAACACGTGTAGAATACTATAGAAAATGCACAATTACGGGCATAATCCTTCATTCATTCATTTTCTTTTCAGCTTAGTTTCTTTATCAATCTGGGGTCACCGCAGCTGAATGAACCGACAACTTTTACAGCATATATTTTACGCAGCGGATGCCCTTCCAGCTGCAACATATCACAGGGAAACATCCATATACAATCATACACTATAGACAATTAAGCCTACCCAATTCACCCGTTCAGCAGTTCACGCGGGGAGAACATGCAAACTCCACAAAGAACGACAGCACTACCTACTGCGCCACTGAATCGCCCTTAAGGCATTATCATTGCACAATAAATTGTGAGATTTTAATATTTTTCCCCCCTTTTTTTCCTTTTTGCTTGTTAATTTTTTGATGCATAAAACTGGATGGCTGAGGACAATTCTGATTAATCTCAAACTGACCAGTCATATCTGCTAGCACTAGCACAGATCTAGTTGGCTCTGCATGCTCTGTAATCGTGCTTTATGGCACGATTTAAGAAAAGTCTTTTAAGTATAACAAATTCTGCTTACTAGTATTGAAAATGTAATATTTTTAGGTTTTAAAATAAAAAAGAGGTCCTTTACAAGTATTTCTATATGTATCATTCTCTGTTTAAAAAGAATATAACTGCATTAAAGCTTGGCCCTTAATATTTGAAAACTGAAGTGTACAGTTAGATTTGTCACCAGATCTGACTTCTCAAAGAGTCACATGCAATATACTTTTACTTTTCACCATTTTCTACTTTTTAAGCTGATTTATAATGAGATGCAGTAAATACTAATTATGACTAGTAAAACAGCACACCAGTCAGCCTGAAATGCACAAAATGATTTCCAGACTCTTGTGTGTTTGTGATACGTCAGTGACAAACAGCGACATCCAGCGGTTCATGAATGTTATTGTCCATCCACAGTGACGTGCTTCAAGCAGGAAGTGAGCGCGTTCATGTGGTTGTGTTGTGCTGTTTTGCCGCCTTGACGCAAGCTCACTTACTGTACATTTGCATTTGCAAATGTTTAATATTTACTGATGTAAGCAAAGGAGAGAAACTATGGCTGCTGATACTTCCACTGTTGGAGGGATACAAGGTTACCTTCTTAAGCTCCACTCATCCCTTGAAGACACAGTGAGCACGAATGTTGCTATAGTCTGCCATGACATTATTGGAGACTTGGGGCAGGAGTGCATGATAACTAAGAATGAGAATGAACTGGGTAAGAACTTTTTCTTGCAAAAATCATCGTGTTATATTTATACAATATGCATTTATTCAGTTTTCATTCATTACTTTTATGCCTGTATTTGAAAGTTCTGCACATTCACAATCAGAGTTTAATCATTTTCCAACATGGATTCCTGAGACATTTTAAAGTTCACAGGTCAAGATATCAGTGAAAAGTCACTTTAAAGATAAAATGTATGTCTCAAATATAACATATTTGATTTAGTTTTAGTTTTATGGGTATTCATATGCTAATATATATATACATTCAACTGAATGCCCATTTCTATAAGTAAAATTTAGCTTAGGTTTTTAATAGTACATGCTTGACATTACTCCGTTGTCTATTTTGCATAAAGTAATCTCAAACTAAATTACAACTGCACACTTAATAGACTGATAGTGATTTGTAAACTTCTTAATGTTATTTTAGGTTAATTAGGCTTGGTCAGACATGCCAAGAATATTTAAAATGCCTAAGTGTCTACAAAAACAAATATGTACTGTCCAACAACAGTGACATTTTAGTAATCTTCAAAAGGAAAAATTAAAGTGTGAAATGAAGAATACACAAACAGCTGTATAACGAAACAAAACTAACAAAAGTTTATTCATAAATATATTAAAAAGGAATGGTTTTATTCAATTAACAAGTGTTTAAATGTTTGCAAGCACAATAGAATAATTGGCATCCTTGTACTGGTTAATTGTTGAGTAGGCATGGGCCAGTATAAGATTCTGACGGTATGACAATCTTGGATAAAAACATCACGTTATTGTGATTACTGCTCTAAAATTTGCTCTTTTTAAATGTCTGTGTAAAAAAACTAACTTTTTCTCCTTTGAACACAATATACTTTAATTTGAGAAACATTTAAAGGATTTTGTAGCAGTAAACATGTCAGGCTAAAGGATGCAAATGGGTCATTGACATCTGCTGTCTTCATTAGTTTCTAAAACACAGATTTCTCTACAATTTAAAATGCATCTTTGGATATCTTTTCTGCTGAAGAGCCTGTTGTCCTAAAAAAATAAAAAAGGAAGCTAAAACGTTAAAAAAAGAAATCTTACATATTCCTTAGGAATGGTATAGAAGACATTTTTGGTGGTTTTAAATCCTGGATTTTTCCAAACCGTGGTATACCTTGAAAACGGTTATTGTCCCATGCTTAGTGTTGAGTCTAATAGTGTCTATAAGGCACAAGCACAAGTGTTTTGAAAATTGTTCTAATGCATGTCACTTTCAGTTTTACAGACATCTTTGCTCTTTGCAAAGGAAGAGGGATTGCTTAGCTTTCTTCGCAGGTCTCTGTCTACTGAAAAGGTAGGAGGAATTTAACTAATAAATGACATTTATATTATTTCAGAAGGATTTACCAGATTGCAATCTAATTTTATTAATATGAAATTGCTTAAATGGATTTTCTGCAGCTGGGGACTACAGGAGTGGAGATTCTGCGGGAAACGAGAGTGGAGATTATGAATTTCTTAGGGGCATTTCTACAGAGAATGTCAGCCACTGTCCGAGGATGGGAAAAGAACTATGCTGTCGAGCTTAAGGTACCTTTATCCTATCGTTTAATTAATGTGAATTAATGTGACTGCCAGCACTGACATGTCATCTTTGTTGCACTAGTTTAATTTGCTTGATTTTTTTTTTTTGTTTCTCTCTGCGTGAATAGGACACGTGCATTGTCGTTTACACAAAGGACAAATCTGCAAAGTGCAGAAATCCTGCTTTAGATCTTCTAATCAAAGTGAGTTCTTTTGTTTATATATTGTATGAATCTGACTCGAGACTTTGATGTTTATCCAACTGAGGTATGTCAGGATAGTTCTCTACATATCATAATAAAAGGTAGTCAGATAATTGTAAGCATGTCTGCTGATGCTGTTATTTCTATACATATATTGATAGTTAGGGCTGTGAAATATGGCAATATATATTAAAAAGTCTATACTGTAGTATCATATTATGCTCTACGCCAGGGGTGGCCAACCCTGTTCCTGGAGAGCCACCTTCCTGCAGATTTCAGTTGCTACCTATATCAAACACACCTGAACCAATTAAGGCCCCGTTTACACTAGTGCGTTTTAGTTTGAAAACGTATAAGTTTTGCTACGGTTACGCCATCCGTCCACACTATGCCGGAGTTCTCGAGCGCCGAAAACGGAGCTTTTTGAAAACGCTGGAGAGGCCGTTTTCATTCTAAAACGCTGCTGCTCCGTCTCAGTGTGGATGGGGAAAGACGGAGACATCTGAAAACGGAGGCGGGGCTGCAAACGTTCGCCTATCTGATTGGGGCTTTTCCTCAATATTAAGTAGCCCACACACAGTTCAGTCTCGCATCCTCTTCTTGTAAGTTAAGACTTCGCAAGTTTGATCAAGGCTGCAGTCTCCCCCTTCTCAGTTTGATATGGAAAACATACCGAGGACACGGGTAAATCTTCAAAGGGAACAGTGTACTTTATAACTTCATTCACATCACCTTGGCTACGTTGTTTCACTTTCTCAACAATAAAATGTAAACATGATTTAAACTGCCTATTTTCTTTGTAATATTAGCAACTTAACAGACAGCAGAAATGTTGAGGCGCTGTGCTGCATATATGAGCGTCATCTTCACTGTTTGGATATTTATAACAATACGGAGCCGATAACAACTGCCTCCTTTCAATTTCAGTGAAAATACGAAACGCACCCTCTCTTTTGCTGAATATCAGTTTTAATAATCGATAATTATAAAAGTATAACATACAATAAGTTTATACATTGTAGGAAATAAAGGCAAGCGATCAGTCAATGTACCTGGATTAATCATTAACTTATCTTTGCGCTTAACCAAAACATGTTACCCGTGAACAAGTAACTTAATAGATTCCAATGACCAAAGTCAGGGAATTGGCCTATGTCGTTAGATAAAGACAACAACATGAATGAAATATCACGTTTAGCAAATATAGTGAGATTAGATCCAGCGGGAGATGCTTGATGAGCAGTCCGACAAGCAGAGCTTTAATCTGGGTAGAAATGCTGGAGCGTTTGCCCGAGAGTGTGTGTGTGGTCACGTGATGTGCGTTTTCAGCGTTTTGGTGTGGACGGAGAGCTGTTCAGAAACGCTGGGTAAAACGCGAGTGTGGACGCGGATCGTTTTCATTCTACAACGCCGTTTTAAAACTAAAACGCACTAGTGTAAACGGGGCCTAATTAGGACCTGAACACCACATGATAATTACAGGCAGGTGTGTTTGATATGGGTTGCAACTGAAATCTGCAGGAAGGTGGCTCTCCAGGAACAGGGTTGGCCACCCCTGCTCTACGCTGTCACAAAATAAATTGTATAGTAATACTTTTTAATAACATATATGAGAGCAGTATTATAGGCCACTACAAGGATGCAGACAGAAACATTAGTAAAAACACAGTAAGAAAGTTATTTATTTTAACAGTCTTTAAAGTGCAATGTCTATATTTAGCATTTTATTTTTATGTTGGACCTCTAATCATAACTTTTTGAAAAGTGTCTTATTTTATTTTTTAATTATTTTATGTCAAAATTTTTAATCAGTCATTTGCCCTGAAGTTTTAAATGTGTACATCTCTGAGTATATACTTAAAATGTATAAAAGAAATCATCCTTTACATGTGGTCAGTATACAGTATGAACTAATAATTGATTGAATTTACAGAAGTGGCACTGTATCGTGATATATATCTTTATCGTATAAGATTATTGTCATATCGCCGAGCTCTATTCATAATCGCAGACAAGCACTGTTAACAAAGCTAAAAAACATCTCTCTAGATACTGTATCTCACGAAAGACTCCAGCATCACACAGAATCTCAGAATTGGAGATATGTTCAACAAATTTTACGGAGAGTTGTGTCAGAAGCATAAGATCCCTGATACAGGCAAGTGAAGATATTGTAAAAACAAGAGAATTATTATAATCATCATTAATGTAACCAAAAAAGTCATCGATTAACTTTCTTCCAAACAGTCCTGGGTTGCATTTATGAACTTCTTGGAGTGCTGGGTGAAGTGCACCCCAGCGAGATGGTCAACAACTCTGACAAACTCTACAAGGCCTACCTGGGTGAACTGAAAGGACAGGTGAAAACTTCCCATCTGTATATGAAGCAAGTTGTTTTATGTATGTTTAGAAGTAAAGAGTGCTAAATCAATGGTTTTCAGATGACATCTACTACAAAGGAGCCGAAGCTTCCTGTTGTTGCCGGATGTCTGAAAGGAATCGCCGCTCTGATGGTGAACTTCACCAAATCAGTGGAAGAAGGTGAGTGTGTGTGTTTGTGTAAATTCAAAGCCTAGCTGCAGCCTTAATGTAGTATAATAAGATAAATATGTTGACCATTTTGCTTTAACAGACCCAGCCGCATCGAAAGAAATCTTTGATTATGCCCTAAAGGCTATTAGTCCACAGGTAGGGTTTGTAATATAGCTTTTTCCCCTTTAGTCCTGCAGATGTACCGCTCAGTCGTACTGTATGTTCTGTTCAAAAACTCTTGTTGTTTTCTTGCATTTCTAGACTGATATAAAACGATATGCAGTCATCTTTGGTGAGTTCAACTTGATATCAACCTGTATTTTTACACCATCATCGACGTGTATTGTTTAATTTTCTGTCTATTTTTGACTCGATACAGCTGGCCTAAAACTATTTGCGAAGCACTCTAGCCAGTTTGGCAGCTGTCTCATGGATCATTACATCTCAATCTTTGATGTTATGTCCAAACATTGTGGACACATAAATGCAGAGCTGAAAAAGAGCAGTTACACCGCTCTGGAGTCTTTCCTAAAACAGGTATTTTGTTTGTGGGTTATTCATTGTAAAAAATGTTTTCATGTTAGATTTTGATTTCTTGAGATTCATTTTGTGCGGTAACTGTTTTGTCATTTGTTTTGTCTCATTGTAAAGGTGGCCACACTTGTGGCAGAAAACATAGAGCTTCATAAAAGCAAGCTGAAGTTTTTCATGCAGAAGTTTTGTGCAATCATCAGGACCATGGACTCCACTAATAAAGAGCTGTCCATCGCTATCAGAGGATATGGCCTGTTTGCTGCGGTTTGTGTTTGTTTGGTGGAATAGAAAGATGTTATAGGCTCTCAGAAAATGCGAACTTGTTGTTTTTTAATCTGCAATTATTAACTGAGCATTTAACCTTTTATCTTGCAAAAAATTATATATAGTGACTTCATTGACAGTTATTTAAATATGATTTTATTTTAAATCATTAAAGTTCAATTGTCTTTTTTAAAACCCCCAATAATACTCCTGGGTTTTTCCATTGAATATTTCAGTAAATGCCTTATACAATCTTGGACATTGCTGATTGCTGCTTATTAGTTTTTTATTAGCACTTTTGTAGTTGTTTCTGATACAGGGTAAACTTGACAAAGATTCTCTGACAGTGTTTTGTGTTGTTTGTTAGCCGTGTAAGGTGGTGTGCCCCCAGGATGTAGATCTGATGTACACAGAGTTGATTCAGCGATGCAAGCAGATGTACTTGACTGAGTCTGACCGGGATGATGACAACGTCTACCAGCTGCCAAGCTTCCTCGACTCCATAGCGAGTGTTTTGGTACACCTTGACCGGGTATGATGCATCTTATTTAGTTCTCTTTTTTTCTTTGTTCTTTTTCTTCTGCTTGAAATCACATTGGTTTAACATTGCCTGGTTGCTATTGCTAAGATTTTAGTTCCCTGCATTAGGCACAGAGCCTTTATATTCGTCATCTTTTCAAAAAATAAATAATTAATTAATTAGAAAATTTGTTTCTGATTTTAAGAGGGTTGTTTAATTTTTGGCTGAGCTATTCTTTTAAAATGATGCTGGTTTCTCTTTCAGCATTTTTGCACCTGGTAGGTTTGGTTTTGAGCGGCTCAATTGTAAAATAAAAATTAAAGTGGGCACTTCACTTTAGCATTACATTTTAGCTTTATTCATTTACCAGATACTTTTAGGATTAAAGCAGGACTTCAACTCACCAGGGAATAGCAATATATAAATGCTATGAGTTAGTTTAGGTTAGATTTTCAGTTTGTTTTTATTTATTTATTTTTATTGTTACTGAGTCCTTGTAGAAGTGAGAAAATGTCTGTTGCGTATTGAGAGAAAGAGTGTTTTTATACAGGTGGCTTGTAAATATTTTCCCAGAAACATGGTGTGTTGATTTATAAAGTGTCTGGTGCAAATGGAAAAAACAACAGGTGATTACAGGTGATTTTTCAGGCCCACAAATTGAATTCCAAGTGGTTTTTGCCATGTAAATAAACATTCATTTATGCCTGCTACTTGTTTTTACCTTCAGTTTGTTTTCAGCTCACAGCTTATAATGTGTTTTATGTAATTGGTTGCAGATCCCAGAAGTGTACACACCTGTACTTGAGCGTCTCCTTGTGGTCCAGATGGACAGTTTCCCTCAGTACAGCCAGAGAATGCAGCATGCCACCTGCCGCTCCATTGTCAAGGTGTTTGTTGCAATGGCGGTTCGGGGTCCTGTCCTCTGGAGTTTCACTAGTTCCGTGGGTAAGGAGTATGAACAGGAGGATAGAGTTGTCTGATTTGATTCAAGATTAGTTTTGCGATGCTCAAATTTCATTTCTGCAACAACAGTTCACCAGGGCCTGATCAGAGTGTGCTCCAAGCCGGTTCTTCAGTCAGATGTAAGTGGTTTTGCTAAAAGTTTCCATTGTTATTCATGTTTGATATTGAATATATTGATTTACACATCAGGAGCGAGGGGTTTCTTCAGGGGTTTCTCAATCAGAGGATTCTACTCTGGTGCGCTCTGGGAAATGGAAAGTTCCTTCATCAAAGGACTACCTTGAGCTCTTCAAGGGGCTTCTGGACTGTGAAAACCTCAAAGTAAGAAAATAGATGTTCGTTTATTTAGATATATGATATAGTTGCTAATGAACGGATGAAAGCCAACTGAAACGAGAGCCATGTTCTGTGTCTGTGCTAGGTGTTATGTCTTTTTGCACCATGAGATTCAGTAGTTTGTTTTGTCATTCTGCAAATGGAAACTTCCAATGCGCACAAAGCATAAACAAAGGAACATTTAGTACTATTATTACAGTAATTGTCTCTCACCACGGAGGGATTTGCCCGTGCAAATATCTCTGATGCTCTAATAGTTTATATTGTTTGCAAATAAAATCCAACCTGAAATCTTACACAGAATTTTAAGACTAGATTTGATCAAGTGGTTTTTACCAGATGTCGTATTGGACATACATGAATAACCCAAGGTAAAAACCGTACTCAGTGTTTGCACTTCACAATTCCCCTTACTATACACATTTAAACTGGACACTAAACACATTTTACTGGACTGTCCTGCTTTTATCGATTCAAGAAGGCTTTTTTATAAAATAAACTCTCTTAAGGACATTTTTAGCAAAGTGAATTTTAGAATTTTTATCATGTATTAACACTAAATTTTTATTTAATTTATGTATTCATTTGTTTGTTCATTTTTAATTGTATATTAATTATTAAAATGTTCCTTCCATGAAAATAGCCTTGGTTGCTGAGATGGCATTAAATAAAAAATACATTACATGTTTGCAAATATCTGAGAAATGTAGCTTCACTTGAATTGACTTAAATATTGCTACATCTCTTCACTACGTCACACTCGAGTTCTGATTTGCTGCTGAATAACCAGTCAGGGCGATGATGCTATTTCAATGTGCTGAATTGGGCTAACATGATCCGATGTTAACACGGCGAGAGCTGACATGTGGAACACACCAAACCAACTAACCGGACTAATGAAACCCAAAAGCCAATCATCGGCTTGGTGTGTTCTGGCCTTAGAATATATCATTATCTCAGATATTTTACTTTATTGTGTTTTCAGCATCAAAAGTAATCGTCAGTACATGGACATGTGCTGACATTCAATAATTCAATATATTGTGATAATGAACAACATTGATATTGTGGGCACTTATATAGTCAGCAATTATTTATAATGTAAACTTTGAGTGCTTTTTATGATATATTCACATTATATTCACTGTGGTGTTCATAACAGTACCAAATGCTTGGAGATTTTTTGTTATAGCTTATTTGTTCACATGAACATTTTCTTGTGTTTTTTGGCTAATTACTGTACAAGCTTCAATATTAATGAAATATTCTGTAACTGTTTAAATTTCTATTAAATGTATTGTTTACCCTGAAATAAATGATCCTTAATACATTTTGTTTATTTTGCTTAACACAAAAAATCTCTCCATAATTCTGTATACTGTAATAATAGCTTCAGCAATTAATTGCAACAAGAAAATTTTATGCCATCATTAGCCTAATCACCAAATGAATGTCTTACTTAAACTATAAAGTTTTTGCATTGTTGCTTACGATGAAATAATTCACAAGAGCACAGAACTCAGTCACTGATGGATTTTCAGCAGTGACTGATTAAGTATCTGCGATTGGCCATTAAGTTCAGCTCAACAGAAAGGGGTGGACTTGCCTATTATTCTTTTGTAGCTGCTGATGTAGAATAATTACTTATGAATGCCTTCTAAACTAAGTAAAACTCACCCTTGTTTGTAATGTAGCCTCATATTGAACAGCTTGATCTATCGAGTAAAGTGTTTTTGAGGTATCATATGTGAACTACTAATCTGTATAGTGAACATGCACTCTATATTGATCAGTGGTGTAAACCTACTGTAGGAGACCTTCAAAACAAAATTAGAAACTTAAAAAAACATAAATGGGGCATTTAAATTTGTTACTATTTTAATAATCTGTGGTTTGTGTGTCAGTTAAATCAAAGTTTGTTTACTGTATGCATTCTTTATTTAAAAAGCTTAAATGGCTGTTTTTTTTAATGATTTAATTTACGTTTAGGACACAGGATTTGTGGATGGAGCTCCAGCTGCCAAAAACTACAACCTGAGAGACTTAAACCGACACTTATATGATGCACTGGTGCAGTCAGTCATGAAGATTGTGGAGAAACTTGATCTTTCAGTGCAGAAAGTCAGTGCAGCGGATGAGGTACTGTTGGAGTGCTGTGCCTTGAATGTGAATGCTTAAAGAAAAAGAGATAGAATTGAATAATTTTTTTAAATAAATTTATTAAATTACCCACAAGTATATTATACTCTATAGGTCGTAAACACTGCAAATGATCATAAACCTGGAAAGCTTAGATTTAATTTACATCTCCCCACTGCCAATGCTGCACAGTATATTTTGACAGCATCAGACTGTACAGAGAAATACTTTTTGCTTTCTTAAGACATATTTTAATGTAATTGTGGATGCAAAAGGAAGCTGAAAGGGTTGTCCTGGTGCTAACCCAAATTGTATCCAAAAAACATAAATCTATAGCTGCCCAACTCATTGCAGAATTAAATGTGCACCTAAACTCTTCTGTTTCTACTAAAACTGGTTGTTGGGAGCAATATATGTGGCCGGGCTGCTATAGCCAAACCTTTGGTCACTCGTGCCGATGCTAAACATTGGTTTCAATGATGTCAGCAGCAAAAATCTTGGGCTGTAGACAATGTGAAACATGTATTGTTCTCTGATGAGTCCACCTTCCCTGACTTTCCCACATCCGAGAAAGTTACAGTGTGGAGAAGCTCCAAAGATGCGTACCACCCATACTGTTGCATGCCCAGAGTGAAGCATGGGGGTGGATCAGTGATGAAGATACTTGTGCTAGTTTGGTGCATCACTGCCAAGGAATACGGAACTATTCTAACGGAAAGTGTGCAGCCAATGATGCACCAATGCACACAGCAAGACTGGTGACAAAGTGGTTTGATGAACATGACAGTGAAGTTGATGCTATAGTGGCCGCTAATGCAGGCCTTAAACAATACTTATGAATTATAGTGGAGTCTAGTATTTAGTGGCTTCTATTTGATCCTAAATCTCAAGTTATTTTTGTTCTAAATATTTTGTTGACCCATATACTACAGCTGTGCATAATAAACAAATGTTGGAAACTGTGGCCAGTTAGTGATGTATCATTTCTGATTCTCAGGTACAGAGTGATGCAAGTGCTGGGATTGTGCTGTCATCTGATCCAACAGCAAACCTGATGCCCAACAAACCCAAAGACTTCATTGCCTTCATCAACTTAGTGGACTTTTGCAGGTGAATTTGCAGATGTCAAAACTCTTTTTCACTGAGTCGTTCACAGCAGAAAAGAAACTCTTTAACGTACTTGCATTAATACTCTCTTTATAGTGAGTTGTTGCCTTCAAGAAATCCTGAGTATTTTGCTCAGTGGATGCACCCCCTGTGTCACGAGCTCATCCTGCAGTCGATACGTTTCCCTCTGGTCAGTGGTTTTTATAAGCTCCTCTCCCTCTCTATGGGCATTGCCAAGAAAACCCAGTATTTTCAGGTAATACACATCCTCCATGAAATAAAAACTCATTCATTTAAGTATGTTGATAGCTCCTGTGATGAAATCAGTATTTCTTGTTTTTAGGACGTAAAACAATGTCCTAAACAAGTTGGTGGCTCAACCATGGAGAACGCCTGTTTTTCACTCCTTGCAAAGTTTGGAAAAGAGGTGACGTTTAACACTATTTCTGTATTGGATGCTTAAACATTGCAGCTATATATATTGTATTCAGCATGTGAAACATTTGAAGGTGAAACTTTTTTTGTTGTTTCCTCAGGTTTGTGTACGTATGAAGCAATATAAAGACGAGCTCCTGGCTGCCTGTCTGATGTTCATCCTCTCGCTTCATCCTGGCATGGTGGCTCTTGACATCAAGGCATACATCCCTGCTCTACAGGTTAGAATATGGGGCTGAGGAAACAAATAGGCATTTGTTTTGATGGGCCAACATTAGCATTTTTTCATTAACAGTAAATCTAAATGGCATTCTGTAAGTAATTCAGAAACATTAAACATGAACTGAACATGTGATACTATATTGTAGCGGGAATGTCTTTGATTGCAGGCTGCACTGCGGCTGGGTTTGAGTCACGCTCCTCTGGCCACAGCAGCACTGGATGCTCTGGAGTCCTGGTCGTCTTTTATCCCTGCTGCCATCCTGCAACCACATTATACAGACATACTGCCACATTTAGATGGCTACCTCAAAACCACTAGTAGCTCTGGTCAGTTGCAACTTCCTCATAAAATGTATATGCGTACACACATATATTTATATATTTAGTATTTATTCTAAATACTGTACTATCAATGAAATGACCAATTTCTACTGCTAGAGCTGCACATTTGTGGATTGAGAAGTTTTTGTTTAAAAATATAGATCACAAATATCCAAAAAGTATGGAAACAAAACAACATTTGCTGCGGTCATAATGATGAATGTTGCTTTCATATTTACTTGTTGGCAACAATGGGCTAATATAATCATTAATGTTAGAAGGGTCAAGTTTCATGGCAAAAAGTTTAGCAATTTAGAATTATGTTTGATTTTCAATTACATAAAAAATCAATTCATTGTACAGCTCTACTAATTATTACTGTTTTAATGATAATTTTAAAGATCTGTAGCTGATTCTGATATTTTATCTATTTGTTTTAAATCATCAAAATAGAAAAAGATGACAGCAATATGGAAGTGACATTTGTGTCAACGGGAAGTTCAAAAGGTTATGGACAAGTGTTGTTGAGACTCCTGAAGAAATCAAAGCGCTTTTCTCTGGTAATAACATTGATTTGTTTCATCTGCCTAATTGTTTTTGCGATACAAATAATACAATATTTAGTTTTAAGCAGAGGTTTGTAGATAGCCAGGTAGAGGTGGGGTTATTGAGTATATTGTGAGTGCATTACTGTTGGCTCTGTTAGGGAGACGAGTCTCCAATCGCTGCTGTGAGACGCAGGGTGGTACGTCTACTCGGACACCTGGGAGGACAGCTCAACAGGAGCCTTGTGACAGGTTATTTTCATTCTGCTTCTATTATATACTTGTATTGTGTACATTTGTTCAAACAAACAGTCAGTGCTTTTTTTGGCTTTAATTATTTTCTCTTCTCCAACAACAGCTGTTTCTGCGGAGGACATGATGAAGCGGTTTGTAGCGTGGGATTGTGAGAAGAGGCTGAGTTTTGCTGTGCCTTTTAAAGACATGAAGCCTGTGATCTACCTGGACTCTTTCTTGCCACGGGTCACAGAGCTCGCACTGTCCTCCAGTGATAGACAGACTAAAGTAATCATAGTCCTTACAGTTATCAAATCTAAATTTCTTTCCTTCATCATGTTGTTTATTAACCTCAAATGAATTATTTGGATGTGTAGGTTGCAGCCTGTGAGCTTCTACACAGTCTGGTCATATATATGGTGGGTAAAGGAGCCCAGATGACAGAAGATGACAAGTCTGCTCCACCCATGTACAACCTACATCGAAAAGTCTTTCCTGTTCTTCTACGCCTGGCTTGTGACGTTGACCAGGTTTGTTAACAGAGTTATCATTTTTCTGTCTTATTTTAATTTTTGTATAATCTATTTGGTTTCATGTGATACAGTGGTCAGGTTTGACATTGTATTGTACCTACACACGACACTAAACCTCTGTAAATAGAATCCTTTTGACATCAAAGGCATATTTAGACCAGGAGATATCCTATTGTAGAGATGACAAAGCTGCTTGTGTAGGTTGTGATAATTAAAGGTATAGTTCACCATAAGAATGCAAATAAAACTTCCATTGTTTAACTCCAAGCCTATTTTTGAGATTCAAAAGAGGATATTTTGAAGAATATTACAAACCATTGACTATTATAATATGGATGTCAATGCTTATTGGTTTTCAATAATCTTCTGTATATATTCCTTTGTGTTCAACAGAAGAAAGAAACTTGAACAGTTTTAGAAACAATTAAATTTACAATGAAATGCATATAATATTTTAAATTATTGATTTATTACCTAACACTTTACTGTTTAGCTCAGTGTTTTTGTGATAATTAAGTTGTTTATGTTTTGTTTTTTGAAATAATGTTTGCTTTAAGTTGCACATACTAACATTAATAGAAATGTAAGTAAGAAGTCGGTCATTTGAATGTTTCTTTAGGTGACGCGGCAACTCTTTGAGCCTCTGGTGATGCAGCTTATCCACTGGTTCACCAACAATCGAAAGTTTGAGAGCCAAGACACAGTGGCAGTGCTGGAGGCCATCCTGGTAAGCAGGCATGTGCAATTGCACTTTTTGTTTGCTGTGGAAACATTTGCCGTAATGATGTACTTTTTTGTTACATAGGATGGGATTGTGGATCCATTGGACAGCACCCTCAGAGACTTCAGTGGCACCTGCATCCAGGAATTTGTCAAATGGTCTATCAAACAGACCACCCCCAAACAGCAGGAAAAGAGCCCGGCCAACATGAAATCCCTCTTCAAGCGTATCTACAGCTTGGCTTTACACCCCAGTGTCTTCAAGAGGCTTGGAGCTGCGCTGGCCTTTAACAGCATGTACAGGCAGTTCAGGTCTGTGTATGATGAGGACGAGATCTCATTATGGGCTTCTCAACATTTAAATAAATATGTCTTGAGTGGATGTTGGTAACAAATTTAAATCTCATGTGTTTTTCCTCAGGGAAGAGAGCTCTTTGGTTGAGCAGTTTGTCTTCGAGGTGCTGGTGGTGTTTGTTGAGAGTTTGGCTTTGGCCCACTTTGATGAAAAGTCTGTGGGTAAGAAACTGGACCACTATCAAGATATCCTTTCAGATGGTTATGACCGTGATCTTTACATGATATTTGGCTTCTGTTTATACAGGAACTGTCCAGCAGTGTTGTAGTTCACTGGATCATTTGAAGAGAATCATCAAACACAAGGCAGACTCACTAAATATAAACTCCAAGAGACGGATACCCAGGTGCACATGCATATATATATTTTTAATTTAATTAAGTTTTATTAAAAATAATAAAAATAAACTTTTTTTGTAACTGTTAATCTTCCAACCCACAACAATTCCTTGATTGCAGACATATATACATTTAGGTTATATTAGGGAAAATGTATATTTAAGTTATATTATGGGAAATAATATTTATGTATTTAATATAAAGGATATTATTGATATAATTATTTATTTATTTTTATTTGTTTTGTTTTTTTTACTTGTGAGTAATGAAAAGAATTTGTGTGGTTTTGTGGCGAGCTGACAGAGCTGTGTTTTCTCCTCTTTCATCAGAGGTTTTCCTGCAGATCAGTCAGTGTGTTTATCTAATGTAGTCCTTTGGCTGCTGACCCAGTGTGGAAGACCCCAGACTGAATGCAGACACAAAAGCATGGAGCTTTTCTTTGAATTTGTGCCTCTGCTGCCAGGTAGCAAACTGGATATTTACAATCAAGGCAGCAAGTTTTTTCTATTTCTATCTCACTGTTTCTATTACAATTGATAAAATGTAAAAAACTGACATGAAATGACGTACTGCAACAAATTGTGGATTTCTCAGAATTAAATAAATAAAACTGTATTTGTGCAGTTATTTGCTTTATTTGCTATAATTTACATTCAGAAACAGAAAGGCCACTAAGATTATTATGGAAAAAGCAAACAAGATTTTTTGCTTCTGAATTGTTGCTTCTGTTGTCAGGTAATTCATCTCCTGCGATGTGGCTGGACGAGCAGTTAAAGCAGCGTGGTCCAGGTTTTCTCATTTCATGTTTAGAGGGAGGTGGTTTACTATCTCAGCCCACCTTGAGAGAGATTGAAGCCCCCTTCAGCATCAGAGGCACCTTACAATGGATGGATCTGCTGCTGGCTGCTCTTGACTGCTACAACACCTTCACAAACCTGCGGTGTCTGCAACTCCAGAGGATCCTGGGTAGGTGAATGTATAACAGTGTCTAAACTCAAGATACTCTAGGGCTGTTTCTCAATATACGTTCTTCAGTGATCTTGTGTCCCCGTGTTCTCGTGTAACGTCATTTTCAACTGCCAAAGTTCAGCTCCAATACTCAAGACTGCAAGAACAGAGGACACATGAAACTTCCCGGATGTGTTCTTGATATCGAGGACGCACCGATGCAGACTTGAGCACCGAACTCGCTCTAAAAGTCCCAGAAGTCATTACGACTGGAGGTTGGAAGCACAGCATTTTATATAGGTTTATTGTTAAAGTACAGAGATATAACTTATTGATCTTAGGAGTTTCCCTAAATGAAACGGTGAATATAAACATTACCATGAAAATCTTAATAAAGGAATAAACACATTAAGGGTGTTTGTTTGCTGAAATTCATATTAAAATCTGTTTTATTTATATTGTACAACGTATATTTGTAAAGTCTTTATGCATAGTATATATTGGGAAACAGGGGAAAACAATAAATCCTTGTATGAATGCTGTAATGTTTAAATAATTTTCCATTAAAATGCGTGAAGGTCTTGTGACCATCAGGAAGAACCAGGAAAGAACACCGCATCTCATTTCTCACACGAGGCGTTCTCTGTTCTGGCGTTCTCCCATGTTCATTCTTCCGAGGTGACCTGGCAAGACCGGTCTTCACACAAATGCAAGTCCGTTACCTGCGTTCTTGGAATTGAGAAACAGCCTAGATCAGGGGTGTCCAAACTCGGTCCTGGAGAGCAGATTTTAGCTCCAACTTGCCCAACACTAGCTCAACACACCTGCATTGATGTTTCTAGAAAGCCAAGTGTAAGAGCTTAATTAGCTAGCCCAGGTGTTTCTGATTTAGGTTGAAACTAAACTTTGCAGGAGACCGGCCCTCCAGGACAGAGTTTGTACACCCCTGTTCTAGATAAATCCTCCGCTGAACTAGTGCTAATCGCTGCTTTCATTCTCTTCTTTCTCTCATCATCCAGGCACTTGTGAGAAGTCCAGCTTTTTGCCTGCTGTACATTTCTTCCTAACAGAGCTGTCCATGCAGGACATTCAGGCTGCCAGGGCCTGCTTCAGATTGGGAAATGCAGGTCAGTCACACTTCAGCCCTCGTGAGACCGAGCAGTACAACTACAGCAAGTGCTCCATCATTGTCCGAATGCTGGAGTTCTCCACCATGGTGCTGCAGAAATGCCCACAGGACCTCTGGAAGGTACGATTCTTGGACCCTGAGTTCATTAGAGTCAACAAAATAAATTGGCTCAATTATATTTTTTCTAAAAGTCTACCTGCCAAATGCTCTTGAACCTGTCAGAATCTAAGTTAGAAGGATGCTGCACAGTATTGGAAAAGAAAAAACTAATATATCGATATTTAGTTATTCTGGAAAATGTTTTGCATTATTACTGCAACTTCACCAGTTGACTTAATCTCATTTTGGAAAGAATAATTATTTGGGGTGATTTTGTAGGTCATTTTGTTGAGTGCATCTACATAAAATATTATAAACAAACTGAAGATAAATTTAATAGAGCAATGAAACAAATGAAATAAAAGCATTTTTTGGTTTATTGTGAAGTCTAACAGTATTCAAGAAATTGAATAATCAGATGTAAAATAACACTAAAGTCTTTGTTGTATAAATTAACACAACCAATCTTTGTTTACAAGTGTTATAATATTATTGTGTCTGAATGGTTTTAATTCTTGAAAGGATTGCAGACCTCAAAAACGCATGCAGATGATAAACTTTCACTCTATAATGGTTAAATTCTACAGAATATGTGTTCTGATCTGTGGTTTCTGGCCAACTATAATCCCAACTTGAAATTCGACATCCTGCTATGTGACTATTGTGGATGCACACGTTGAGATGACAACGCTAAATTGATATATTGTACAGCCAAAAATGTCTTCTCTTTTCTTTCTCTTCAGTTAATGGAGAAAGATGTGTTCAACTCTTCCCTCTTCACATTGGTGGTGTTGGCAGTATGTGAGCCCTCCTCCATTGGATTCAACATGGCGGATCTAGAGGTGATGACTCACCTGCCGGAGGTGTGCTTTCCTTTGCTTAAAGCTTTGGCATCAGCACCTTACAGGACACAACTGGAGAGCTGCATTCGGATGAGGATAACAAAACAAAGGTCTGTAAATTATTTTGATATAGATATGTAAATGAAACCTAAATGTTATTTAGTGGTGCTCGAGAGTGTGAATACGGTCTATGTTGTTTTTTTTCCCTGATTCCACTCCGGCTCAATTGTCTCCACATGCATTTGTAGAAAGGCTGTAAAGTGTGAATAGTTGTTTTGATATATTGTACATAACACTGTTTTATATTTGGTATATTATATGCTTGTGCCTGTTAATTTGTTTTGTGTGTTCACAATCTTTCTTGTTCTGTACAGTGTGGAGGAGCTGTGTGCTATTGATTTGTATGAGACAGACACCAGAAACAGCCATGCTAGCATGAATCTGTTACTCTCAGCCTGTAGGCAGCTTCACCAGTCTGGGCTGCTCAACTCAGTTTTGCACAGTCAGGTACTGAAATGCTGTTCAGTCTACCAATTGTTCTCATTAAAGTTTAACCAAAAATTTGGTCACTTTATTTTGATGGTCTGTTTAATTTAAGTTACATCTGCATGCCAACTAATTCTAATTAGATTATAAGTAGACTGTTAGGTTGGGGTTAGGGTTAGTGTAAGTTGACATGCACTTGCAAAGTTTCTTATAGTCAGGTAATTGTCTGTTGAAGTAGCAGTATCAACAGATATTAAGCAGACAGTCTACTTAGGGCGCACTCACACTATGCTATCCGAACTGTGCCCAGGCCCTTTCCCGGATCGTTTGAAAAGTGTGACTGCTCTTGGGCTTGGCACGGTTCACTTGGCCGGCCCTCGCCCGGTTGGAAGATGTGTGCCAAAGCGCGGTTCACTTTTTCTTTGGCGCAGTATGTTTGTGGTGTGAGTGCAAGCGCGCCTGAGCCTGAAACTGAAGACAAGACATGACCTTTACGGGACTGATTTTTATGTGTTAATTAATCATTCTTACTGTTCAATGAACGCAAACTGTGGTAGATTATTAAAGATGCAATTTAATAAAAGATTAAAGATTTTTTTTTTAGATGTGTATCTGAACTTAAGGTCTTTGGTGATCTTGGTTTGGTGGTATGGGTAGGTTTAAGAGGGGATTAAGGTGCAGGGGATGGCTAATTATACAATGTAATTGCAAATGTAATTACATTGAAAATACAGGGGTGGGGCTTTTGTTTTGTGCGTCATTCCTTTTTAGCAAACTACTTAGAGGAACAGAGGGGGAAAAAATTAACAGCAGAATACAATATTTTGATGAACTCTACCTGTAATAATTTGATTATGATGTTTATTGTCTTTTGGTAGGATGCTAGTTATGGTTGCTCTTTGGGCTCCAAACTTCTCACTAGTGTGTATAAAAGCATTGCTCCAGGAACTGACAGGAAGTCTTTACCCTCCATGGATGTTGGCAGCAGAAAGTTGGCTGACAGACTTGTGCAATTATCGTTTTGTTTGGGTGATCAGGCAAGTGGTTTGAATTATTATTATTATTATTACCACTAATTATAGTTTAAAATATGAGAAGAACATAGAAGATTATGGGATGCTTGTTTTCTTTGAAATTGCTCAAATCATGAAATCTGCCTTTGCGCGCTTCAGAGTGAACAGACGGTTGGCCTTTTACTGAACACCATCACACTCTCAGTCCCTCTCTCTGGCAGTCTGAACCCTCACTTCCTCAGCTTCTCTCATGGGGAGTACTTTTACAGCCTCTTCCAAACATCTCTCAATACTGAGTTACTGCGCAGTGTGGATCGGTCAGTGCCGCTGCTGCTGTCCTCAGCCAACCAAAACCCCAGCATGGTGAGCATTAAACTAGATTGCCCTACATTTGACAAAAACATTAAAAGCAAATAGACTCACTGCACCTTTTGGGAAATGGAGCCAGATTTAGTAAACAGTAAACTCTGGTTGTTCTGCACTCATTGTGAGCATTATCTGAAGTGGTTTCTAGTTTCTAGCATGGTCTTAGTCCTCCTCTGTGTGCTAGTCGGAACCATTTGACCAGTGCATTGATTTTTTTTTTCCTGTTCATTTTATTTTTAGGTTAGTGTTTTGCTGAACGGCATGTTGGATCATAGTTTTCGTGAGCGTTCTGTCAGAAAGTCCCAAGGTTCACAATTGGCTGAGCAAGTGCTCAAGGGGTGGGATTTGCTCAGGCCATGGTGGGATGGTCCTGCGGCAACACCAGAAAGCAAAACCTCAGTCCTGTCATTGCTTGCCAAAGTGCTCCAGGTACTGCATATTCAACTATACCTTTTTTGTGTAAAAATTGAAGACTTTAAGGTGTTTACATACAGTTTATAGATGTTTCAGGAGTGTTTCTCCCTCCCTACAGATCGATTCATCTGTGTGCTCCAATACAAGTCACCCAGCATTCAATGCTGTGTTTACCACTTTCACAGCTCTTCTCACAGATGTATCTATGCCATTAAATCTCAAGGTATCCTTTTCCAGTTTAATAAACCCCAAACATTGATTATTATGATTGGTTTTGTGGTCCAGAGTCGCATAGAAGTGTTTAATGCTGTACTTCAGAATGTATTTAACACATGAAATATACGTAAGGCTAGCTAACTCTGGTTAGTATAACATAAACTCGGGCTTAAAATAAGCAGTGATCTTGATATTTGGGGAATTGTAGGTGGTTCTCTAAACCTGATCTCCACTGTATATGCTAAAAGCAAAAGCTAAATTTAGGTTATTTCTAATATACATGATCTTTTTTTTCTTTCTGATTTTAGAGTCAGGCTCTTATCATGCTGCCTTTCTTCACTGCATTGCCCAGCATGCCTTTAGAGGAGCTCAGGAGGGCTCTGGAGTCACTGGTGGCTACACATTTCCCTATGCAGTCAGATGAATTTCCACGTGGATCTCTACAGTGCAACAACTACATGGATTGCATTCGCAAGGTGAGATATAAGGGGACCTGAAGATATTATTATTATTATTTTTAAATAGTTTTATTTCCATATTTATGTCAATATTCAATTACTTTGCTAACTTCAGTTTTTAGAGGCCCTGCAACTGTCTCAGAGTCCTTTGTTATTGAAGCTTATGGCTCGAGTTCTGTGCCGGGACAAAAAACATATCATGGAGGAGCTTTTTCAGGCCTGCTTTCAAAAAATTGCTCATCAGTAAGTACAAAACAATTCCTGTGTTTGTATCTCTGCTTACAGCTTTTTAGAATTTGTGCAAATTTACTTTTTTTTTCCCGTTGTCAGGTCTTATTTGGGAAAACAAGTTCTTCTCCTCAGCTCCACCTACCAATCATTTCAAGCCAAAGAAGTTCCATCAAACTTCATGCTCATGGGTCTGATAGACAGAGTCCTGCTGCCGCTGGCCTCTCACTGCAGTCCTCAAGCTCTCTCTCAGTTCTTTATCTCTAATATTGCTGATATCATGACTACTCTACAGACACGCTTCACCAAGGTGCGTGACATGAGCTTAATGAAGCTTCAAAATTGTTGTTTATTTAGAAATACTGCTATGTTTCTTGTGTTTCATCTGTCCTGCAGTCTGTTGAGTCGGTGTTTGAGAGTCAGATCATGATGAAGATTGGCTGTTGTAAGCTGTTGGAGGTGTTGTATTCTCGTCTGCCTAAAGAGGAAGTCTATTCTAAAAACTCTGCCATCAACCAGGCCTTCTGTGGCACCGGCTGCGCTGAAGGCAATGAGCTTTCCAAGAACCTCCTCAAGTATGTAAAGTGATAAGACACTTTTTTCCTCTTTAAGTGTGAATATTACACACATTATATGATTCTGTTTTTCAATGCAAACTTAATAACACTTGTTTTGCTCTGTTCTTCCTTTTTTAAACACCCTTAATTATAAAAATCACCATCAAATCAAAATGAAAATTTCTATTTGTGTATGGAAAAAACAGGCATGTACTGATATGGATTTATGGCCAATACTGATAACTCTTTAGATTTGGAGACTGATAACTGTGATATTAGCCGATAATTAAAAATATTTCAAAATTGTATGCATATTGCAAAAACAGAGCATGATTTAATTAACAAATAAATTAAATAAATATGTATTATATACAATGAAGAACTGAAACCAGCTCAGATTTTTTCAAATAAAACATGTTACAGTAATGTACAATTATTAGTCATTTGACACTATTATACTGCACTCCTCAAGATTCTCTTGTGCGTACACAAAAAGGTTATTATGGTGGCTTGAGAAAGCCAACACACTGTTATACTACATAAACTTCTACTTCTGCTACTGCTTCTTCTTCTTCTTCTTCTTCTTCTTCTTCTTCTTCTACTGGTACTGCCAGTTGATGGCGAACTTGAGTCTGTGGAACTCTTAAGACAGGGTTCTGGTGAGTTTGAATAAGTTGGCGAGAAGTTACCAACAAATTCACCCTTTTATCTGGAAGCTCAGAGATGTTAAGTCCAAACATGTGTCCAGACAAAACTAAAAAGGTCTATTAAAGTCTTTTTGCACTCTATTGGCAGCTTAGCTCACGCAAGCCACACTTAGCGCCTGGTTGACAAAAGTGTGGCAGTAAGAGTACCCAGTTAACATGTGACATGTCCCACAGTCAAAAGAGCAGTTTGGAGGAACTGAGAGACTAAGAAATGAACATGCATCTGCACACAGGGTTACATACTGTATACAGTAGAATCGTATGCTTTTTTCAATAATCAGTCTGTATGATTGCATTGGTTGCTGGGGAAAGGGGGGCATGACCTCGTATGGTGAAACAGCATCAGGTGAAACCAGGGCAGCAATGAGCTCCTCTATTTATGAAGCACAATAGAATAATTTGGGGGAACTGTCACCTTATCAATGTTTTTAAGTAATATAAAGTCTTGAAAAGTCATTCTGAAACTTGCTGTTAAAATGCCATAATGGTAAAATAATGTTAATTTGAATATTTGGCCCTAATAATGAATTATGTGTCAGATCATGTTTTGAGGCCTTCACGGAGAACATGACAGGAGAGATGGTACTGCTGGAGTTGAGGAGACAGTTTCACTGCGCTGCTTACAACTGTGCCATAGCCCTTATCAGCTGCAGCTTCAACGAAACCAAGTTCTACCAGGGCTTCCTTTTCACTGAAAAACCTGACAAGGTCTGTTACTGCGCATGCAACAAGATTTTGTACAAGCAGGGTTTACAGTTTAGTGCTTATTTTTTCCCTGTCTTATTGCTGACTCATAACATTTAGTTTGTTCTGCATTCTTTGATATTTACAATTAATATGTGGCTTGATGTTTTGCAGAATCAGTTCATATTTGACAATCTTATTGATTCGCAAAGGGTGTACAACTTTCCTATAGAGATTGATGTAAGTATAGCTTTAAAATGATCAAATAATCAATTTGTACTTGTGCTGTTTAGTATTGTCTTTAATTTTGTTAACAGGTCCCTATTGAGAGGAAAAAGAAGTATGTCATGATTAGGAAAGAAGTGAGTGGAGAAAACGGAGGTGAGTTGTCTGAGGCTCCAACTTATTAATAACTATTGCTATGTAGTAGAAATGCAAAGATTAACCGATTTTATTAATCATGATTTAATTCGTCACAGTTAATCGATCTTAAAGTATTCTCAACACTTTGTTTCTGCACGGAACAAAACTGCTGCAACTAAACAAAGTTATGTTTAAGTTTGTGCGCTAGTTTGAAGTTTCAAGCTTGTACTCTGAGGCTAATACGCACACAATGGCTGAGCCTATTAAGTAAGGGCCATGTCTTTTTTGCGCTCAAGTTTGTTATTTCTTTTACATTTACATTTAGTCATTTAGCAGACGCTTTTATCCCAAGCGACTTACAAATTAGGACAAGGAAGCAATTTACACAACTATACGAGCAACAATGAATAAGTGCTATAGGCAAGTTTCAGGTAAGTAAAGTGTAAGACGCAGAACATTAGTAGTTTTTTTTTCTTCTCTTTTTTTCTGTAATACAGTTAGCGGTGGAGCCAGAGAGGCAATTGCAGATTAGGAAGGAAAGTGGAGACTAAATAGTCGAGTTTTTAGTCATTTCTTGAAGACAGCGAGTGACTCTGTCGTTCTGATGCAGTTAGGGAGTTCATTTGACCAACTGGGCAGATTAAATGCGAGAGTTCGGGAAAGGGATTTTTTCCCTCTTAGGTATGGAACCACATAGATCTGCAGAAGTCAGAGCAGATAAGGAGCAAAGCCAGAAGTCGCTTTGTAAGCAAACATCAGAGCTTTGAATTTGATGCGAGCAGCAACTGGCAGCCAGTGCAAACAGGTGAGTAGCGCAGTGACATGTGCTCTTTTAGGTTCATTAAAGACCACTCGTGCTGCTGCAATCTGAAGCAGCTGGAGAGGTTTGATAGTTAGTTGGAAGCCCGGCTAGTAGAGAGTTGCAATAGTCCAGTCTGGAGAGAACAAGAGCTTGAACAGGGTCGGACCTTTCTGATGTTAAAGAGTGCGAATCTGCAAGATCGAGCAGTTCTTGAAATGTGGTCAGAGAAGTTTAGTTGGTCATCAGTCGTTGACAAGAACTGACTGATCAGCTTCATACTTTGTATGGAATATACACATTTCTACTCCAAAGAAAAAAAAATACAAAATATGAAAATACAAAATGAAAAATACCAAGCAAGTTCATAATAGTTGATCAATAGTGCCTTTCAGACAGACGTTTAGCAGCCTTTGACTACATGTGTTTTCTTTTAAAGAGAAATACTTATAAGCTAAGCTAAATAAGGGTAAGCTAAATCTCCGTGGTGTATGTTTGTGAATGTGATGGGTTGCAGCTAGAAGGGCATCTGCTGCCTAAAACATATGCTATATAAGTTGGCGGTTAATTCCGCTGTGGCGCCTCCAGATTAGTAAAGGCACTAAGCCGAAAAGAAAGTAATAGCATAGCTATTTTAAAACCCATTTTTCTTATTGTTTTTTTTTTTCAGACGCACCTGTATATCTGTCTTCCCAGTCCTACATGGCAGACAGCAGTCTCAGTGAGGAGATGAGTCAGTTTGACTTCTCCACTGGGGTTCAAAGCTTCTCCTACAACTCTCAGAATCCTTCAGGCGTGAGCAGCTCCAGCAGGATGCGGGTATGATATATGAGAAAACAGTCTCTTAAGAGTATCTAGAACACTTTTATGAGTAAACTGTTTGTATGATCAGGAGCGCAAGGAGGTTTTGTCTCAGGACGAGACTGTGGAGCTGGAGATGGATGAGCTGAACCAGCATGAATGTATGGCCAATATGACGGCACTGCTGCGCCACATGCAAAGGAACAACATCACCCCGAAAGTAGAGGAGGTCAGTTTCAGCATGACCTCAGCTTTGCCTCATTTTGTGTTGGAGCATTGCTTAATATTAACTGTTTTGTTTTAGGGTGTGAGACCTAGTGATCTTCCTCCATGGATGAAGTTCCTGCAGGGGAAGCTGGACAATCCATCTACTCCTCTCAACATTAGACTCTTCATCGCCAAACTTATCATCAATACTGAGGAGGTACTGCTAATGCTGCAAATTTTTTTGTGGATTTATTCATATGGCATACTGCATTGCATTTATTTGACCTCTTTATGTTTAGATTTTTCGTCCATATGCCAAGCATTGGCTGGGCCCACTGATGCAGCTGGTGGTTTCCAGTAGCAATGGAGGAGAGGGCATTCACTTTATGGTGGTGGACATTGTGGTCACAGTCCTTTCATGGGCCAGTGTAGCTTCACCAAAGGTATGTATGAAGGTGCACTGGTTTATTAAGGCATTTTTACTAGTGATGCTTAATATCTTGATGACCATGTTGGTATTGTTGTCAGTTATAGTTGTCAGTCTGATAAAAATTATACAACATGATGATTATTTATGATGATTGATCAACTGCAAATGCTTTCTGCTGCTTATAAGGATTTTTATTGGTGCCTTCAACAGGACATGACATGTTACACGCAGATTTTAAAACAAAATATGTGCACTATATATATATCGGTATATATCACTATATATATATATATATATATATATATACAATATATCGGTCACAGAGGAATTATTATAACAATTTATTCATCAGCATACATATTGGTTATTGGCTTCCAAGAAAAAGAGTTTTCAGTAACGGCTAAAATTTCCATGTCAGTGCATCTCAAGATTAAAGGTTAAAATTTAGCCTTTATGTTTCCCGCTGTTTAGGGTAACACAAGAGATGAAGTTTTGGTCAACAGGCTTCTTGGGTTTTTGTTTAAGAACTGCTTCCACAGCAAACGGGCTGTTTTCCGTCACAATCTGGAGATTATACGCACAGTTGTCGAGTGCTGGAAGGACTGCCTCACAATACCCTACGAGTAAGAATGCAGACAATTATTTAGACGCTTTTTTGACAATTAAGTCTGTTTTATTCTGTTTCATTATCTGTTGACTTGAAGAACATACTATATGATTATGAGCTATTATGCAGTCAGATAATATTATATTATTAGCTTTTTGAACAGGGTTGTTTAGACTCTAGTTCTTGAGGGCCACTGTCCTGAAGAGTTTGGCTCCAACTGCAAATTAAACACCTGAGACAGCTAGTTAAGATTTTATTAGTCTTAAACATACCAGGTAGGTGTGTTGGAGCTTAACTCAGCAGGACTAAATGTGGAAGGCTTTGTTTTAGAATATTAAAGGCATAGTTCACCCAAAAATGTAAACTTTCTTTCACCATTAACTTTTAATGAATTTCTTTCTTCTGAAGAGTGTTGGTAAAACAAAACAACCATTTCCATCATAAGTAGCAACAAGAAATTCTATGGAAGTCAATTGTGTAAGAAGTCAAATGTCCTTTGTGTTCAACAGAAGAAAGAAACTCAAAAATGTTGAACCAAAGGGAGGATTAGAAAATAAAGACAATTGTAATTTTTGAGTGAACTATCCCTTTAGAGAAATATTTTTTTATTCATTAATTTATTTTCTTTTCAGCTTAGTCCCTTTATTAATCACAGCAGAATGAATTGCCAACTTAACCTGCATATGTTTTATGCAGCGGATGCTCTTTCAGCTGCAACCCATCACTGGGAAAGATTTTTTTTAATGGTTTAAAAAATGGATTAATAATTTCATGATTTCATGCTTGAACTTATATTAATAATGCTAGGCGATGGATGAATTGTAAAATCCTGATTTTGATGTCATCTTTTTTCTTGTAGTTTGATATACGAGCGGTTTGCTGGAACAGATCCCAACAGCAAGGATAACTCTGTGGGAATACAGCTTTTAGGCATTGTAATGGCCAATAATCTTCCTCCTTATGATGCTGCGTGTGGCATCGAGCATGACAGGTACAATTTTCAACAGCTGTAGCTCTGCACAGTATAGGAAAAATTGAACATTGCAATGTATATTTTTTATCCGCACTATATATTGCGGTATGAATACAATTTCACCAGATGACTCAATATCTCTATTTGGAAAGCCTTTATAAAGTTAGATTGTATGTTGATTGGGATGATTTTAGTCTTCAGGTACAGTAATTGAATAATAAAAATAATTTAATAAAATTAATCGTTATTAAAGTTACGAATGGTACATTGTCTTGTGTCTGAATCATTTTAAATTAATTATACAATCACTGGCCTTATAAACACATGCAAATGATAAATTATAAATAAACTAAACATTGAATATCCTGCGATGTGACAATTGCGAATGATTACATTGTGATATTGATGAAAGAAAATCTGAAACTATATATTTTGCTGCCCTCGCTATATTTGTATGTATTATTATTTTACATATGAGTTTCATTCATTAATTGATTATTTGATAATAAATTGTTTTCAAATAACATTTATTTTAGATATGGATTAAAATGTCATTCTCTGTCACAATTTTTATGTTCCAGATATTTTCAGTCGCTGGCCAATAATCTATCATTCATCAGATATAAAGAGGTGTACTCAGCAGCTGCTGAGGTCATTGGGTTAATCCTGAACTACATGACAGAAAGAGAAAATGTACGTGTGGATCTTTATTCCTGCCCGACTCTATCACATTCCACATCTCAGTTATTTATTTATTTTGCACAATGTTGTTGTGAATAAACAGAATGAAAAATTGTTCTTCATTGTAGCAAATTGAAGGGACCTTATTTAACATCACTGTTACGAAACTGATGGATTTGAGAAAGAAGGAGGTGGATGACAAGTTTATTGTTTGCTTGAGCAAAGTGTCAAAACACTTTCCACCTTTGGTGGACCGGTGAGAAGGAGGTTTATCTTTACCAGTCTTATCCGACAACAGGCTAAACATAAATGTCTGTAAAACTATTTATAATTTTTTTTTTCCACAGATTCATTAATCCTGTATTTTATTTGCTGCCAAAGCTGCATGGCATGTTGAAGACACACTGTCTTGAATGCGTGCTGAGTCGTGCTGATGTCATCCCTGAAATCTTCCTGCACCTAAAGACCAAAGGCCTCTCACAGATCATGAGCCACAAGTCAGTTCATAGCTCTGTCATAGCATTGATTTCTCTGAGCTATTTAATGTTTAATGTCTGTAATAGAGAAACATTGTAGATGAGAAAATAAACACTTACTTGTCTTTCAGAGATGAGGGCAGACAGCGGGTTTGTCTGGACATTATTCATAAGATCCTGGCATGTCTGAAGCCAGAAGAGCTGAAGGAAATTTTGGGAGCTGTCACAGCATTCGCATCTCACCCTTCTCCTGTGTGCAGAGAGAGAATGTATGATATCCTGATGTGGATTCAGGACAACTACAGGCAAGTGAAGGCTAATTCATACTTCTGCTTCTAGTGAACAGTGTAGCTGACATCATAACCTTATGCACGCATACAATGCCAAAGCATTAACACTTGTTTATTTTGTGTGTTTGGAGTGGCGTTTCTCTGTTTATTCTCTGCTGTTTTGAATTTAAGCAACTACAAAAAACAGCAACTAAAAATGACCAGATCATTATTGATCTGATGATTATCGATGTTGAAAAACAGTTACTTTTAGTGAAATTGCTTAAATTAAACTGCAAAAATTATATATGATATGAGATATGATATGATATTAGATTAGATTAGATTAAACTTTATTGTCATTACACATGTAAAAGTACAATGCAACGAAATGCAGTTTAGGTTCAACCAGCAGTGCAATAGCAGCAAGTGCAGGATACAGGAATAAGTTATAAAGTGCAGTTATAGAAAACTATGGTGATATTTACAGATGGATGTACTATGAACATTATATACAGGTTGGATAAGCTATGAACAGATTTACAATATATGAATATACGTGCAGGTTGCTATTAATAATCAGTAGTGTGCAGATAGATAAACATGATTACAAGTGTATATGTTACAATATATGAATATACGTACAGGTTGCTATTAATAATCAGTAGTATGCAGATAAATAAGCATGATTACAAGTATATATGTATAGTGGGTGTGTACATAATTACAAATGCCCATATGCAGTGGGTATGCACAGTTCAATAAGTAAACAGTTCAATGTGGTGCAGTGAATGTGCAAATTTTAAATGTGCAAATGTTAAACAGTGCAGTTATTGGGAGGAGTTTAAGTTAGAGGAGAGTGGGGGGTGTATTGGGGGGGGGGGCAAAAGAGTCATGATATGATATGATATGATATGACAGAGGGTGGATTTTCTGTGCTTTCATTCTGAAAATTCATTAGAAGAAGTATAATACTACCTACCCAACCAATCTTGCTAATTTTGGTTGTAGCTTCATTTAATCTCTTAAAAAAGAAACTTTATTGAAAGTGACCCTAAAGTTTTGCTGGTTGTGGAATGTGTTTGCAGTGACTCTGAGAGCAGGGAAGACAGCACGTCTGTGGAAGTTCTCAGTGTTGCTCGAGAGACTCTCCTGCAGGGACTGACAGATGAAAACTATGGCTTACAGTAAGCAGAATATATACAGTAGCTGCTTTGATCATTTTAATCTTAAAATAAATCTTCACACACGTAAAAAACAAATCATTTGAGTCTAATTTGATTTGAATGTTTTCACTAATCAGTTTCAACCTATTATATACCTGACGTAATTTCATATGTTTGTATACTTTCTCTTTAGGCTTTATGTGCGCAATTTCTGGAGTCACGAGAGCCGTTTACCCCCAGAAACACTGGAGCGTATGCTTGTCGTGCTGAAATCGCTGTATTCATCCCGCATTGAAGAACAGTTCCTCAGTTTGGCCACTGACCTACTTCTTGAGATGACCAGTCACAGCCCTGACTTCACACGCAACATGTTTGAGTTCCCTCTCTCTGAGTGCAAGTTCCAGGTAAAGAAAATCATCTTTAATATAGCAGTGAAGATGTTGAGACATGCTCTTTATTTTTATTGTTTATTTTAATTATTGCCTTTTATACCTGGTATATGATCATTGTATTAAGCTCATTAATAAACAGGGGTTTTCCTGATGTTTTCAAACATGCTGTTGTACAGCTCATATTACAGAGGCCTCATCTTGATCCTGCTGTGCCTTAACACTACAGGCCCTTTTCTAAACTTAAATTTATCTTTACCTCTTATCTGGATTTTTAAAAAAATATTTTTGACCAATTTCAATCTGGTTTTAGAGCAAAACACAGTACTGAGTCTGCACTACTGAAAGTCACAAATGACATTTTACTCTCAGGAAACTTTTAGTCCTAAGCACTGCTTTTGATACCATAGATCACGACATTTTATTAAAACAACTTGAGTGTGTTTTTGGGGTTCAGAGCCTTGCCCTACAGTGGTTCTCCTCATATCTAAAGGGGAGATCTTTTTCTGTAAATATTGGATCTACAATTATCCATTTTTGGCCCTGTAATATTTTCTCTTTATATGCTTCCTTTATGCTTTAATACTCCACAAACATAACATAAATTATCACTGCTATGCTAATGATCTCCAACTGTATTTTCTCATCAAACTAGGAAAAGATTTGTCATTAGATTTTTTTTTTTATGTCTAACCGACATCTGGATGACCAATAGCTCTCTGCAACTACAAATAAATAAAACTAAAGTGCTTTTTTTAGGTCCTGCTGCTACCAACGACCAAGACTCACGCCAAGAATCTTAGAGTTATTCCGTTATTCAGTTTTTCCAACTTATATTGATGGCAAAAGTTCTAAAAAAAAAAAAAAAGATCTAGAAATTGTAACCCATGCTTTAATTTCCTCTCTGTTGCTTAACTACCGCAACTCTTTGTACATTGGTCTACCTCAGTGAACTGTTTTGGTTACAGTTAGTTCAGAATGCAGCTGCCAGATTAGTAACAGGAACTAAGAACAGAGATCATATCTCCCCTGTCCTTGCCTCATTGCACTGCCTTCCTATAAAATTCAGTTGATATTAAAATCCTTTTTTTCACATACAGTATGAAGCATTGCACAATTCTGCCCGAGTCTATAACGTATTAGGCCATATACAGCTTGTAGACCTTTAAGGTCCCATTATAAGTTTCTTTTGTCTGTCCCTCTGTCTCGCTGCAAATCCAAAGGTGATCGAGCCTTCTGTGTTGCAGCCCCAAGGCTCTGAAACAGTCTCCCTCTGAATATTAGGATTTCTCCATCATTGGATGCATTTAAATCTAACTTGAAGACTTATTTTTAATTATGTTTTTTCTTATCTGTATTTTGGTATTACATATATACATATATATTTCCTTTTTTATATTTTTAATACAATTTTAAAATTAAAATAATTTTTTTTATTGTAAATCACTTTGGATCAACTATGGTTGTGTAAAATTGTGCTTTACGAAAATGTTTGCCTATATATATATGTATGTGTGTGTGTGTGTGTTATTGGTGAGCATAGATTCATTTTTTTAATCTAGATTATTCTTTAAATTAATCTAGATTAAAATGGATCAATTGAATTCTGCCTAAGGCATTCAGAATATGTGTGCTACATATAGTATGCTTATATTAGTGGCATTATTGAAGTAAACACCGTAATCATTTATTCAATATTACCGTCATGTAGGACTTTTCGACATATTTTCCGACAAGATCCACACAGTAAAGATCCTTTACTGTCTGTAAAGGATCGCCTGGATTGTACACACACATCGCAAAATGCGGATGTTTTTTTCTTTCCATTTGGTGTGCGTTATTAAATTCCATAACACTCTCACCAGTCCTTACTCTTTATTTGCATATAATACCCCAGTTTGTCACGGGGGATGAGTTGAAGTGAAACTGCCGAATTGCAGTTAAAGTCAGGCATCCTGCTAATTTGATTCAGAACGGCACTTTTTTTGTCAGATGGTACGGGTCAGGTAAACTTCCGCGCTAAAACATCAAGGTAAAAGTCATTATAGCTTGCTTAGAATAGACCCAGCTCTCAACCCAACTTTGAGAATAGATCAATAGCGATACTTTTTTTTTTTTATCATGCGATAAAAGTCTCTCGTTAACGCAGCACGTTAACTGATAACGGTCCACCACTATATATATATATATATATATATATATATATATATATATATATATATATATATATATATATTAGTTTAACAATACAACTACAACTACAAGTTTTGTTTAATAGATAGCTGTCCTTTACTACTATACACACAAGTGTAACAGTATTCAGAACAGAAAACAAATGAATATAAACTATAGAATTAAACTTTTTTTGAAGTGAAGCCTAAACTGCCATTTACATATAATTCTATATATATATTTCTCTTTCAGTATCAGTTCAAGTGCAGGTTCACTTTGCTCATGATTTGCTTGTTTAATGCCTATTGCATTATATAAGTCACGGAATACGAGTTAAAGCCTTTTTCAGATGATTAAAATACCTCAACTTTTGTTCTTGAAAAGTACTGTATTTGATTAGTTCTGTTGATTACGTTTTTGAATGTCATAATTGAATAGACGTTCAAAATTTCAATGCTCTCTGTTCTGCTCTTATCCAGGACTACACAATAGACTCTAACTGGCGTATGCGGAGTACGGTCCTCACGCCCATGTTTATGGAGACTCAGGCCACTCAGGGGGCAGAAGCTGCTGGCAGTCAGGCAGCCACAGTGAGGGGCCAGATCAGGGCCACACAGACGTCCCTGGAGTTCTCTCAGACTCTGGCTCCTGGTGCAGGTGCTTCAGGGCATATTAAAACTTCTTTCACTTATAGCAGGTAGTCAGTGGATTTTGAAACCTGCCAATGTTCAACTCACCTCTTCTGTGAGCACTTAACTGACTTTTTGCTTAGTCTCTCCCTACTCCTGCTTATAACAATGTTATAAATTCTGTATTACTAGCACTTCTTGTTACTTTTACCTCCTTATGATGAACTGCTTGATGCCTTCATCATTTGTTTGTGACTTTGGATAAAATTGTCTACTAAATGTAAACCGCTGACCAAATCTTTCTGTTCTTTCAGGACGTCGTTCAGCATATAACTGGTTAACTGGGAGTAGTGTGGACACACTGGCTGATTATTCCCTTTCATCTGATTCTTTATCATCACTTTTGGTGTTTGACAAAAAGAGATCAGAGCGTCCACAAGCTGCCTGGAGAGCTGTGGGTGCAGGGTTTGGCTCTAAACGTCTCACTGCCACCAGTGACGACACAGACAGCCGGACTGCAGGTCAGTCACTGAAAATAGATATGGTGGCCAGATGTCTCTTGTTTCTAGGACAAACCGACTTTTTTGTTTTTAAATATCACATATTTCCGAGCACTATAAGTAGACATACCCTAATCAGTGTTAGACAATCATGTTGTAAAATATTTTAAAGAACATCATTCCCATGCAGTCACATTTACATATCAATGAAGTTTCAGAAATTGTCAAGTCAAGCATCAGGTCAGTTCTATAATATATTTCAAGCAAAATAATTGTTGGATCACTGCCTCGGCTTGTACACTATACATCAAGTTACAATTACCTTAGGGAAGCCATTTAGTATCAAAAACTCTTTAGATGATGGGGAAAAATAGTAAAAGAGCATTTTGCTGAGTGTGCGGTATATTACTGTCCCAACTGTCTGTCTTGAATTTTTCACTGGGGAATGAATGAATAAAGCATGAATAAATTCTTGTGATAAAATGTTGCGACTTTCACAGTAGTGAACCTGATATTTGTGTTCCAAATAGCTGAGCGGGAGCGGCGTGCAGACATTCTGAGACTCAGAAGGAGATTTCTGAAGGATAAAGAGAAAGAGAGCATAAAATTCGCCAAGAAAGAAATCCATTCTCAAAGAACTGAGAGGGTAGATCTTTTTTAAATTGTAGACAAACTTTTGAGTGGTTTCCGATTATGCTTTGGATATAATACTCTTTTCTGTATTCTGCAGGAGAGAAGAGCAGATCTAAAGATCCGCCAGGATGCTCAGGTCACGCTTTACCGCAGCTACAGAGTTGGAGATCTTCCTGATATTCAGATTCAGTTCAGCAGCCTCATTGCGCCACTACAGGCCCTGGCACAGGTTTAATTCAGAGTTATTTTCAACACTGTGTGTGTACTGCATGTTTGATGGTACTTGAGTAAATATCAGAAATGGACAACAAAGTCAGTTCTTACTTGTTTTACAGAGGGATGCCACACTAGCCAAGCAGCTGTTCAGCTCTCTGTTTGCTGGTGTGCTGGTTGAAATGGAGAGATTGAAATCAAATAAAGAAACAGCCGACATTCTGAAGGAGCTAGTGCAGACTCTAAACGCTTTCCTTAACAAGAGCACAGTCTACTTTCCGCCCTTCATTTCTTGCATCCAGGTGTGTGTGTATGTGAACGTGTGATGAGATTTAATACCAAATTGCTCTGTTTCTAAGCTAGTCTGTCAGCAAACTGTCTGCAAACCAGCTCATTAGCTATTAATCCCAGAATTTGAATATGGAAATCACCAGAAATTGCACAGGCCAAAATTTACCCATTGCTGTTTTTATCTATAAATGAATATAGCAGATTTTCAATAAAAAAGTTTCCCTGTCATTAGCTTGAAACTTGGATATTTTACTAAGACCATGATTTACAACACCCTGTTATTAAAAATGTGATAAAACTAGAATATGCATTGTTTTTATACCACAGGTTTAATTTACCTAATTAGGGCCTTATTTTTGCCCAACTAAAGTTTTAACTTTTTATGCTGTTAGGCAATCCGTTTTAGCTACAATAAATGCCAAGAGTAATTTGAGTCTGATGGTGGGGAGATATGCGGCATCCTGGGTGTTCTCACCATAAAAATAATAATTTCATGACACTTGATATTGGTTTGTGGCATAAAACAGTAACATAATAGATTTTTAGCCATATTAAAAACAGTAGTCTTATGCATAGAAACATTTGTCCCACTGGCTGTTTTAGATTTAAAATAAAAAATAAAAAAAAACAATCCTTGGTGATCAAAGTGTTAAATGGAATTCTTGAGTTTGTAAGTTGTGTAATTAACACTGATGCAAACACTTTTTCTGCATGTCTTCCCAGGATATGAGTTACCATCATAAGGCTCTTCTCGGTGTAGAGCCGTCTCTGGTCAGTGCCACCTGTCTTGCCAGCCTGCAGCAGCCCATGGGCATCCTGTTACTGGAGGAGAGTTTACTTCATGGAGCTGGAGCATCAGAGGAACCTCCATTGAAACGAGCCCGAGGCAAACGTGAGCTGCCGCCTGACACAGAGAGATGGATCCATCTTGCAAAGTAAGAGCCAAACCCATAAAGAACTGTCTTAAGTATTAACCTTATCACTGCTTCATCAGTTCTACCCTGATTTGTATTCCTCTGTAGACTTTACAGGTCACTGGGAGATTATGATGTTGTCAGGGGAATCTTTAGTGGCAAGATTGGCACAAAGTCTATAACATTCACAGCCCTGCAAGCAGAAGCAAAGAGTGACTATGCAGAAGCTGTGAAGCTCTACAATGAGGTATTTATTCTTGGTTGCAAACTCGGAATGGAAACTGTGCTGGTTGCCTTCATTTAATACTCTAATTAAATAAAGAAACCAGGATCTTCTCTTCAGTTTAATTCTTAGTTAGAGTTTTGTTTAGGACCATCTTTTGTATAGTCTATTATGGAATAATTAGATTCATACCGTACCACAAGGTATCTTGATGGGATTCTGTGAATGAGTGTTCACATTAGAAAGAAAATTAATTGGAAAATACACTTTTATTAATAAAATAAATCCAGAGAAAAGGATGTATGAAAGCAAATACAAGAACGAAACAAAAAATTCTATACTTTATTCTCCATTAAGAATAAAGGGCCTGAGACTTAAAATATAAAGAAGTCAGTTTAAGTGGTCTGCTGGTCTGTCCCAGCCATTTATACAGTATTCAGGCTTTTGAATTCAGGTGGGCCTTTTATATTATAAGCGATCAATGTTTCAATATACTTGAGTATATTAAAAGTTTGATATACTTGAGTATATCAAAAAATGTTAATACAGAGAAGCAATCCCTTTTTCTGAGTAAATGCATAGCAAAGCAATAATCAGTGTTTGATATACTTGAGTATATCTCAAAAGTTTTACATACCTGCGTGTATGTCAAAAAATGCTAATACAGAGAAGAAAATCCCTTTTGGTTTTGAGTTTTAAACAAATACATAGCAACATTTTTTCTATTACAATAGCATTTGGACAGTCTTCCAAGGGTCTTTTCCTCCAAGGCCATAGCTTCTAGCTGGCAATAAAACTTTTTTTCTGAAGATTACGCTTCCAGGCTTCCTCCAGTTTCCGATTGTAATAGTTGGTTAGAAGTGTCATCTGGACCATTTCTTCCTTTATGGTCAGCAGAAACTGACTCTCTTTAATATGTTGTCCTTTTCCTCTTTGAACTCTCTGTTGAAGGCGGCTCTGTCATCACTTAAGTTTCTTCTCATTGCTAATAGTTGTTTTTGCAAGCATAGGAATGTCCAAATATGTAAGTAAAGTTTTGTGTATTTTTCAATTAAAGTCATTAAACCATCCAGACACTAAAAAACAGATTGAGAATGTACACAGATGTCAAATGATTTTAAATGTGTGAGAGAATAACACTCGCAATACATCGGGGTTGAGAATAAGAGTGAAAGCTGTAATCTTAAGCAGTTTATTATTTTTTTTTTTACGTATATGAGAGCATGCTTGTGTATTTCTGTGAATGCAAATTCACAAAGAGTTTAAAAAAATAGGACTTTATGCAAAGTGATTCCCAGCTGAACTTATCAATCCAACTGTGCTTTGATTCAGGCTCTAAACAAAGAGGACTGGGATGATGGAGAGCCCACAATCACAGAGAAAGATTTCTGGGAGATTGCAGCGCTGGAGGCCTACAATCACTTGACAGAGTGGAAATCTCTTGAGTACTGTGCCACGGTCAACATTGACGACAGCTCCCCTATCAGACTAGACAGAATGTGGACAGAGACATTTTATGTGGTACTAATTCTAATTTTGAGCTATTTTGCAGTGGATTTATCACCATGAGAATTAAACTGGGTGAAGTATATTTTTACAGTTATAGCACATAATTGCATCAAAATCAAAATGAATTATTACCATTAGCAAATATTTCCATCAACTTCAGTCTTAGCCTCTGCTTTTGGCTGTAATAGGAAACATACCTGCAGTACATGATGCGCAGTATGTTGAAGCAGTTGCAGATGGGTGAAACAAATCAGGATCTACTGAGCTTTGTCGATGCTGCCATGAAGACAGAGGAGCACAAGATCATCATGGAGACTCACTACAGTCAAGAGCTGAGTCTGCTGTACATCCTCCAAGAAGACTATGACAGAGCTAAATACTACGCCAACAACTGCATGCAAGTCTTCATGCAGGTCAGTTTCACTACACACCTAAACAACTTGAGATGTTTTACTTTGAGTTGTTTACAACTTTAAGTTGTCAAAATGTATTTTCAGATGATATGTTGGAAATTTTATAGTCTACTAGACAAGAATTTTGTACTGAGAGCACTTTGATGTATGTTTTGTTAGTTTGTTTATCTGTGTTACCCTCTTTCAATTTTTTGAAAATTAGATTTATGCCATTTCTGAAATTTGAATAAATAAGCTTTCTATTCATGTACAATACAAATGTAAAAGAAGGGAACATTTTTGGCAGAGACTATTTGAATATCTGGAATCTGGAATGTTTTCTGAAGAGCATTTCACATTAAAGGTGCTCTCAATTGAAGCATGAAGAAAGGGTGGGACATAGAGTAACCCCTCATCTTTTTGAAAACAGCCAATAGCGTTTTGTTGTTATTACAGCTTTGCCAGTGAGAGTGTTTAAGCTCAGGACCATCAAATGTAAAGTGTATTGAAGGGGGCGGAGCATGTCAGATGCCACAGAGGATTTGATTGGTTAGAATATTTGAGGAGAAACTGAAGTATGAGGTGGCTTGAATAAACTGACAAACTACAAGCTTTACATGTTTATATCAACGTTAGACCTTCTAGATGCAGATTTTGTCAATGTTTTGGTGCACACTAGCTTATAGATATTCTAAAAACTAACAATGCTGGAACTGATACCTTCTAAACTTTAGTTTAATTTTAGGGAACCCTTAAAGGTATCTTTCCATTCTTTTAAGATTATAGGCATGCAAACACACACACACACACACTACACATATTTCTAAAATAGTTTGTGCCCTTTAAAGAAGGGTTTTTTGTCTATCAACAAATAATAGGAAGTGTTTAAATACCTGCTTTTTTTCAACATGATATAATATCCTGTAGAACTACTCCAGCATCGACCCCTTGCTGAACCGCAGCCGGCTGACTGTGCTGCAGTCTGTCCAAGCTCTGACCGAGATCCAAGACTTCTTGAATTATATCACAGGAGATGGTGGGTTTTTGTGCTCAGTGGAGTTGGATTAATGTTTGTTTATTAATAATATTTATGAGTCTGAATTATCACTGTTTGCTCTATCGGCTTTTAGTCTCAGTGAATTCTCTCAAGTTCATGATCAGACGGTGGACCAGCCACTATCCAGATGCTAAACTGGACCCCATGAATGTGTGGGATGACATCATCACTTCTCGGTGAGTCTGCTGATTTACACAGAAAGTACAGATTTCACAGTGCTTGCCTTGAAAAATCTGAGGAGGTATAAAGCTTATTTGTGTAGACCTAAGAATGTCATCTTTGTTTTCAGTTGTTTCTTCTTGGATAAGATTCTGAAGAGACTGAAGTCCACCCCTGAAAACAGCATGGAGGTGGACGGTGCAGACCAGGGCAGTGGAGAGGAGCTCGGAGTGCTGGTCAAAACCTGCAAGTTCAACATGAAACTCCAAATGGCTGACAGCGCATGGAAACAGGTGCTCAAATGCCTCTTATTTCATTTTCATAGCACAGACACAAGAATTTCCCCTGAAGCTCCTTTTGTTTGATTTTGGATTACCTCAAATTTAACTCATTTGGTTGTGAGCTATATGGTATGGGGCATATACATGGGCTCGTGCAACTTTGCAACCATGCTTGTGGCTTGGAAGAAGAATGTAAAATAAAGTTGGTCTCATTGTGCGTGGACAGATTTATTCAACATTGGAATTTGCAATGGTGTGGCTCACATTATTTTAGATAGTGAGAATCAGGCTTACTCTCACACATACTGTTGTGGATGTTTCGACAACATTGCACCCCTGCCAAATTATGCACCCCCTCACTGAATTTACTACCTGATTGCCTACTCTCAATCACACCTCCTAATCCAACACCTGCCCCAAACTTAATCCTAACTACCTGTATTAGCAAACAGGGTAAGGCATAATAATGGCAGGGGTGCATTTTTGCCACTACACCATCCATAACTGTGAGAACTGCACTAAATCTGAGAGACAATGCCATTTCTGAAAAGGGGAAACTAAATAAACAAAATCTAATGGTTTTCAGCGTCAGTCAGTTAGTTGTTCCAGCACATTTTTCATGTTTATGCAAGACGCATGATGACTGTTAGGAAACACAATGAGCCTTTAAGAGCAATCTGAATGTAGTGTGTTCATTTTGTCGACAGAATAACTTTCCAGTGGCATCCAAGCTGTTGAAGGAACTTCACCGTCATGCAAAGATTGATGATGCACGGTTGCTCCGCTGGGTCCACAGCTTCAGCCGTTTCACTCACAAAAGAATTGCTAGACTTGGACCTTCTGAAAAGATTAATGCTTTACTCAAGACTGTTCCACTTTTGAGTATGGATCACATTGTCTTATATAGACATACTTATAGTTTTGAGTTTTTACTGAAAGAAAATGTTAAGTGGGTTTGCATTGTTCTATATTTACAGAGGATGCTGAGAGACAAAGCGAAGCGCTATCTGCCCGGATGCTTCGTGACCAGAGAATTCTTCTGGGGACCACTTATGACCTCATGGCTGGTGCTGCAGATCGCAGTCCCTTTGCTCTGGAGACCCTCGGGGAAGAGAAAGTACAGAAGATTCTCCAACTTTCGCAGGCCTCATCCATCGCCCAGGTAATAAGATTTTTTTTTAAGGTAACGTTTTGGAATGTATTATTTTTTAAATTCGCTGATCACAAATAGTAGGTCAGAACTTGTTATGTTTCAAATGAGATGACTTAGACACATGGGCTTCTGGCATTTAATATTGATATACTGACATTTAAAATGTTGCCTTTATGTTTTAAAACAGGTTAAATTAATTTAATCAATTTAAAATATTTTAAATAATAAAACTTTTGTTTAAAAGTTTTAAATCAATATTTCAGCAGTTATTATTTCTTCAGTTTTTTACATGATATTTACAAGATCATTCTGATTTCTTATTCGTGATCAGGATATTATTTTATTATCAGGATTTTAGTAGTTTACCTGTTTGCACTATTTAAATGAGCTAAAATACAATTTCTGCATCCTAAACATACTTTTTAAAACATTATGCATGAGATAGGGTCTGGTCTAATGGATTGAAACACAAATTATTGCTGCTCATTATTTTGTAGTGAATAAATTAGATTTGCCATTTGATTCTAGCGTTTAGTGACTTTTTGACATACTTGTGACTTCTTGTGTGCTTTTTGCACTTTAATATTAACTGTTGTTAACATTTCCACATTTGATGAGTGTCATTTATTGCTCAGGTGGTGGAGGGTCTGCAGATTCAGGCTCTGGAGTTGTTGAGGAGTGCTGCATGTAAAGCAGAAGAGGAAGAGCAGTCTTTCAGCCAACAGCATGTGAACACGCATGGTATTGTGGAAGCCTACATGACCATGGCCAACTTCTGTGACCGAAGACTACGAGAGAGTGAACAGAAAGAAGAGGGTGAGAAAACCTGAGCACCTGTACAGCACACAAGTGCTCTCTTAAATATTAGAAATTTACACAGGCTCTCTCAGAGTCTGAAAGGACACTTTTTGTGATTTTGTGTGCAGGATGAAGTGCATATAATGACACTTTAAATGTTTGATTTTAGCAATCAGTTCCAAGCTTCAGTCCTTGCCTGAACATGTCGTGAAGATGATGCTGAAGGCGCTGAAGCTTAGCTCTGAGGAGGCCAGGCTCAAGTTTCCTCGTCTGCTGCAGCTAGTAGAAGTGTACCCTGCTGAAACCCTTGACCTGATGGTCAGAGAGGTGCGTCAACATCCTTTGATGCACTACATTCATAGATTTTAGGAATCATGTTCATACTGTCATTATATGAAATGTGCTCTGAATTTGTGTTTGAAATTTTTTTTTTAGCTAATTTAAAAATGTATTATTTATTTTTCATTGAGTGCTCATCTTCTTTTCTTTATTCTAATTCCAATAGGTTGTGAGTGTTCCTTGCTGGCTTTTGATTGGCTGGATCAGTCAAATGATGGCTCTGCTTGACAAGCCTCAGGCGACAGCAGTTCAGCATGTTATAGAGGAGATTGCAGAATGCTATCCACAGGCACTCATATACCCGTACATGATCAGCAGTGAGAACTACACTTTTGAGGAGTCTGCAAGTGGTCAGAGGAACCGAGAGTTTGTTGAGAAGTGTGTACTTATCTCTGTAGTTCTGGATGTGGCTTTGGCTTTTCTCGTATTGAGACATGCAAACTATTGTTTATGTTCCAGGCTGGAGTCATTATTGGATAAAGGTGGTGTCATCCAAGGGTTTGTAGATGCCCTTCAGCAACTTTCAAACCCTGAAATGCTTTTCAAGGTATAGGACCATTTTTCTCTGTGAGTTTTGTCCAAAATTCAAGTACCAACTGGAGCTGTTTTAACAGATCTGACAGATTTTAGTTGGTGCTGCTTAGGGCATTTTAACTTACAAAGACATTACAAAGAATTGATTCTCAATTAATGGTTTGACAGGACTGGTGGGATGAGGTGAAGAATCAACTGGACAAACCAAACCTGGACAAAAAGAAAATGAAGCTACAATACATGACTGAATTGCTTGGAGATGCCAAGTCTCCAAGATTTGGGTCTTACAGAAGAAAGTTCATCCAGGTTTACAACTTGCATATAACTGTGATTTGTTTAATAAAATTAAGCCCAAAATTCTGATATGCTATGTGTGTTTACATATATGCATACAAATATTAATAAATAATCTTAAACTTAATACTCCTTTATAAAAAGTCTTAACTATAAAATATCTTTCTCTCTCTGTCATCACATAACAAATATTCTCTCTCTCTCTCTATATATATATATATATATATGCATGTATGTATATATATGATATATAGTTGAAGGCAGAATTTTTTGCCCTCTGAATTATTAGCCTATTAGGCTTAACTGGGTTAACTAGGCAGGTTAGGGTAATTAGGCAAGTTATTGTATAACGATGGTTTGTTCTGTAGACTATCGAAAAATAATATAGCTTAAATGGGCAAATAATTTTGTCCTTAAAATGTTTTTTTTTTTTTTACTAAAAACTGCTTTTATTCTAGCCGAAATAAAGCAAATAAGACTTTCTCCAAAAGCAAAAATATTATCAGACATACTGTGAAAATGTTCTTAAACATCATTCGGGAAATATTTATACAAGAAAAAAAAAAATCAAAGGCGGGGGTGGGGGGTGTTTCGGGGCTTATAATTCTGACTTCAACTATATATATATATATATATATATATATATATATATATATATATATATATATATATATATATATATATATATATAGATAGATAGATAGATAGATAGATAGATAGATAGATAGATAGATAGATAGATAGATAGATAGATAGATAAGTAAATTGTTTACTGCATTAGCATAACTTAAGAAATTTAAATAAAATAAAAAATATATACATGTTTTTTGTTATTTTGTTACTGTAATTGCTTCTGTTGTCATTTGTAAGTTGTCTTGAATAAAATTAAATGTAAATATTGTGTATATGTAAGTGTGTACTGTATATTTGCTTATGTGTTTTACTATTATATCATTCTGTACATCCCACAGAAATTCTCTAAAGAAGTGGAGAAGCTGCTTGGTGCCGGTGGGTCTAAGTTGTATGAAAGGCGGAAGGATAAGGACTTCCTCCAACAGGTGGACCGCATGGTTCAATCCATGAGAGGTTTCCAAAAGGAACCAGGCAACATGAAGGAATACTCACCCTGGCTAAGCAGCTTCAAAGCTGAAACTCTCAAAAATGAACTGGAGGTACCAGGTTAGTAAAGAATGTTCTTAATTTAGTTTATTTGTAAATAATACCATTTGTTTCCCATTACCTCTGAATTTCAAATACCTGTTTTTCTTTTAAAGAAAGTATATACAGGAATCAGAGAGTGAAATTCGATACTTTTTAAGACACTTTCCATGCATTTTAAGACCTTATAACCACTTTTCAGTGGAAAACACTGGCGAGATTTGAACTTACAGTATATTTACTAAATATTAAGATGAGAAATTAGTCCAAAACTAAAACATTATTCACATCCTAAATAAAATCTATTAAATCTAGCTAATTCAGCAGGTTGGTGCCTATAAAACTGCAGAAATAATGGCGTTGCCTTGGTTACTGCAGTAAACAAAGAAGCATGATGTCAAATCTAGCAGGATTGAATTGATTTCATAAACTACACAGCATCTTGAGTTTCGCAGATTTAATTCAGGCAAACTTTAGTATACAACCATACATTGCGTAATCAAACATGATATAAAATGTAATACCTTGCAAAATAGCATTTAAGACTTTTTATTATTTTATTAAGACCCAGCGGACACCCTGGTAAAGTTGTCTGTTTCTGCTTTTCAATCTACAGGTCAATATGATGGCAAATCAAAGCCATTGCCAGAATATCATGCAAAGATCACTGGTTTCGATGAAAGGGTACAGAAAATATCATCCTTTTTATTAGTTGTCATTTAGACCTGAATATTTCAGTGCATTACGATTCATCTTCTTCAACTTAGGTGAAGGTTATGACATCTATCCGTCGACCGAAGCGCATCATCATACGAGGAGATGACGAGCGGGATTATCCATTCTTAGTGAAGGGTGGAGAGGATCTGCGGCAGGACCAACGCATTGAGCAGCTTTTTGGCGTGATGAACATGATTCTCAGTCAGGACACTGCCTGTTCTCAGCGGAGCCTAGCACTCCGTACCTACCAGGTCATTCCCATCACCAGCAGGTACCAGGATAAATTTCTCAAGTTCATCGCAAAGTGAAAAATTCCTTACCATTTACTCACACTCAGGGGGTTCTAAACTTTTAGGAATTTCTTTCTTCTGTTGAACATAAAACAAAATAATGTGAAGAATGTTGGAAACCAGCAACCACTGACTTCTAAAGTAGGAACAAAACAGCATAGGTGTCAGCAGGTGGCTGCTGCTTTCCAAAATTCATTTTGTTTTCGGCTTAGTCCCTTTATTAATCAAGGGTCACCACAGAGAAATGAACCGCCAACTTATCCAGCAAATGATTTAAGCAGCAGTTGCCCTTTCAGCGGCAACCTATCAGTGGGAAACACCCATACACTCCGTCATTCACACACATACACTACAGCCAATTTAGCTGACCCAATTCACCTATAGCGCATGTCTTTGGACTGTGGGGAAAACCAGGGCACCCGGAGGAAACCCATGCGGACACGGGGGAAACATGTAAACTCCACACAGAAATGCCAACTGACCCAGCCAGGGCTCAAACCAGTGACCTGCCTGCTGTGAGGCGATTGTGCTACCCACTGCGCCACTGCAACACCCAGCTTTCCAATATACTTGAAAATAACTTCCCTTGTGTTTGGACCAAATTACGTGGTTTAACGATTACAGAATTTTCCTTTTTGGGTGAACTATCCCTTTAACTCCTCTTAATAGTATATTAATGAATGTCTGCTGACATTTCCAGGATCGGTCTGATTGAGTGGATGGAGAACACTTGCACCCTGAAAGACTTCCTTTCCAGCAGAAGGACAGAACAAGAGCAGAAGACAATCACAAGGTGAACATTTATTCCTTTTCCTGTGTCTGCATTCATACCTTGCATATCTGCTGATTCTAATTGATGAATAACACATTGCTTTGGTTTAATGCATTTTAGGCCCAATGAATTCTATGATGAGTGGATCAGTAAAGTTGCTGGAAAGGTGGAGGGCATTAGACGATACGCTGAATTGTACAAGTAAGTCATTGTTTCATTTATTAAAAAAAAATATTTTCCCATTTGTCATGGGTAATTTTAAAGAATGACTTGTTCTTGTATGAATAGCATTCATAGTGAATTTGGGTCATGTTCTTTTTATTTAAAGCGGTGGTATTTCATAAATTTAGAGTTATTTACACTGTTAAATTGTTGGACTGTCATGCTCAAGTATGGGACAAGTTGTGACTAATTTTGCAAATTGTTATTTTTTGAGCCTGATTCTTTGTTGTGTAACCAAAGATGAAAATCCTTTTATGGGCGCATCTCCAGGAAAAGCACATGTGTGACCAGTGAGAGTGTGTCTATCACCCTCTGACAGTGCTACACCGGACTTGCCTGAGAATGACAAGTCAAAAAAGTATGCTTTTGGATGTGAGGGGAAGCTGATCTTGTGTAGCCAAAGTTAAAGGTGCAGTAGGCGATCTGCCTAAATGCTAACCAGTTAGCGTAATAGCTTTCAAATACAATCCCTCCCCCCTGCCGTCCAAAGCCATGCCTCCTGAAATAGTAAATGCACACATTAAAGATGTCAGGGACCCACTAGATCATTCGTTAGTTAGAAAACTTTATAATACTACAATTCTGAATGAAAAACTGAAAATGTGCAAGATATAATACAGTTGTGTAGCAAGCAAAACTTGTCATAATGCATAATATTTCATGCATGCAAGGATCCCTGGTCTCACTCTCATGCGCTTTGTCCTAAAGCGACCACTGTATGTTTAGTGGTTGGCCGTTGGCAAGCAGTAATTACGCTTATTACTAAGCCATACTTACATGCTATTTCAGACCGAATATTCAGAGTAGGGAGCATGTCACAGGCTGTCATTGTTCAAAAATGAAACAATGTGAATATAAAACCATCTTCACCTCAGTAAAGCAGTCTTAAAAAATCGACATTTGCTTACAGTTTGGGCTACTTATCAGAATTATGGGAATTATCAACCTGACAATATTTAATTGGATGAACATTTTTAGTCTTATGCCTAAATTAAAATACATATAAATACATTAATCATTAATATTGGAATGTGAAGAGACTTTCAACCAGCACAACAAAACATGTTTTTGAAGACAATCACCTACTGCACCTTTAATTTAAACCTTTCACATGTAGGTTTTAAATACTTCAGCTGCTGACACCTGTTAAATTAACCACATTGTCAGAGTATGTGTAAAAATTATTATTTTGTCTTCTTTCACAAACATCAGCATACATATTATATGTGAATTAAAATGTCTTCAACCTAAGCACACATCATTTAATAAAAAGGCAGCTTTAATTTAGCAGCTGATCAATGATGTACTGAATGTTCTAACCACACTGGTGGGATCGTACACTCCAGGGAGCTTATCAATCTGCTTTGTGTTGACTGTCAGTATCTTTGTCTTAAAAGTATTAAAAAACAAAAGACTTGTTAGAGAAAATATGGATGCAGTGCTACTATACAGGTATTTAAGATTAAAATGAGATTGGGCAAAGTGAGCAAGATACATTCCCTTTAACTAAAAAGGAGCTATTACAACATAGTATACTCAATCTTTAAGATAATTGAAGTTGAAAGATTTTGGAAATACTTATTCACACATTTCAATTTGATGTACTACAGAAAAGCAAAACGTGTGGACACTGTGAATAACTTTAGAAGAATTGAGCAGATGGTGCCGGACGACTTGTTAAAGTAGGCCAACATTTCACTCTCTGTTTCACATTGCAGGATTTAATTTTTATATTAAAATGTTATTATGATTCATTGTTTAAATGCAATATTCTAATGTGAAACAGAATTAATGCTGCCACGAACACTTGCTTTCAGACGTGCTTTTGTGAGGATGAGCACCACACCCGAAGCCTTCCTTTCACTGAGGTCCCATTTCAGCAGTTCTCATGCTGTGCTCTGCATCAGTCACTGGATTCTGGGCATTGGTGATAGGCATCTCTCCAACTTCATGATCAATACAGAGACTGGCGGCATGATCGGCATTGACTTTGGTCATGCTTTTGGATCAGCCACTCAGGTGGGTCTTTGTCCAGTATGGAGAAAGAGTTGCTATACAAACTTGAAAAGAAGTTGAGTAAAGCATCGGGTCAAGCTGTATCATAGATGATGACAATAAGCTGTGTTGCATGTAGTTTCTTCCAGTGCCTGAACTGATGCCGTTTAGACTGACCCGGCAGTTTATAAACTTGATGCGTCCCTTGGCCGAGTCTGGTCTCATCCAGAGTGTGATGGTTCACTCACTGCGAGCCTTCAGAGCTGAGCCAGACTTGCTGCTCAACACTATGGATGTGTTTGTAAAGGAGCCCTCGCTGGACTGGAAGGTAGAGCAACTCACAGCAGATTTTAAGCTTGCAAACGGAAACAAATAGCTTGCTTTCCTTATTTCCACATAGCCTTCAGTGTAATCAAATGTTTCACGTATTCCATTTTCTAGTTTCCCATATAAGGGGTCTATAATAAGTTTAGGTTTTATTGAATCAATATCAAAGAGGCAGGGTAACTGAATTGTGAAAGGCAACACCATTATCCCCATGATGCAGAACTTTGAGCTGAAGCAGCTGAAGAAAGGAGGCACCTGGACAGAGAGTGTAAACACCAAAGAAATCAACTGGTTCCCTCTTCAGAAGGTCAACTTTGCTCGCCGGAAGCTTGAAGGAACCAATCCTTCAGTCATAACAAGGTAGATCCAGCCACACAAGTCTGAACTCAGTTTTGTTTAAACATTTCATGTGGATTTCTAGAAATCTAATTTTTGCACATTGACATCTTATTTTGATGATCTCTAATTAAGTTCATCCAGTAATTAACTTTGGTTAATTTTCTTTCTAATTTTTTTAAAACCGTTTTCTTCATGAACAAAATAAGAATGTACCAGTAGTAACCATGTTGATTTGTCAATGTTCTAGTGAGGAGCTTTGTCTTGGATTTGAGAAGATGCCGGAGTATAAGGGACTGTTGGCTGTGGCCCGAGGAGAAGAACAACATAACATTCGAGCTCGACTTGCTGACAAAGATCTGACTGTTGAAGATCAGGTAGATTGCTTGCTTGATCAGGCAACTGACCCTAATATACTGGGCAGGGTGTGGATAGGTTGGGAACCATGGATTTGAATCCAATAGGGTATTACAAAAATCTAATTCAGTGGGGATTTCAAATCAAATTTTTTTGTATCTTTCTGAAAGTTTGTAAGTGTGTGACGATGAAGCTTTCAGAACCACAGCTATTGTCAAATAACTTTTCTATGGGTATGTTAAGCCAGAATTTAATAGGACTGTATTAAACAAAATGAAGGGAAAATAAGCAGTTGTCATTTTTCATTGCATGGATTTCAAGAATCACATTCATCAAATAAAGCATCCAAATGTTAACATTCCCCCCTTGTGGACACATCAGCTTTTAATACTGACATAAAAGTGATGCTGTTAGAAATATTTTAATTTAGTGTCAACTAGTATGACAACTTGATACAAGATAGACTGAATGTGATAAACTAAGTTGTCAGGGGGAAAAAAAAGCTAAAATCAAGTTAATCGTTTTTATTGATCAACAACCAAAGGAACGTAGGCCACAGTTGGATTGGGTCTAATATCTTCAGGTTTTTCAAAGGCTTTGGGTTTAAGCAAATAAAGTCTGTTGTGCAGGTACCGTAAGGTCAAAGAGATTACATGGAGATGGGTACAGGTTAATACACAAAGCAATATAGATTTATATACATGTATATATTAAACAAAATGGCTATTAAAATCATTACAAGACTGTGCATAGCATTGAGATACAAAACTTGTCAATTGCAATACTGAAGGCCAATATTTGTGGTTGCATCACTGCAGCACATTGCATTTGTTTTGCTCTGAACCGGCTTACTTGTTCAGCCTTACATTTTGGGCCTCCAGCCGTTAATAAACTGCATGAGTTTCTTCACTTGAAGTTTGCTTAGCTTAAAATCTTCTGACAGGATCTCCTCCGTTAACTGCAGGAGCAGATTTCCATCAATTTTTTCTTGCACAAACAAAGAAACAACATCTTCTGACAGACCAATGAACCGTAGTGACTTAGAAATCTCCTCAATAGAGATACCTGATAGATTGCTTGGTGGCTGCCAAGACAACCCTGTAGCTACAGGATGAGAAACAGAGAATACATCTGTAGTGCCAGGATGTGGCCCATCAGGCGAGCAGCTTTTGGACTCAAGTTCCACGGCGTCTGCATCGGCCGTATCTGTAGTGGCGGCTTCTGCATCTTTCTTTGCATCAGTACATTTAGGGGTTCTTGGAGGCAAGATGGGGCAGGACTGGCTTTGCTTAGTGATACATTCGTCTGTGGGTTTGTCTCTGCACATATCCATGTTGTAGCTGGTGGATTTGGTGCAAAACTGGGCAGACTGGGTAACCTGCTGGACCTTGGAGGACACAGCCTTCCCTTCAAAATTTGCTCGCTTATCAAAGTCTAACAAACCTGAGGGACAAGCCTTAGGAGTTCCAGGAGTCCTCTTTCGAGGATAGCTAGAGTAACTCCTGCAGTGGAGAGATTGGAAGTCCTCACCTTTATACGAGTCAGCTCCGCAGAAATCGTTTGGCCAGGAAAGGCGAGAGAAAGAGGCATTAACTGACGGATTGAGGCAAGGGAGAGGCTTGGAGCTTTCACTGGCATCTGGTCTGATCCAGTTACATGGGTAACAAGCATGGTTCTGATCATCTGACTCGATCTGAGACTCGCCCTCTCCACCTCTATTGAGAGATGGAGAACAGGGAAGGGAAAAGAGCATTGTTTAGTCATGATTAGTGCAGATTACATCAAATTATTGACCATTTTGTCAATCAAAACAGTGTGTAACTCACATGCTGTGCAAACCAGACGAGTAATAGGACAGCGTTGGGCTTGGAGAGCGGGTATCTTTCTGACGTGGCTTGGCAGAAGGGTATGGCACTGTGGCACTGCTTGAGCCTGCCTGTTTAGAGCTGCGCGGTGGAATTGGTGGAGCGTTCAACAACCGGCACTCCTCCTTCACCTCCAATGGAAACAAGAATGTAAACTATGAATCTAAAAATGTGAACGTCACAATAAACCTATAAGAGACTAAACAGATATAGATATAAAAATTGATATGTACAGGATATGTACTAGACCTTGATAACGCATGAAATTTAACCTTTGTCCCAACTTGGAATGCAATTAAACCTGATTTGACTGACCAAAAGACTACACAAATAAGTCACTATGTAAGCACAGAATAAACTTTGCCTTGTCTGAACCATGAAACAGACAGCCTTATAATCGTTTTAAATCTCTAGCATAAAATTAATCTTTCAAACAATTTGTGAATTGTTCGGTTTTAACTGATGTTTGAAATTGTAATTAAGAATAAGCTTTTACCCCATTTTAGAGAGATGGCATGAAAAAATGAAGATTGTCAATTTACTCTACACATCCAAAATGATATTACTTAAATAGTTTGTTTTTCCTATAATGGAAGAGTTTGTTTACTAACATTTTATAACTTTATATTGAGCAGAAGAACAAAACTCATTCAGCTTTGGAACAAGTGGATAGCGAGTGAATAATGACACAATTGTCGTTTCTTTTACCCTTCCCTCCACAAAAAAAAAAAAGAACTCACCAACAAATCACTATGGATGGCAAGTTAAACATACATATCGTCTATCATTACCATGAAAACCTTTGTAAAAAAAAAAACCTGACTAAAAAAATAATATGAACCAAGTATATTTAAGTTTTGTGAGAAGTCTGTAAGAAACAATATTTTATGCATGCAAATTCTTTTGGTTATTTGATTTAAAATATGTAAATATATATATACTATTTTGGTGTTATAATTGATTTTAAATTGTCATTTAGTCCAGTGATGAACCTAATATCAAGCAGTCTTTTTTTTACTCTATTCTTCATGATGTCACAAAATGTTTTGGAAATATTTGTAATAGGCTGATTTGGTTCTTGATATGCGTGACATGTTGCTGAGAAATAGTTTTACTCAGTTTTTTTTTTTTGTTCATTTTTTACATTTAAGATTTTAGTAGAATAGAAAGTTCAAAAGTCCAGCCTTTCATTCAAATAGAATTTCCTGTAAAATGTCAAATCTTCAAGAAAAGATTACTAACCAAAAACATTTAAATGGTAAAGCAGATTTGCTCAGCCGTTCAATAAAAGTAGCTTTGACATGTTTCATGATTATGCTCATAAAGATAAACTCACAGCTTCAGACTTTGGAGGCACCGGAGGTGGAGGTAGATTGACATCTGCGCTGAGCAGAGCACTTGTAGGACCTGCTTTAGGGTATGGCAGTGCAGTCGTGCAGCCAGAGGACAGTGAGTTTCCTCGGACACCCTCGTTGTGGTCTAGAACAGGTCCAGCATTCTTAACATGATCCAACCAAAGCTCCTCATAGGGCACATCTGATTTTAGAGAGCCTGAAGAATTCTCCTGCAGTTCAGGGAACAGATAATCTGCATCAGGCGGTTCTGCTGGTGCACAATCTCCACATAGGCTCACGCAACCCTGAAGATTCACCTCACTGTTCCCATGGAGATTGTTTCCGTAGACACATACCGACAGGCGATGAAATGACTGCGTGAGCTCATCTCGAGCTGAGCTCAGAGAACTTGGCAGATGTAAATGTGACGGGCAGCCATTGCTCCCGCTTCCACTGCTATTGCAGATAGCGCTCCCACTTCCTGTTCCACCTGCACTACTTTTTTTCGGACTCTTGCCATCCTCAATCCAGTCCACCCGCACGTCCCGGACAGCCCTAGAGTAGTCATCAATGTCGAACTGTTCCTGGCAGTAAGTGAACCATCGGTGGACCACCGTCTCGAACCAGGATTCTCCTTGAAGCAGCCCTTCGGGCACCAGTAAACGTGGCAGTGCCGTGGACACATGTAAGGGGAAGTGCACTGGCAGTATTTTGTTCGAACGTAACGCACAACACACCACCACTGTCTTTGTCTGGATGTTGACCAGCTTGTATCTGTGGCCTTCGCGGATCAAATGAAGGTCGTGAGGATTACGTGGTGGGCTGCTGGGCACCATGACATTCACAGGTAACCTGGTCTTCTCCACGATTGTGCGAATAGTATGTTCTCCTTCCTGCATCTGCAGCTCCAGCGGGGAGCAGGTGCTGAAGCGGCCGCGGCACTGGAAAGGCAGGCTGATGCTCTCATTGGTGCGGTGGTTCATGCAGATAAGGCAGGGCATCTTCCCACGGCCAAGCTTGCTGATGGAGTTGAGCTTGCCAATGCGCTTGAAAATAGTGTTGAAGCGTGACTTTTCCCTAGATGATTTGGCATAGAGGAGCTCGGCCTGGCCCATTAACGTCAGCTCATCCCCTGTGCTTAGTGTGATGTTGTACACTTCAGTGTCCTCATTAGATTCTCCTGATGCCATCTGGGGGAAAGACGACAGCAACTTGATCATATCATCTTAAAATATAGTCTGAATAATACTGTGTTGTACAGACTACACACAAATCAATGTTAAACAGACTTTAAAAATCACAAAACCAATTCATTTATGGTAAAGGCATATTAGGTTGTACTAACACTAACATACATAAATCAAAAGCAGTGCCGTTTATGAGCACTAATACAGACCTTGAAATTGAAGGATATTTCCTCCATGACATACACTCGCTCAGGAAAAGCTTTGGCCACCTCCTCCACACTGTTGTAGTACTGCACAGGCTCCTTAATGTCCCTGTCCTGCTCGAGCAGCTTAAACTGACCTGTGGCCGGCAAATACATAAATAAGTTAACAATGCAAAGCTCCTCTGTATATAGGTTAGATGTCAAGTTGCCAAGCATTTCCTAATATATATTAATATAAATACACATGTGGTTTCCCACACAGGGTTTAATTTAATTAATCCAGAATTCTAAAATGTAGAACAGTTAATCATGGCTTAAATATTAAAGATACAACAAGCTGGAAATAAAAATGAAGTAAAAATAAGTGGCAGCTTCATTATTAGATATATTTTATTTGCTTGTTACATGTGGATTTTTAATTATTATTGACCATTGAAGCCATTGTTTATGCTTCTGAATATAAACAATATCACAAAATAGTATTAAGCTGCCTATGAGCTCAAGAAAACTTTGGAATTGTGTTTAAAAACTGGTTTCATAATTCATAATCCTTGAACAAAAAAGTTATGAGCACCTGAAGACTTGATACATGCCATCCTCTTTGTTCTACAGACAAAAGCCTGAGCTTTAAATTGAAAAAATCTGTGCCACATTTACCTTCTGTCCTCAACTGGTTTTATTAATGAGTCACTTTTGTCAGCAAGAACCTGTCTGACTGGTGGTGCTTCATTGACATAGACCAAGTAATCTATTAAACTGAAGTTAAACCTGCCTTCTGGTATTTTAATCTAGAAAACTGTCTTTATAAATTCATTTCCAGTGGCGTAAAGTAACTAATTACAGAATTTCTCAGAAATTGTAATTTACTAAGTAGTTTTAAAATGTGTACTTTTACTTTCCCTTGAGTACATTTTTTGTGCTGTATCGGTACTTTTACTCCACTACTTTCTTTCAATCTGCAGTCACTATTTTTTTATTGTCTATTGGGATTAGAAAAATCAGTCCTGTGATTCCTGTGCAATCAAATCACACATAGAAGGTAATTTGCATCATAATGAACAACCTCAGGACATGGGCGATTTTTATAATTGCAGCAAACTGTTTGGAAACATTAAAAGTGTCCAAGAGGATGACCAAAATCTTTACACGCATTGACCCAGTCATTGTTTAGATCAGGGCTGGCCAACCCTGTTCCTGGAGAGCCCCCTTCCTGCAGATTTCAGTTGCTGCCCTTATCAAACACACCTGCCTGTAATTATCACGTGGTGTTCAGGTCTTAATCAATTGGTTCAGGTGTGTTTGATATGGGTTGCAAATGAAATATGCAGGAAGGGGGCTCTCCAGGAACAGGGTTGGCCACCCCTGGTTTAGATGTATGTCACTTAAAAGATGATGATGGATGATTACTGTATAATGACCGAAATGGCCTTAAACACCCAGCAGGCAAAAGACATCAACATGGTGTCAGATTGACGTTTTCCGGGGATGTTGCATGTTTGGAAATGAAAATTGGGTAGACATAAGAAGAACCCAACGTCAGGCCAACGTCAATGTCCGACTCCAACTCAAAACCAACCAAATATCAACGTCTAATGATGTTACAGCTTGAAGTTGTGTGGATGTTAATCTAACCTAATATTAACATCTTATGATGTTGTGTGCTTTATTATCTGGGAAACGAAGGGCGCATTTTAAGGCTGTGTTTGAAGGAGCCTTCGAATTTTTTTGAAATGAGACAGCCTTCGTCACGTCGCGATGACGCAGTGCACTTCGAATGCATCCATCGGAGGATGCAGCCTCTGAAATGAGAGACACCTTGTTTCTCTCATTTATACGGAAATTAAGCTTAGTCTGGGAAACCAGTTTCATGTAAGTAATTAATATATTTATTTATTTAATAAAACCATTAACTATTATGACAAATTGTACAGAAACTGAATAGTGAAAGAGGTGAAAACAGACAGTTTGCAAAGATTATGTCTTTCGTGGTATATAGATTTAAAGGAAGGTCTTGTTTCACCTTAAGTGGTCAACTGACCCTCTCCTTAGCCAAAATAACGTCAATATGGAGACCAATTAGCTAATGAACTCTAACAAAAAGCAGTACAACACAGCAGAACAAATCCTCCTCCTTTCTGTTTCAAATCAATTCAAAATGTTATCCTAGCAGACTAACATTCATGTCCTTTGCCTTCTTATTAAAAACCAAAATGGCTTTGAAAAAAATTGAAAGCTGTTTCTTCAAACAGTACATCCTGCACTGCAACAGCTGAGTGGCCTTACCCTCATAATGGACAGGGATCTCGATTTTCGGTCCGATGACATAATGGCCCTCCTCTAGGCTATGGGCGGTAATTGTGGTCCACTGCCGGCATGAATGAATCAAGAGGTAGTCATTTTCTCTCAACCCTTCCACCGATTCTCCTGAGGCAAAACACAATGTCACGTCAGTATAGAACGGTGACGTTAATACTACAGAGTTCTGTCAAAAAAAAGCTTAAGTGGTACTTAAGAATATGCTAACAAATACCAAGTCCACAATGACACGGATATTAAGATCAGCAGTTGGAACTAGCATTATAAGGGTATAATTTGACCCTATTTCTGAACTGACAATATTTACAATTGGCACATGATTGTGCCCAAAGTGACTCACATATCATTGAACACATTTACATGTGCACTTTTGATCATTCCCTTCCTTGTGAGTATTGAGCTCACTTTTTTGTTCAACTATTTGAGCTACAGGAATGTAAAAACAGGAGTATTTGAAAGTAGAGCATACACATAAATTAATATTAGAGTTGAGAAAATGGATCACGGATCACTTTAAGCTCAGTCTTTTCTGTTCATAATAATGATCATAAGGGTTTTTCAGAGTAATCATAGTGCCCCAGTTCCCATAATGATAATGATCTAGCTCCCCTGACATTATGACTTCCTCCATCTTCACACACACACACACACACACACACACACACACACACACACACACACACACACAATCAGAGCGCAGCTCAAATACACAGCTCTTGCAGTTTGTCAGTGACGTGATAAAACATTGATAATAACCAAACAACTTCGCCAAGTCTAGATTTGTTGCGTCACAAATGTTTTTTTTTTCATCAAGTCTATATAAATCACCTCACTATTAACTGTAAATAAACTTGTGTGAGCTCTTTCTAAAGTTTAGCTTCGAGTTCGCAGAGGTTAGAAAGCAACAAAAACTTTCCCCCCTATACGATTAAAATGAAATGTTTTGAGATCGGGGGTTGACTGCCTGCAGTTTGTTATTTAACTCTATGGCCTCTGGCTAATTCGAGTTAGCTCGCTAACGTCCATGCCTCTCTTTTTCGCCCTTTATTTGACTGTTTGTGCTCACTGGGTTCAAAACAACAACTAAACTGATCGCTCTTGGCGTAGGCTGTTTAAGGCATGCCGGTGAAGCCTACAGACTGAAGGTGTCCACTGTGTGTGTGTCTTCTGAGTGCAGGGTCTCGTTAGCTTAGCGCGCGGAGCGGCTAATTATTGGAATTCCACAGGAGCGCAACCGCCCACGCGCAGCTGCCGCACACAACAGAAACACAGCACAACTCGGAGAAATCTTACCGCTGTCCAACTTGACGATCTGTGGCAGTCTGTAGGAACTAATTAGTCTGTCCAAGGGTAGTGTCGTTGTGCTCCATGTTATATTGTTAAAACTGTTGTACAGCATCGATCCAAGGTCCATGTTAGCTCGCTAACATCTGCACGTTAGCCCGCCGCCGCATGCATCTGCAGTGAAGAACGGCTCTGTCATGGAGAAAGCTTCGGTAAATGCCCTTTTGTTTACTCAGAGGCAGCCGTGGACAGTACGTGAAGCCATGTCAGCCGACCGTCTATTTACACTGACAGGAAATGCCATGTATCCCATACCGTAACGATCTCGAGCTGGAGCGGCGATTTCCTCTTCCCTGTTGCTCCAGCGGTTGCTCGGGCAACCAGCGCCATAATTCGCACTGTATTTTTAATATTACAGGTTATACAAAAATATTCAATAAAGCAATACGCCCTCTGGATATTAAAAACAACGTAAATACAAATCTTGGATACAACAGTGCGCTTACAAAAATACATTGATACAGCAATCCTATACTTAAACTTAAAACATCCTATTTTATATAGGCTACTCTAGGAAATGTACATAAAATTACACGTACACAATATTAGACTTTAGAGAGACGTTGGTAATCAAGCATCAAGAGAGATGGGATTGCTTAAAATTATCATTTAGTTTGGGGCTAAGTTACAAATCGCATGTAAATTAATGTCTAATTAGGAACACAGAAAAGTTAGAGCAAAAACAATAGCCAAAATTTAATCTAGAAGTTTGGTGTTACGGTCACGTCATGTGCAATTATACTTGCAAAATAAATAAAATTATGTTTTACTGTGCTTCAAAGTGAAGTTGGAGTAATAAAGGAGTCTATTTAACAATTTGAACGACGTAACATTTTTAATTTAATAAGTTAAAATAATAGTGTTAGGTTATTTAAAAAAGGGTCAATTCAGTTTCAAATAGTATTGTTTGTTAGTAATGTACATTATTATACAAGTTCACTTAGCATACATAAAGTACACTTAAAATACTTGATCTTTAAGTACAATTTATTTGCACCTTATTGGCACACTTTTGAATTCATTCATTCATTTTCTTTTCAGCATAGTCCCTTTATTCATCAGGGGTTGCCACAGCAAAATGAACCGCCAACTTATCCAGCATATATTTTATGCATTGGATGCCCTTCCAGCCACAACCCAACACTAGGAAACGCCCATATAGGACAGCCAATTTATTCATTCATTCATTCCTCTACCTTTCGGCTTAATCTGAGGTCGCCACAGCAGAATGAACGGCCAACTTATCCAGCATATGTTTTACACAGTTTGTTCCTTTCTCTCTGCAACCCAGTACTGGCAATCATCTATACACACTCATTCACACACATACACCATACCCAATTCACCTGTACAACATGTCTTTGGACTGTGGGGGAAACCGGACCACCCGGAGGAAACCCACCTGAACATGGGGAGAACATGCAAACTCCACACAGAAATGCCTACTGACCCAGCCAAGGCTTAAACCCTCAACTTTCTTTCTGTGAGGCGATCGTGCTACCCACTGCGCCACTGTGATGCCACCTTTGAATTCATACAAGCAAAATCATTCTGAAGTCTATTCTTATTGTTTTTTTAAAACAGAAATTGTTCAACCTTGACCTCCTGTTTCTCAGTGCTATAAATATGAGAAAAGGCCATGCTCTATTATGTGAAATTAAGGTGTCAAGAGGTCAAGCTGCATGATCTGTTACAAACATCTGATTTCCCACAAAGGGTTTAAATTTAGGCAGAAGTCTAAAATCAGTTAATCATGGCTTTAAAATCGAAGATATAACAGGGACAATAACTCCACAAATGTGGACTTACTCAACTGGCAAATGCAAATCCAGAAGCAAGTGAAGCTGATCACTTCCTCTCTCAGAGCAGAGGCTGGGGGTTGTTCTCTTTCAGACTGCCTCTGCTCAGTTCACAACAGAGACGAGCAGCATTCATGTGTTCACTGCTCACCGTGTTTTGAGGGAGCATGTCCTTCGTAAGCACCCTTCGCCAGTGGGATGAGGCCGTGGCTTGTGTGGAGCAAAGAGACCCAGACGCTGCTCTCAGGATATTCCTCAGTATCGAGGAGAAAAACTCCAAGATCGCTTTCAACATCGGCTGTCTTTGTCTGAACAACAGTGACTTAGATGAAGCTGAAAAGGTACTCTTGTATGGCTGAATCAATGTTTTATACTACTTGATGTTTGAATTGTATTTTGAAAGTCTAAAATATTTGTGGCTGTAAAAAGGAAGTAAAAGTAGTTTTATTCTTTATGGGAAATGTATTTCTGTTTCACACCTGCAGGCTTTTGATGGAAGCATTGGCAAAGATGAACACCTGGCCGTGGCCTTTTTTCAGAGAGGAGTTACATTTTATAAAAAGGAAAAGTAAGATCATTACCTCTTGTCATGACACTTTAAAGGACAGTTCACCCAAATGTTTCTATTAAACACAAAGGAAGATAAACTGAAGACAGTTGAAAAAAAATCAGCCATTGACTTCCATACTATTTTACTATGGATATGCCTATCGGTTTCTTCAGAACATCTTTTTTTGTGTACAACAGAAGTTTGGAATCACTTGAGCGTGAGTAAATGACGAGAATTTAAATTTAAATTTGGTGAACCATCCTATTAAGTAAACGTTTTATGCTGTTCTGATGGCTCAAGGTACTTAAAAGAGTGGTCTAGAGTGTATTTTTAAGGCTTGGATGTGTTTATAAGAAGCAAAGCAATGTGTGATCATGCTTGATTTGTAGAAAATCACATTATTTTTCATATATCTTAATTATACGCTAATACTCAGCTAACATGAAAATGCCCGCCCTCAAGAGGCTCTGATTGGTCAGCTAACATAATGTGCATAATTTGCAAACCAGGAAAAGCATCACGCCTTTAATACTGCACGCTGTGTCTCTGCTTTGTAAATACTGTCGGTCAGAGCCAAATCAGTTTGAGCCTGAATCAAACAGAAAATGAAGAGGACACAGCAGAACCTTACGCCTGCTCTCTAAAATAAAATCTAACAAGTGTCTTTCACATATATTCAGAATAAGCATGTGTGTAATTAATATGAAACATTTGCATATTTTTTGCAAGTTTGTTATTTCAGATGTAGAACACAGGGAAAGCGTCCACATGGAGTTACACTGTAGCGCTGCAAAAGATTGTGACTGTTTACAGAGATTTGATGGAGAAATATGAATTTGTAGCTAAATTGTTAGCGGTTTACATCCTCACTACAACATAATGTTAACGCTTAAAACTGTGCATGTAATAGATCAGTTTTCTCAAATAAAAACACTTACAGGTTGTGGCTCTCAAACCACAGCTTCTTTGATTATGGTTGGAGCTGCTGGTTGGTTTTTAGCCGAACCAGCACTGAACTGGGAGAGATTCAGGAAGTTCTCCTTTGTCAAATGCTAGAGCTATATATTTTCATAATTTTCTGGAATTCCTTGTGCCGTGTCCTTTGGAAGCTTAAATACAGTAACAGAAGATGCTCTGTGAAAATTGCAGTTATTGGATGGCATTTTATCTCTTTTTGCTGTAACATACAGCGCCTCTGGCCACGCCCATTCGCTCTGCAGGGTAAATGCATGTAACCTGAAGCATTTGTGATCTCACTAACCTGGATTTTATTTTTATTTTTTGTAGTCCTCAAATTTTGTTCAATGTCGGCTTTGCTAAGCTAACTCTGTAAAAGCCAATGTCTCTCTTTGCATTGAGCGTATTACAGTCAGAGATGTTGTTTATGTTCACACAGCTACATTACACATCAATTAAAGTTTAAAATGTGATATAGTAGTGGACCGCCGCTTTAAGAGCCGATCACAAAATATCTCATTCCACTTTTAATAAACTGATGATCCTAACCTTCTCTCCAGGTTTGAAGAGTCTCTTCTGGATTTCCAACAAGCATTTAAGCAGTTACGAGGGAATCAACTAATTGATTACACACCTCTGGGGCTGAGATATAAACTTTATGCTTGTGAGGCAAGTCCAGATATTTTTTCAACTTTACTGACTTATTAATAGTTGTGATGTGAGTGACATTTTACACGTCTCCATTTCTGACTTGATGGTTTTTCACAAGAGTTTTCTCCTATATTGCAACATCTGACATTAACAGTCACCTCAGTTCATTCTCTAAAGCAGTCTTTTTGTCTTGTGTAATATTAAGGTGCTGCACAACATTGGACTGGCACAGGCGCAGTTGGGAAAATGGGAAAAAGCTCAAGAGAACCTTCTCACTGCTCTGAGCTTGAGAGCAGATGCCAAGTTCAGCCATATTGATCATGCGCTGGATGCCATTCTGGTCTGTATCTGCTTAACTTTCATTATCATAAACATGATTATCAGTTGCTAGGACTCATAAATTAAATTCCTGTTTTAATTTACAAGTTGGCCCTGAAAGTCATTGAATTATATGTTGACCTAATACTCTGTGGTTCATCTCAAACGTTTTGGTTGTTATATGAGGCAACGAAAGCTTGTTCTTTCGTAACTTGTCTAAAAAGTGGTTATGTTTGGTTTGTTTCACAATCAGAGGTTCTGGTTAGATTTTGAGGGAAGTTGTGTAAGTTTCAGAAAGGTCAAAATTCACGAGACAGATGATTTATACTCCGATATCCTTACATAAGTCATCCTTCTAGTAAAATGAACATCATTCTTTGTACGCATTTTACAGACAAAGTAAATTGTGAAAGTATGAGTCAAGGAAACACCAGAAAACACAGTAAAAGCAATTAAACAGTGAGGTTATATAGCAACAAAAAATTACTAACATGCAGTGCATTGGGACTTCGTTAATGTTTACAATCCAAGTCAAAAATATAGGCCTACATTTTTAACCTGGGTTTAAAAATAGATAAAGCAAGAATTGGAATGAACAAATGAATAATAAAAAAAAAAATATTGAATGATTAAATTATTCAAAGAAGGTAAATCACTGATGAACATTGTGTAAAACAGCAGAAATGGTGTGCTGTGGTTGTCTAAATACATTGTTTTAAAATTGATAAGCTTTTTTTCTATGTGATTTCTCCATTTCAGAAACATAAGCTGTTTCCTCTGGTAGAGGTTCGAGCAGGGCTGCTGTTTAAACCTAATAAGAAATATGTGGCAGAGCTGGAGAAAAGGGATTATCTTGGAAAAGCTAAGGTGCCTACTATCCCCATTATCACATTATTAGAGTGTGCAATGGCTGAAACTCATGTACAAAACTGATTAAAATTCTATTTTTCATAGGTTGTAGCTTCTGTTGTACCTGCAGATGAGTTTTCTGGTTTTGCTCCACTTCAGCCTCAAGTAAGTAATGTTGTGTAGTCAGTCAAGTAACATGTTATGTGTTAGTAATGTGTTTTAGCATGTTTATAACATTTTGTTAGCATTAATTGGAGATAATAGATTAGGTTAACAAGCCGCTAACCTGTTTGTAAAATTTTATTAGTATGTTTCACGTTGTCAGCATGAATTAATGTAGAGGAGGGCCATAATAGCATGAATTACAGTACATTATTGGTTTTATGTTTTTGTTGTTATGTTGCTAGTTAAGTTTTGCTAACATGTTTCTAACATGGCAAATAATGGCTAACTAATGGCAAACTAGCATGTTGCGTATGTTTCTAACTTGAATTACTATGTTGCCAGCATGTTTCTTGCAAGTTTAGAATTTTGATTTCACTAATTAGCATACAATTGTTACCACATAGCAAATATGTTTGAGCATATACAGGAAATTTGTTAGCATGTTAAACATTTTAGCATTAATTGACATTTTGCGAATGAAGTAAATCTTTGATAGCATCCTTCTTGCATAAGAATCACATTCACACAAATTAAGAAGTTGCTAGCATAGATTAGCATGTTTCAAATGCGTTACCATTAGCATAACTTAGCATCATAATAAAATTTATTATGATGTATCACATGCTATCATGTTTCTAGCTTAAATTATCGTTTTGCTATCCTGGTTTCTATTGTTGTTTTAGTATGTGTTAGCATTTTGTTTAGTTCCTAGTGCTTTACAAATGATAGCAAAAATAATGACGACGACATTTTCCTTTATTTATTCTCTGTTGTTTAGATAGACAATGTTCCATCTATTCCGAAAGTTCCAGAAGTGCTACGGTAAGGCTAGTTAACAGGAAAGTAGATTGTTTAAAGCATATTCGCCTTTAACCCTGCAGAGCATGAACATGTTTGGGATGTGTGTGTGTGGAGATTCTGTATAGTTTTGTCCATCTGTACATGTGATGATCATCAGGGTGCTGGAAGGAGAGCCACACACTGTTCTGTATGAGTTTGTTCCAGAGACTAAAGAGGAGCTGGCTGTGTTGCCTGGCAACATCGTCTTTGTTCTTCATAGAGGAACTGACAACTGGGCATCAGTTGTTTTCAATGAAAAGGTACATTTTTGGTAGCTTAGGGAAATGTTTTATCAATATTATGAGAACAGAAAATGATGAGCAGGGATAAAAGGAACTGATGACTTGTGTAAAAGATGCAAGCTCCTTCACTATTCATTAACAAGACAATATTCCACTGGCATGCTAATATTAGCAGAGGTATTATTGTCCCTTTTTCTTTATACGTTTTTTTTTTCCCCCAGCGAGGTCTAGTGCCGTATAACTTTCTTGAACCCTTGGATATTGTTACAATGACATCAAAACCAGTCGAGGTAAAGTAATGACTTTCTGAACAATTAATCAGTACATGGGTGGCGAAATTTTGGGATGAAATGCCACAATGCAACCACACAGACATTTGTGCAGATTTATATTTAAAACCACTTTTGATGCATTTTAAGTGCACCTGGAAAACTTAAACCTCATAGTCAGGTATGATGAATGATATACTGTGTAATGTGTAACTGAATATTTTTGTTACATAAAGTAAACCATGATGATGTACAACTCTACAACCTGGCATTCCTTATTACATTTCCACTTGAATGGCACATTACATACACTTGCAATCTCTTGCATTGCTTTCTGTATAGGTCCACGTCAGCTCATTCTGTCCTCTTAAAAACTATTGCTTTTTCACATTAAGTTACATTTTGTTCTAAATTATTGAGGAATGTAAATGTGGCCTGTTACAGACTGAAGCATTAAATGAAAATGATGATATACCTGCTCCACCAAGAAGAGCAGCACCTAGTAGACCAGTGGCTCCAGAAGGCCTGAAGACTGTGAATGCAAAGGTTCAGTATTCCATTTAAACTCAAACTCACTGCCTAACAACAGTAAACTGTTATCAGCCAACAAAACAATTAACCATTGTGTAACCTATCAAGAAACAATCTTACAGTATCATCTATTTGTTAGTGTCACCATGAATAGATTATTATTGTTAATAATAGGCCTTTTTCTCATCTGTATTCCCCACAGACTGTTAACACAAGGGAATTTTCCGGCTGTGTTGTAAAAGTGCACTTTCAGTTCACCATAGCAATCGCTATTGCACATGGTCAACCATATGGAGTCATTCTTCAGATGATAAGCTCTAAACTGAAGCTTCCTGCATCAACACTGACTTTACGGTAAATATTAAATGTTTTCTTTACTGCTTAATTCATAACTTGTACCACAATTTTCCCAAACTCTTCTAAAGCATAAAAATACCATAATATGTTTGGAGATGTTTAAGAAACACTTAAGTTAACATGCTAAGTGAACATACAGTACTTTTTTTCTGTAAAACAATGCTAAAGTCAATTATTCTCTATGAAAATGTGTTTCGTGTCAGAATGTCTTTGTTTTGGTCTTTATGACCCACGGACTGCAAGTTTTCCCAATTAAATTTGTGCACCCCGAGATGTATTGGCAGAAATTACAGTATTGAAGGCTGTCTTAATCCTACATATCAATCCATCGAAGGTTCTGGCCACTTTGAAAGGCCCTTCACAATGAAAGATTTGTAAGGATACCACTAATAGACTCTTCAGACCCCCATGATACATTGCACAGGGATGTTTGGATTCACACACTGTGTTTGGAAGGGCTCATCCCTATGCCCTATAGGGCTAGGGTTTCATTGTGTGCTAATTAAACTGTGCTGATATGAGAGATCAGTATTGAATGCTATTGCTTTCTAAATGACAGAGAGATGTATGAATTTGTTGTAAAAGTTCAGCAAATGTGTCAAAGTCGGGCAATAGAGTTTTTAGTTAAGGGAAATGGACGTGCTCTATTAAAATGTTTTACTTTAAATCCTGGGTAGTGTTTTAACAATCAAGAAAAACAGTCACTACAACAAAATTTCAGCAGTGTATCAGAAACAGGACTTGATGTACCTTTCAGGTATGCTAAGGAAGGCTCTGCAGAAAGAGTGATTATAGAGGACTCTGAAATGGAGGCTGTGTGGAACAGCGCGAAGGATGGCCGTCTTACCTTGTGGTGTTCAGTGACAGAGGTAAGGACTATAAAAAGACCACACTTTATATATGGATCAAAGATGAGAAACTCCATTTTAGTTAAATTTACAAATGGCACGAAGGACATGCATAACATGGAGGTGTCTTTCAAATAACTTAAATTACTTAAGCAACAAAAAAACTTCCAATTAAAAAGTCAAAATAATCTTTCATTGACATTCAGCATATTAGTCTTGTGGAAAAATAGGTAAAACCTTGTGTTTTAAAGGACAGTGTATTACAAGTGGTGTTTTGGTGCTGCATTTTGATCCTTTAATAGAGAATTTTAATTTTGAAGTATGCATGCGTATCGTTGACATTGTGTCTATTGTCAGCTAAAAATGTAATGGTCGGTGTTTTTGCTCTAAAAAACTTGAACAGGACACATTTCAATGTATAGAAAACAACTAAATGCAGTTTTCATATTTGACCAATATATTTACTCTATCAGCTTACTGAATTACAAACAATAGTACTATTAAAATAAGAAATGAAACCCCTGTCCCTGCTTTTAAAAGGGTAAAAGTGCATCCCATGCAAAGGTTGTGGCTCTTTACTCTTATGAGTCTTCAACCCCAGAGGATCTTGAGTTCAAGCAAGGAAACGTCATCACAGTTCTTTCTAAAGGTAGGACATGAAACCACAATGTTTGCAATCCATTAATATGCACATAAAATATACTGTAAACTATGATGGTATTCTTCAGATGATTTTCTGCTTTTTGTTTAATTTTCAGTCAATGACGAGTGGCTTGAAGGTCAATGCAATGGGAAAATAGGCATATTCCCATCATCCTTTGTTGAACCACTTAATGGAGATCCACACACATCCGCAGAGTGAATAAATAATTTATCTGACACTTATTTGTGCTTAAATTTGCTGATGAAATATAGCAGGATTTTGAGATGTAATTTTTACAAAAAAAAAATAGTTCACCCACAAATGAAATGTTTCGCTTTAAACTTTAAAGGGCATCTTTTTTACCCCTTTTTACAAGATGTAAGACAAGCCTTTGGTGTCTCCGGAATGTGTCTGTAAAGTTTCAGCTCAAAACACCCATCAGATTATTATGGCCTCCACAATCTCCCCATTTTGATGTCTGAGTTCTTTGTAGCTGTTTTTGTAGCCTGTGGCTTTAAATGCAAATGAGCTGCTTCTCCCCGCCCACCATCATGCATCACATCAAATAAACAGCAGTCAGTGACAGAGACAGACTTGGATGAAGCTGAAAAACAGCTCATTAGTCAAAAATACCAAGTAAGTTTATTTCATGTATTTGTGGTGGAATTTATTCAAGCCTTTCGGAAATGATGAGTCTTACACAAATGCTGTTTGCAGTACACACACACACACACACACGCACTTGGTATTTTTGACTGATGAACTGTATTTCAGGTTCATCCGAGTCTGTCACTGACTGCTGTTTATTCAAGCTGTTTTGAAATGATGAGTCTCACACAAATGCCGTTTGCAGTATAAAACACACACAAACACACTTACTGTATGTGAGAGTTTACTGACACTCTGTGGCTGTGGTGAATAAGAATTAGATATCAATTTTACTGTATTTATTACAACCATGCTCCGTTCAAAAAAAAACTTTTTGATCTTATAATTAAAAAATCCCAAAGAGTTGTAACATATTTTAATTCCAGTTTATTTGCAAAAAAGTTCTGTGGATGTGTGTACTACATGTTATTCTAAAAACATGGTGCCTGTCAATCAATTAAGTGGGTGGGGAAAACCACACTCCTACGTTACGTTGGGCCTTAAAAATCACTAGGATGTGGGTCTTATTTTAACATCAGGAAATAAAAAAGAGATTTATTGGGTTTATATCACTCAAATACGACAGTGGACACAAACAAGCTACACAGTTACAAAAGTTACTTTTCATTATAGGTGCCCTTTAAATAGTTTATTTACTCACCCTCAGGCCATCAAGTGTGTTTTTTTTCTCTTCAGTAGAATATTAAATAATATTTTTAGCTAAAACTCTTTGGTGATTTACATAATTGAAATGAATGGTTAACAGCATTATAATAGTCACAAAAGAAAGGAAACGACAAAAGTAAATGTAGATAATTATGATTTAGAGAAATGATTAGTCCACGCACGAAACTGAAACAAATAACAAGCTTAAACCTTGACAAATGTTCCTGAGGACATTTACGACAGCTGTTGATAGCGACTGTCTAGAATTTTAAAGAATATCAAAAAACTAATAATGGCTGAAATCATCAGTAATGCTCTATTGAGGAAATAAGACCCTCATCATTTCCTGAGGGTCAGTAAATTAACAGCTAATTCTAGGTAGAACTTTCCCTTTATTGTTACTACATTTACACTAGAGATTTGCTGCTGTACAGTACCTCATAACATGTTTTTGATGACTTCAAAGTATAAAGCTCAATCTTTTGTCTTCATTACAAACAAGATCACGTTTATATTTTTCTCATTTAATTGCTTAATTGCTCCACAGTTTGGCTACCATATTGGTATAATATAGCACAAAAAAGAAGATATTTATTTACCTTGATTCATGTTTTTAGAGCAGTAAGTACTTGGCCTTATCAAGGGAATATAAAACATGCCCCCAATAGATGTTTTATTACTATATCAATACATGTAAAGTAATCTTTTGATGATTCCTGTGACTGTCCAACAGTAAACGAGTGTTATAATTTTTGTTGTGTTGAAGCGTCCTCATTACCCTCCTCTTCGTAAGCGATTGCAATGCCTCTCTGTCCCTTTACAGCTTTAACCACCGGGGTCTGCCCTAATTTTGGCTCCAGTCCCTGCCAGCTGCGGCCTGCCAGAAAAGATGCTGCAAAATAGATCATGATTAGAATTTACATAAATCAGACATTTTGTAAAACTGCACAACTTCAACAGATCTCTGTACCCGCAGCGTTAGTATTGGCCACAGTGAGAGTCTGATTCCTGAGGACAAGCGAAGATGTCTCTGAGTTATGCATCATCTCAGATGAGTTGGTGGAACAGCTTCGTAGAGCTCCTGTGATGAGAGACACGTCTGTGGTCTCCTCCTCAGTGGCAGACTGACTGGGTTCAGGAAAGCCCACATGACTGCTTCCACCTGTAAAATTAGGTTCTTATTAGATTTCAATAAGAATATCATATTTGCACACTGGCATCACTAAAAGCATTTTCAGATCCAAACCTCTCTTTTTTTCTTGCTTGCTTCAATTTTAATTTCATCTTAAATTAATTAACAGGTTTCACGCTCCAAGCCAAATATCAAATTCCTTGACTTTTACTGACTAGAACACTAAATATCCATGACTTTTAATCAAAGGAAAAACAGGTTATCATTTTGAAAAAACAAATATCATTTTGCAGCACTAACAAAGATCCTTTGAAGTGGTTATATTGAAGCCAAAACTCCTAAATTGTATGTTATCCTGGCATGCAGAGGTGGAAAGAGTACTAAAAAATCATACTCGAGTACCATTACTTGCCAAAAGTATATAGTGCAAGTAGAGTAAAAGTATCTGTTGTAATTATTACTCAAAGAAAGAGTAAAAAGTAACCCTTTTAAAAGTATTCGAGTAGTGAGTACAACACAGTAAAAGAGTTTACATGCAATTTGTGATGCAATTTGATGTTTACATGCAATGTGAGTGTTTGTAAAAACGCAACATTCCGTTGTGCATTTAGTCATTATTTAAGGCCATTTGGCAATTTCAGTCATCATACACCCTTCATCTTCTCATCAGTGAGGTCTCTCGATCATTGCATGTAAAGATTTTGGACATCTTCTTGGACACTTTTAATGCTTACAAGTGGTTAGCTGAATTTATAAGGCTCATTTCAGTATGATGAAATTTAGTTTCTATGCGCAATTTGATTAGACAGGAATCGCAGGACTGATTATTCTACTTTAGTCAATCCCCAGACAAGAAAAAATAAAGCAGTGTTTTAGTTTGAAGGAAAATAGTTTAGTAAAAGTACCAATGGGCAGCATTGTGGCACAGGGGGTAGCACAATCGCCTCATAGCAAGAAGGTCACTGGTTTGAGCCCCAGCTGGGTCAGTTGGCATTTCTGTGTGGAGTTTGCATGTTCTGCCCGTGTTCATGTGGGTTTCCTCTAGGTGTTCGGTTTCCCCACAGTCCAATCATGCACTATAGGTGAATTGAATAAACAAAATTGGCTGTAGTGATTAGTGAATCTGTGTTTCCCAGTGTTGTAGCAGGAAGGGCATCCACTGCGTAAAAAATATGCTGGTTAAGTTGGCGGTTCATTCCGCTGTTGTGACCACTGATTGATAAAGGGACTAAGCCGTAAAGAAAATGAATGAATGAAAAGTACAGATACTGCACTAAAGATATACTCAAGGTAAAGTAAAAGTACACCTTTTAAAAACTACTTAGTAAATTACAATTCCTAAAAAAAAAACTACTCAATTACAGTAGTTTGAGTATTTGTAGTTTGTTACTTTACACCACTGCTGACATGTAAGCCTTAGTTAACAGGTACATAATAATAACTGCATTTGTTAACTGATAACTGCATTTGACTTAACTGTTAAATAAAATAAAATTAAACAGAACTGTAAAATAGCCTTGGCCTAGAATGCGATTTTAAAAATGGTAGTGTAAAATGTCATTTGGATAAATGGAAACTAGAATTTACAGTGACGAACATAAATCCCTGATAATCTACGACTTAAGACTTTCCAGAACACCCATGACTTTTGGGATCCATGAATAAAGCAGACTTACAACATTAAATTAAAATACTAATAGTAACCTAAAAAAAGTTGAAAAATTAATAAATCCCTAAAATAAGTTAAAGTACAAAACTAGTATGCATTTTTTTAACCATCTTGTGGTTTTCACTACAGTCTCTGGACATACTGCATCCTAGACTCTAATTTATAAAACAACTTCTGCCTGACTCTTTGAGATTAGGAAGGTTCATTAAAAAAAAAATATTTAAATAACAATCAAAATTTTCACAAATCATTCTTTCATTTTCTTTTAGCTTAGTTCTTTTATTCATCAGGGTTCGACACAGCAGAATGAACTGTTAACTTATCTTATGTTTTAGATAGTGGATGAGTGGATGCTCTTGCAACTGCAACCCAGTACTGGGAAACATCCATACACACTCATACACTACTGCCAATTTAGTTTATTCAATTCACCTGTACCGCATGTTTAGACTAAGGGGAAAACTGGAGTACCCAGAGGAAACCCACGCCAACACAGGTAGAACATGCAAACTCCACACAGAAACGAAAACTGACCCAGCCGGAATTCGAACCATTGCCCTTTTTGCTGTGAGGCGACAGTGCTTGCCACTGAGCAACAGTGTCACCCAGGTTTCTACTATTACATCATAATTCAAGCATACAATAGTATTTCTTGTTTGTTTTTTTGCATCTGATTGAGCGTTTGCACCCAAACTGTGATGCGAGACCACAGACTTAACATCTTAATAATATAAATATAATAACAATAATAATAATGTTTGGTAAAATAATTATTGTGTAAAGCGCTATTCAAATAAAATTAAAAATAGCTCAATGTTTTACATGATTTTTAAAAAAAAATGCTGACATACCAGGCAGTAACTCTCTGAAGTCTGTGACATATTCTCCAGTCCACTCTCTGTGCTTATTACAAGCCAGCTCCATCTCAAACGGAGTCACCACAGGCCTGTAGAATTCACTTGAGTCCAGCAGGGAGTTTTCTGGACACGCAACTAACACGTAAATATCAATTTCCAGGAAGTTCGCAAGCTTGGGAACATTGATCTTTCCCATGGCAAACATATAGCTCTTCTTGCCTGCTCTTTGAATAGTGTCTTTCAGCTGTTCGATGATAATCAGATAGTTGGCAACACCCAGGGTGCCCACCAAAATGCCCACCACACTGGCATCTTTGGCCCGCTCAATGGCATAATAGCGCTTCATCAGTGCTTTGTTGATTTGAACCGATTCCACTCGACCCGTGCTTGTCTCTGGGTTGAATGAGCTAAAGACACAATTGTTCCAGCTCATCATGAAGTTTGTAAGCGTCAGGCCTTCCTGGCCAATGTAAAAGATGCTGTAATCATTAACAGTTTGTCCTTCTTTTATTCTGAATTGTCTGCCAAATTTAAAAATGACTCCATCATCGTTTGACTGCAAGTCCACACAGCTGTCCTGTATGAGTTCAGCACCACAGGAATGATCCGTTTTCAGACGAGACACCACAACATTAGGGTAGACGTCACACAAAAGTGTTCTGAGATCATCTGAGGAGAGAGATGATTTAAATTAATTCACAAATGCAATGAATCAGGGATTATTTTTGAATTCCTAAAAACGTACCTATTTAGCTTGGCTTTTTATTATTATTTTATATTCCTTTCAACTGTTACTTTTTTTATTTTTTTAGTCGTTTCTCTTGCTTTATTTTTTTATTTTCTGTCATTTTATTTTTACTTTGTCTTATGTACAGCACTTTGGTCAGTCTTGTAACTGTTTTTAAATGTGCTATATAAATAAATGAACTTAAACTATGTCCAATTCTGCTCCTGGAGGCTTACTATAAGGGCTGCACGATATTGGGCAACAACTGACATAGCGATATTTATTTTGTCTACGATATTTATTGCAATATAAACATAATTTCACAAGATGACACTCTATTTGGAATTAATTCATGAGTTTATATTGATTGTTATTACTTTGTAGTAATATCTGCATAAAATACAAGACCAATGAATAGATACAAATAATTTTGTTAATGTGTATTCAAATAACACATTTATTGTGTATGGCCGTACACCTAAAGCGCTTCACCATCATGAGGGGAGTCTCTTACCACCACCAGTGTGCAGAATCCACTGGGATGATGCGACGGCAGCCACAGGACAACAGTGCCAGTGTGCTTACCACACACCAGCTATTGGTGGAGTGAAGAGACAGTAATAGAGCCAATTCAGTGGATGGGGATGATTAGCAAGTCATGATGGGTAAGAGCCGAATGAGGGACACTGGGGTTACACTCATTTTTATTAACCACAGAGAGCCAGGACCTCAGTTTACGTCTCATCTGAAAGACTGTGCTCACTAACAGTGTAGCGTCTCCTTCACTTTTACTGGGGCATTAAAACTTACAGACCACAAGTTGAGCGCCCCCTGCTGGCCTCTCTAACACCACTTCCAACAGAAAACTAGTTTTTCCATGTGGTCTCCCAACCAGGTACTGACCAGGCTCAGCTCTGCTTAGCTTCAGTGAGTAAATGGTCTTGGGCTGGTGATATGGCTGTGGCAAATTTTTTGGTTTTCTGTGCCTCTAAATCTAATAGTATTGAGGTAAAGAAATTCAACAACAATAATATATAAAATAGCACTGTATTAGTGTAGAGTATTCATTGTATAAATAATTAAATACAATTAATTTAGGTGTAAATACCTTTATAACCTGAGGTTCAAGTTTGCTTAAATCTTAAACAGTCACAGGTCTTAAAAACCCATGAACGAAAACCTTTCAATCTATTTTAGGGTTCAACTTTGCAGTGTACACCAAATACACATGTTCTGAACTGTGGTGCTGATCAACTATAATCCCAACTCATCATTGCACACTCTTTTGATTATAAACTTTCATGAATGTCTTTCTTTTCAACACAAAATAAGAAATTCTGAAGAATGTTTAAACAAGCAGCCCTTGACATCCAAAGCAGGAACAAAAGAAGTCTTGTGTCCAACATTCTCCAGTATAGCTTCCATTGTTTTTAACAGAATAAAAAAGCAAACAGGTTTGGAACAAGTGAAGTATGAGTAAATCATGACAATCTCATTTTGGGGTGAATTATCGGTTACAATGAATGTCACTAAACATTAGGACGGATTGAATGGTGAATATTACCTATAGCATGTGAGTAAGTGACGTCAAACAGTACTATGATATGGCTTTGGAGATTCGGGTAAAGCTCTTTAAAGGATGACGCACACTGATGGACATCAATGGGTCTTTTCCCAAACACGTACAGAAGCGGTAGTCGTCTGCATGGGCTGAGACAAGATGACCCATAATGCACTATACAGTCTGCTCCCACATGTTCTGCTGCTACTTCATCCACACAACAGCTGAAAGCAAATAAGCAGGTCTAGATGTCAGAATTCTGCTTGTATAGACACACATAATTTTTTATAACAATTTTCTTATATCATAATGGTACAATATAAATTGATAAATGGAAAACGCATATTGTCATGATTAGAAAAAGATTTTTATTTTACAATTATTATCTCATCCTTTTACACTTTTTGTATCGGCCCAATATAAACAAACGTTCGCAAGCGATTAAGTAGTGGGAAATCTATTTAACCCTTATCATTATTTTGTGTGCGCGAGACCTGTCAACACTCCCACTCCCCCACCTTTTTCCGCCCGGCAGAGGTTTCTAAATCTACTAAAATGTCCAGAATTTGGTTTTGCTTTTGTTTTCTAAGCTGTCGTTAATTTTATACGCAGAGCTATGAGAGAGACATTAAATAATTAATTCTTTAATCTAAATGACTCCGAAAAACTTGACTAAATACTCGAAGAGGACCAAATTAATCTAAATTGGCTGCAAAATATTTGTACACCATTAGAAATGGCTAATCAACTCATTTGTCTTATTTAAATAATCTACACGTTTTATTATTGTAAGTATTATCATTTTTAGAGATGTTTTTATTCCTAAAGCATTCCTAAAATGCTTTGGCAATACTGTACAAAATGTGATGTCAATTAAACAATCTGAACTTTAATGAGAGACAGAGGGAAGCAGATTTGACCTGTCAGTGGGTGCACATGGCTCCTGAATAGTACAAAAGAGAAAGAGTGGAGTTTTTTACATTTATTTCAACAGACTTTTTTTTTTTTTACTTTAACCCATTGAAAAGAAAGTTAAAAATGTTTATGTTTAAAAATAAAATGATGTTTTGTTTGTCACATATAGTTCTTTATTTATGTGCTGTGGGTAAAAAGGTGTGTTTTAATCTGGCCAACACCGAAAATATATTTCAAACCTGTAGGAAGCACTGGACAAGAAATCAAAATGATTGATTACTGATTTTTTTTTTATTGAAATCAAATTTTTTTCTGGAACATGTCAAAACAATGGAAAACTTACTTATTCAGCATCTTAGTCCAAACATCTCGGATTATTCATCAAGCGTATATATGATGCATTTATGTTAATACATAGTACAATATTTTAATTTAAATGAAACAACAGTGTTCTCACCTGCCATAGGATGTATCCCCTAAAATGTAAGTCTTGGCTTTGGTTTTATCCTCTATTTCAGCAGATACCCGGACGGCATCAGGCAGCAGTTCATCTGGAAACTGTAAGGCCACCTGTGATAAAAACAGGACATACTGTATTGATACCCCATTGACTGCTTTGAGTAAACATGACAGATGATGACTTCCAATGTCATCTTACCTTCTTGAAGTGATTGCTAGTGATGAAACGACAGGTCTCGGGTGTCTGGTAGAGCAGCAGAAGGTCTCCAGAAGGGTGGAAACTGTGTGTTGAAGTGACCGAGCGCTGGAGAACCGCCTCACTGCTGCTGCTGAACGCGTCCGTCATCTTCTCTCACTTGAAGCAAACATCATTTATGCACATCATCTAATATTCAACTGTTGTTGAAGTAGAAAAGTAGCTCGAATGTGTCATTACAAACATTGTTTGATAACGTACTGACGCAGACATTCACACTACGGAATCACACTGATTAAAATATACAGGTTGACTGTTGTATATGTGTGTAAACCAGGCAGCAGGCGGACTCTTAAGAGTAAGATCAGCTGAGAGTTTACACTGGAACAGTTCAAATCGACTCTAAAACCAACGTTTGTTGACAGAAGGATAATTAATTTAATAACTAGAATCTCTGCTATTAATTGTTGAAATTTTTAACTTGTTCTTAAAAGTTACAACAAAATATAACATACCAAAACAGAGCTGCAAATTACATGTCAACTCCCACGTGAGGTTCCGGAACAGGACACGCTCTTCTTCGACGTTCAGTGCCTCGGATTTCAGGTCCTCACACCGCCGTCTAGTGTTCTGGAGAGATACTCACTGTCTGGACTTCATAACAACGACACAGACACATCCAAAAGGTACTAAAATATTTTTTATTAATCTGCAAAACATCATTTTGACTGTGAGTTTTGTCGACTCAAAAACCACAATATAAAGTTTAAGTTTTCTCTTGTTTTCAACATGAAGAAACTTTTTATCCAACTCTGTCTACAATCTTGTGTGTTACGTTCACATATATTGCAAATGCTTGTACTGTAAGTGTTAACTGAATGCCAGAACAGCTCAAGGCACTTACACACAACAGATTGTCAATGGATTTTCAAAGTACTTAAAATTCAGCACAGGGATCGATAGACCCCACTTATTAGGGCATGTGTCTCAAGAAAATGTGCTCAGTTAAAGTCATTCATTCATTTACTTTCTTGTCGGTTTGGTCCGTTTATTAATCTGGGGTCGCCACAGCGGAATGAACCGTCCATTTATCCAGCAAGTTTTTATGCAGCTGATGCCCTTACGGCTGCAACCCATCTCTGGGAAACAACCACACACACATACACACACTCATACACTACGGACAATTTAGCCTACCCAATTCACCTGTACCGCATGTCTTTGGACTGTGGGGGAAACCAGAGCACCCAGAGGAAACCCATGCAAACGCAGGGAGAACATGCAAACTCCACACAGAAACGCCAACGGACCCAGCAAAGGCTCGAACCAGCAACCTTCTCGCTGTGAGGCGACAGCACTACCTACTGCGCTACTTTGTCGCCAGTGCAAAATACAGACAGTGAAAAATACCCCCCCCCAATGTAAAACATGTTTGTTGACAGCAATATGTACAATGAATAGATGTACCCATAGCTGTAGGCAGTATTGTTTAAGTTTGGATTGGTTAAATTGCAGTGCATGCTACATATTGATGGTATGCAGTGAGGGGTATGGAATAGTTTGTGTGGGGTGTGTTAAGTGTTCATCAGCCTGACAGTCTGAGGGAAGAAACTTTCCTTCAGTCGGCTGGTGCGTGACCGGACGCTGCGGAACTGTCTGCCTGAGGGTTACAGAGAGAAAAGTCTATGGCTTGGATGGTTGGAGTCGCTGATGATTCTCTTGGCTTTCCTCATGCACCGCCTGGTGTAGATGTCCTGGAGGGAGGGAAGCTCACCTCCTACTACGCGTCCAGCAGTTCGCACAATCCTATGTAGGCCTTTGCGATTGCTGCTGGTGCTGTTTCCATACAATAGCATACTATACTTCTTTCCATAACACCTTTGCGGACAAATTAAAATGTAATAATTTACGCAACAGATTTATGGTGTCAAATGCTTTCTGTAAGTCAAGAAACACTGCTCCTACCACTCCACCTTTATTCATGAATGCCTTTACCGTATCAATAAAATAACAAGTAGCAGTTTCTGTTGAATAATTTACCCTAAAACTGAATTGACTTGGATTTAATTTAAAATAACTATTATTTAAATGGTAAACAATTTGTTTAACCACCAGTTTTTCAAAAAACGTTGATATCATAGGTAGGACACTAATAGGCCTATAAAAAACTGTGTCTGTAAATAGGCCTGCCTGGGATATGGCCATGTTAAGAAAGCAAGATTTGTTAACGTTGCACAAGCAGTATCAGCCAGGTTTAACCAGAGGTGGTGTTACCTGACCACCAATGAGGCCATTGCTTGGAGGCTTTGATCCTCTTCTTGACTCCTACGGACTTCCTGTCTAGTCTGTCCAGCGTGAAACTGGGGGACAAGCCATCTCCAGTCCCACCACCGAAGCAACCGGGATGGCATGCCCACCATGTCAGATTGCAGGTCCAAGACCTCATTCCCAACACCTAAGGACAGAAGCGGGTACGGACTGCATCGCAGCATGTAATTCCCCCCTTCAATGCAGCGATGGATATCTGGGGCCTCATGTATCAATGCTGCGTACACCAGGTTTCATGCTCAAGTTTGGATTTACTAACGATTTAAATTTTACACTACAAAGTATCGCACCAACACTTGAAAAACATTGCTATAAATTTATAATTGATAAAAGAGGATAATTGACACAATACTTTTTGTTTTTTTTTTACCAATTACGCAATTTAAAACATATAAAAGCATTTGCAAATGTATACAACCCTTAGTCTATGGCAACAGCAGTGTTGGCCTTATTAGAGGACATTGTCAGTGGTCGAATCCAAAGCCTCCAAGGTTCCAGGGTGCAAGATGGGTGTTTATATGTTGAGTGATGTATTTAAAGATTTTATTCCAGCTAAGTTTTTTAATTTTATTTTATTGAGCGTAATTATTTAACTGTATTTCAGGAGACCATGGTTACCCATTAAAGACGTGGCTGTTAATCGCCCTCAACAACCCACAAACTGACCAAGAGCGCACAATGATGCCCACTCTCGCACGTGGTCAGTTGTAGAATGTGCGATTGAGCAGCTGAAATGCCGGTGGTGCTGCCTTGATAAGAGCGTAGGGGTGCTGCTTATACCGCCCCAACAAAGTGCTCCTCTAATACATCTGTGCCTCCCACAGACATGGATACTACTTCAGACAAGAGTCACCCACAATTGAGGCAACTCTCTCCTCAAAGGGTGTTAGTTCAGCATCCCCTGTTCCTCCGCCTGTTCTGTCCACACTTTGACGGTGCGCCACTGTTCTCCTCTTAACTTGCACCTTTACATCTGACCATTTCTTTTTTTAATTAATTCACAGTGCAATGTTCAGACGCCACAGGGATAACCACTTCAGCTAAACTCTCCCACTCTATTTTTTTTTTTTTTTTAAATTATTATTCATTTCGGAGGACAAACTTTCAAATAACCGTTTTTTTCTGGTCTTCCTCTGATAGGTGCACCTCCAATTCATATTTTGTGAAGTTCCTCTTCTTGCTTGATTTTGCCATTGCTTTTTCGTTTGGTTTTGCCAAAGTGGAGTCATTACCATGTTTATTAGGGGGAGGAGGCAGGAAAGGGTTTTGTGCTCGTGCATGTGCGCTCAGTTTCATGTTAATTTGGATGTACAAAGAGAATATGTGTGGGATTTTGCGTACACAGTGTTTCAAACTTTTGATTTTTTTTTCCTGCGAACGCACATTTACAGCTTTGTCCGTACGCAATGTTTTAGTATTAATTCAATGCAAGTCTTTGTACATGAGGCCCCTGGTCCATAGTGTCATAAAGTGAGAGAGCCGTCATACCAGGGGATGCACCACCACACTCACTTGAAACTTAGATGGATCGCACTGTGGAGTGAGGAGTCTACAGGCCTGAAAGCGACGCATGAGCCCCCACTGTGACCCTGTATTACTGCTTTCTTTCTGGAAGACAGCTTAGTAGAAGGTTCTCTTCAGTTTCTCTTGAAGCTCTGAAGTGAAGACTCGCTCGGCTCGCTCCACGTTTGCTGGTTATATACTCTAGTAATGATTAATCACCAGCACCTGCAGATCTAGGCTCTGCCAACTCATAGGCATTCATTGGTCTATTTTATTACTCTTTAGAGTGATTGGTCATATAGCAAGCTCCCAAAGTGTCGGTAGACACATGTCATAGTTCCCACTGAAGGGAAACAAGCTTGTGCATTGCTGGAGCTCAGCAAGCATGTAGAGCTCTGTTAGTCCTGCTTTGTCTTTTACAGACTGGAGGGCAGCATGTGGAGAAAAATAGGAATCACACACCTCAGCAATGACTGGAAACTGATGATCAGGAATATCCTTCAAAGGCAGAAGGATGGGTACATGGACGGATGTCCTTTACTTCCATTCATGAATTCGCTCGCGGGGCATCATGGGATAGCGCAGCATGCATGGGATCCGCACTCCGGAATCTCGCTGGAAGTAGCAAGTCATCCTGGTACTTCTCGCATACTGATTTTCGAATTCTATGAATTCGGACATACTACTCGGCTTGCATACTGATTTTGGCGTACTATGTAGTATGGAAGTATGCGGTTTCGGACGCAGCCATATGTCTTTTGCAGATTGGAGTGGAGCACAAGGAGACCAATTCAGCATCTTTTACACTGACCATGAAGGCCTGAATCTTAAAAACTTCTTGATGAGCTGGAACCATTGTGTCTTCAGCTTAATAACCCAGAAGCGAGCACATGTCGAGTAAAAACAGTACACACCAACAAAGCACAAATGAAGCGCTATTATGCCTAAGTATTTACTATGTAATTATTTATTTAAAAAAGTGATCTCTCGTGTTCTTGATTCGATATGCAGTGTATTTAAGCAACATCATTTTATTGCATGTGAAATGATCTGATGCATAACCATAATTGACTACAAAGCCAATTGATTGTGTATGTAGCTGCTTGAATCCCAAAATATTTTCAAGTGTTTTTGTCCATAACATGTTTGTTTTTTTTAATTAAACTTGACATCACAATAAAGCATGAACAGATATTTGCTCCAACATAATAACGATGAATACCACAGCTCTTCTAATGAACCAAGGTTGATGAGATGTTTTGTCAGGAAGAATAAAGTCTTCTGATGTTCACATCCATATCCGATAGAATCCAAGTATAACTGTGAGACATGTGAACACAGAACCTACAAAAAGCACAACAACAATTCATTAGTGCTAATAAACACTGAAACAAGCATTTAACTTACTGACTTGTACTTTGAATTACTTCATAAACAATTTTCAGGAAAAAGCTCATCGTGACCTTGTTTCTGTATGATTACTGGAACAAGGACATTTTACGGGTGAGTACAGGTGCTTGAGCCCTTACTTGCTGAGACAAATGGTGGAAAAATCTCAAGTCAAACACTTCAGTAAAATTTCAGATAACCTAATAACACTTTCCACTCTAGTGAAAACATGAAGTATTTGTTTTATTAGCAAAACTAGCCATGCACTATCCCAACATTACATTTAACGCTCATGATAATTCATGTACTAAGCCTAAATATTTCATTTCC